GGGGGGGGGTATTGATTATGCGATATGTGCAAAGATGCAATCCAAAGAAACAGTGCAGTTGTAAATCGAGTGAGCCAACAGCGACAAAGGCTTTGCAATCGAGATGTGTTGGTTCTGAAACTGAAACGGGGTATCCGTGTACCAAGTGGAAATTATGAATATTAATAGCGTTTGTCGATGATAGCCGTATGTCAAAGGCAGCCGTCAAAAAAGAATCTAAAGCAGAACCTGTCATCGTTAAAGTCAGTAACCATCAGATGGGGCATCGATTGATGGCCTTGGGATGAGAACATACCGAAAATGCGAAGTAATTATCAAAAAAAAAAAATATAAAAGTAAACAGTATCCGGGGAAAAAAAAATCGACGAAATATGACGATTAAGATATACAGAGAAGATATGGCTGCGTAGAAATTTGGCTCAGTCGAGAATTGGGATTCGCAAAGCCGAGATCTCGGCGATCAAAGGTGGTGGTAGAGGTTGTATTATTAAGACGAGACGCGGCTGCACTGCACGCCTACCTCGCCGAACAGTCACGGGATGAACCTAGGCCAAAGGTATCGAACAAAAGCCCTTGCAGAATAGGCAGTTGCTCGAGTTGTTGTCGTATTGATGAGGTGTCACGTGCAGGTGAGAGTTGGCGTAGCGGTGCCGGAGAGAAAGCAAGTAGATGATTTGAACGGTAGGGATAGAGCAACTCCAGTGGGAAAACACAATCCTAGTCAATATTAAAGAGGGGGTCGAATGAAGACGGAGTATGGCTTCATTCAAGAGATAAAACAAAGCGTGGGTGGTGAAGCGTGAGAGGCTTTCAGGGGAACACCCTCTCTTTTACGTCTCCTTTTTTCTTTTCTCTTTTTTTTTCTTTTTCGTTTCGACTATTTCGAATTTGTTCAATAAAAAATGCAGTCAAATTGGGGAGAGTGAACGAAGAGGTAAAAACCCAGCAAACGAAAAGAAAAAGAAGGAAAAAGAGGAAGCGTCCAAGAGGGAAGATGGAGGAGAGAGAGGTGGAGGAGGAAAGGAAGGTTGTTGATGGCTGAGCGCGAGAGGATTGGGGGAAATTAGGACTAGCCTACGGGGGAAGGAGCGACGCAGGCTGCCATTGGCTGAGAGCAGCCGGCCCGCCAAGCGAACCAATGGGCGAGGCCAGTGCAGGGGCCGGGCGTCTCAGAGTGCGCTGGCCAATAAAGCGCTGTTTCTGCACAGGAGATGCCTAATACTTGCGTCTTGAATGCCTATGACTGTGGCCGATTCTCACAGCTACGGAGTGAATAACGAGGACGTGATTCCGTGTGCTCAGGACAAAGTGAGGGGGGACGATGAGCATTGCATGGCAGAGCTGTGCCGGAACAATACTTGCTCCGGCGACGGCCAGCCCCCAATAGAAATGCGATGCAGCCACGCCGAGCCTTACGGAGCCGCGCTCTCCAATCAACGGAGGCAGGGAGCCCCTCCGGGCCTAGCGTTGTCAACGTGGCTCGGCCTGTCAGCACACTTGCTTATGCTGATTGGCTCAGCCCGCTGCTCTCATCTCGCCAAGATCCACCCAATCAGATGGCATACATAGTGCTACACTACAGCCTACATGCAGCACATTTCTAGCAGTGAGCACATGCTTGCATTTTATATTAGTATTCTTCACATATATATCATATCGTACCTAGCTATCAGGCAGAGGCGCTTTTCGGATGATGGAAAGGAAATGACAACAGGCATGCATGATCGTGGTGTAGAATACAGAGGATGGCGATTCGCCAATGCCTCGTATGACGGCTGTATAGTCCGCATTTGTGGAAAAGGAAAGAAACGGGTATCACAAGCTGGCCTGAAGAGGCGTGGGCAGTGGACAGAATGTAGTCGAGACAAAATTACAAGTCAAGCCGTGCTTGGTGACGTTGCCAGCCGACATGTGACCAAAAAAAAATCATATTGTACCATGACTGTCTCGAGTCATCGGAGCCACGAGAGAATTGTTGCCGCCTGAGTGTCGTCGTCAGGCGCCAATACTGTACATGAAAAGAAGGAGGAGGAAAAAGAGAGGCCGATTGCTGAATTCGTCGGGTCAATTCAAGCGTCGACAGGAACCGTAGAGCCTGGGTGTACCGACGGTGGCTCATCTGGTGTTCTCCCATTAATCCGCTCGAACTCGAGTGTATCTGCGAGCTCCGCTGACATGGGATCGAGTTCGTCCTCTTTTAAGCCGGTCGCCAGAGCAACCAGTTTGCGGTGCATGTCAAGTTTTGTGCTGACCCCTGCATCAGCCTTTTGTTGTATGAGGTCTCGGACTGCATTTCGGCGGGCTTCTTGTATCGCCATAAGTTCGCGTACTAGTTTATACCGCTGTAGCAATTCCTCGGTGGCAGGAGGTTCGTTGCCCGAAGACGACGGAGCTTCATCTACAGATGCCCTGGTGGCCAAGTGACCGGAAAGCTGTTTATGATGAATTTGTTCCACGAGTGATGCGCAACGGCCTTCAACATCCTTGTAGCGAGCCATTTGTAAATCAAAAGATTCATTTGCATCTTCCTGAGACAGCAACAAGAGCTTCTCTTTCTGTATAGCTTGACGATCCTTCTCTAATTGCTCAAACAAGTCCTGAGGGCTTGTCGCGTCTCCGGAACTCTGCTGGCCAACTTTGGCGTTCCCGTAAGCATGGCTGAGCTTCCGTTGTGCCTCATTCATTAGCCCGGCAATTTTGGCAGCCAGAACTGATGTCACAGGGGATGAATTCAATGGGGGATTCAAAGATTTATCGGTATCCACAACATCAAGTATTTCAACCTCGGGTTGTTCGTTCATATAAGTTACACTAGAAGGTGCGTGGGGAATAACACGTTGAGAACTCGCTTGATCCATAATAGCGACAGCGGTATCGCCTTTTTCATTGACCAGGTCACCAGAACGTTTGCAATGAAAGATAAAAAGCGAGGTCAAGCGGAAATTACCGTTACGAGCAGCGACTAATGCCGGAGTGTCACCATTCGAGTCCTGACACGAAAGAAGCATCTCCAGGTCTTGTTGAGGAAATGTATCACGAAGTTTCTGCAGAAGAACATCGCAATAATAGCGAGCACTCTTCCACTTGCCTTTACTGCGCGTAGTTTCAGCCAGATGGTGGAAGACAGTGGCCCCAAACCAGTCCCGGAAGGTAAGATTGTCCTGAAGCAGATTCACAAGCGAAGGCATGGTCTTTTTCTCATAGTTGTTGGTAAAGAGGACTGCACGGACAAGTGGAGTTTCCTCGTGAACGGATACTGCTTGCACATTGGCACCCCGGCGTAGGAGATCCCGTACGATTTCAAGATCCCCCATAGCAGCTGCCCAATGTAATGCGGTGTTCCCTTGATCGTCAATAGGACGATCTACCTGGAAATTGACCGGGGGTGCTGGAGGTTGCACTTTTGCAGCTTCCGGGGCGTCGCCCACTGTCATGAAGTAGTCCAAAAGCTGGTCTCCATATAGTATATGTTCCTGTTCACTGGTTGACATAACATTCATCTCATTCATGCCACGCTTTCGTTTCCTGGAGTGATTTGAATGTTGTGACATTGGGATCAAATCTTCCTCCGCCACGATGGATGATGACTCTAATGTGTTCTGTTCCATTGACTCATCTTCTTCGAATGTTGGCGGTGGCATTTCATATTGATCTTGAGAAAAGCCAGGGACACTCATACGGGGTGTTCGCATACTAAAAGAATCTTCGCGCGCTGCCGTCACTCGCTTGTTTGCGGCTGATCCTCGGGGCGCTCGTGGTCGAGAAGCAGTCGTGTGTTTCGGCGCCGGTGGCGGACTTTGCTCACCAGCTACGTAGTCCAATATGGGTCGTATCTTAGCCATAATATTATTGCGCTCTGCAAGTAGCCGAGCTTCTGGCAGTGGGATCCACGTTCCTGGATTACTGATGAGAAGCCATCCATCATCTAGAACTTCGGGGTAGCCTACCTTGATATTTTCCATAACCGCCCTGCACCTTTTCATGAACACCTTTCTGCACCTCACGTTCAAGGATTCGTGTTCTGGAAGGTTTATCAAAACCTGCTACTTTAAGGATATGTGTTGCATTGATCCAATCATCGGCCCTCCTCCTCATCAAACTTTCGTTATCAATTTTGAACTCATAGACGGGCACCTAGAAACGTCAAAGAACCACAAACAGTCAGTAAATTGCAATGTATATGTATATATACATATGGTCTACTCACTCCACTATACGTCGCCGAGTATATGACACCTTCACTGCTCCCCGCCATGTTGGACTCGGGCAGCGCCTCTCGACGGAGATCCTCAAGTCGACAGCGAGAACGAAGCTATAGATTGTCGCAAACAGAGGAGAAAGCAGACACACACCAGAATAGATTCCAGGTGCATTACTTTGCCTGGCGTCTTCTGATATCAAATTTTCTCACAGCCACCGTGGCTTGCAAGGAACAAAGTCAAGTCAGATCGCGAGGACGCGTTCGCAGGATTGACCGACGCGTAAAGTGGTCACGTGACCCAATAGCTACGCTAAGTCGAATTGGTCATTGGCCGGAAATGAAACCCAGTCACGTGATTTTGATCACGGGTTCGGCGGGAAGCAAGACTACGGCAACTGCCAATGCTGCTGCGTCTTGAAAGGGACGAGCTCTTACCTTTGTCCAGTCAACTCTTCACATCCACTGCATACAATATGACAGTTGTGGAGTCTGTCAAAAGCATCGCGGGCCTATCTGACGGCGGTAAGTCCCCCAATGGGTGAGCAATGCTGTTGCAATCTAACGCTCTCTTTTAGCCACGCAGAAGGAGATGTCCGATGCCCGTCTTCCTCTGGCGTACCGCGACTCGTGCGCTCACCTTCTAATTCCGCTGAACCGGTGTCGCCGAGAAGAGTACTATCTTCCATGGAAGTGCGAGGTATGTGATGGCAGCTACTTGGTTGTGGCCGCAAAGACAAACGAACTCGCAATGCACTCACTAACCAACAATGCTTTTGTTACATATATTAGACCGAACGCCATACGTACGAGAAGTGTCAATATGATGAATTTAAGAAGCGAGTGGCTAAGATGGAAGAATTGCGAGCAGCAAAGGGAGGAGAACGGAGCAACTAAAGTGCTGGCTGGGAGCGATAGCCGTGAATACCACGACGGCTGATCAGCGTCGATTTCCACAATTGTGTGCAGCTCGTGGCATCAAGCCGTTGATGTAAATATATTTTATTGGCATTGATTGTTGACATTGTTGGCGTTGGGATCATTTCTATGCCACACGCCCTTCTCGTGGATCCGGGGTATGTTCAAGCGAATTGATCGAGCATTAAGACCACCCACCTATACAAAGCTTTCTTGAGCATCCCAATGGGAGCAGTCTCCCTAGTAATACGCGTGGTCGCCAGAGCTGCGGCGGAGCAGGCTACGTCCAAATCCATATGATCGTGGAGCGTCAGAACCAAGAACGGTAAGTAATTTGGCGGTAAACTCGGGTACAGTTAGAAAGTTCCCTTTGCTCAAGTACCTATAACAAGGCGAACTCCGAGTCCAGGCTATGATTGGAAAGAAGACCGCATAGCAGGCCGGTGCTGAGGGTAAACATCCCGTCAACCAGGATGCCACATATATACACGAGGATCTAGCTGCTAGGAGAGTTTTCGCGTGTCCTTTTTGTCCCAAACAACCAAGGCAAAGCGAAGGCAAAAAAAATTACTCCATTTGGAACCACAGAGCATCCGATATCGACGGAAAAGCCCCGCAGCGCTGCCTCTTTTCTACCCCCCCCCCACATCTTCCAAGGTTGCTTAGCAATCGGACGGTCTTGTAATCATTTATCTGCAATGCGCACCCTTCAGAAGTTTCTACTCCGCGTCTCGTGAGAGTGAGGGGAGAACAGAAGAAGGGGCACTGGAAGTCCGGTGTAAAATAAATGATTCTGGCGCTGCGCGGGGTAGATTGTGTTTACTAATCTAACTTTTCCTTCTCCTGCCTTCTTGCCTGGCTACGATCAAGCTCACATTATTTCGTCCTTTATGTCTCGCGAGAGCACGTTCTATTGTTGCGCATTACAAATCTCTAACTTGTCTACGGTATCTGAGATATTGCCTGTCAGAGTGGGCAATTGATGCAATGGGTTTGCTGTAAGGTCTTTCCAGAATGCTTCATGTGAAGATAAAAGTTCTAACACATTTCTGGATTTCCAGGCAACTAGGTACCGCTCTTGAATGGCCTGAGGCGAAGAAGAATGCCGATAAAGTCCGAAAATGGGGCATAGAGGTTAGTTCTTTCTTTTTCGCTTTCTCACAAGTACCAATCACCAGATCAATGACTGACGCCTTGCCCCAGCAACTTCTTGCTATATGGAACAGGGCTAAAGGGAAAGAACGAGATGCACTTCTTTGGGGAGATGAGGTAACAACTCCCTGGTGCACGTCTCTGAGGCCGCTTGTTAATGCCTGTTTGGCTGCCTAGGTTGAATACCTTGTCGTAGCGTTTGACGACGACCACCGGAAGGTCCGACTGTCCCTCGCTCAAGCAGATATCCTCAAGTCACTTGCTCGGGATGCGGCTTTGCATAAAGTTGGTGGAGATGTGTCAGAAATCAAATCAAAGCAGTGAGAGCCTCGAGTACCCGAATCAAGACGAGGCACTTGCTAATTACCACTTAGTGAGGAAGAGGCAATACCAACATTTCACCCTGAGTTCGGAAGGTTCATGCTAGAAGCCACACCGGGGCGGCCATGGGGAATAACCTTGCAAGACCTCTTAAAGGTCGAGTCAAATATGCGCTGGAGGTACGATGTTGGAAAACAACCCGCCTGAACGCTTTTGGCTAACATACACATAGGAGAGAAATTGCGAAAGGGCATATGGCCGAGAACGAATATCCTATTACTTTCACGACGTTTCCCCGTCTTGGAGGCAAAGAAGACTATATCCAGCCCTATTATCCTCCTTCTGGTCCTGCGCTGCGGTCTCAATTCGTTCCCGATGAGATCGCCAATCCTCATATTAGGTTTCCCACATTGGCCGCCAATATTAGGTCTCGACGGGGTCGCAAAGTTGAGATTAATGTGCCCGTTTTTCATGATAAAAACACCCCATGGCCATTCCACGACCCCACTGTAAACTATGAACTGCACAACTGGCCTGAAGATGACGATGTGAGAAACGGAGCCGCCAAAGAAGGTCATGTATACATGGATGCAATGGCCTTCGGCATGGGAAGTTGTTGCTTGCAGATAACGTTTCAGTCCAAAAATATCACCGAAGGCAGGAAGCTATATGACCAGCTAAGTCCTCTAGGACCAATCCTATTGGCCCTTACAGCCGCGACGCCTATATACAAGGGATTTCTAGTGGATACCGATGTGCGATGGAACCAAATAAGCCGGTCTGTTGATTGCAGGACACCAGAAGAACTCGGTGAAAAGGTAGAACCCCATTCCCCCAGTGATGATAAGATAGTCGAATCTGACTTTGAAGTAGCCTCTCAAGAATGACCGTTGGAGAATTCCGAAATCGCGCTATGCATCAAATTCCACGTATATCTCGCAGGATCGTCGATTACGAAAAGAGTATTTAGATCCTGATCTTGTCATTGATGAAGACATCAAGAAGCGATTGATTGATGGGGGTATGGATGACCTGTTGGCTACGCATTTTGCGCATCTTTTTATTCGTGACCCTATCGTTATTTTCTCCGAAGACTTGAAAGAATTGGACCTTACCGAGGTGAATCATTTCGAGAACCTGCAATCCACCAATTGGCAACATATGAGATTCAAACCTCCTCCGCCCGATAAAGATATTGGGTGGCGAGTGGAATTCCGATCGATGGAGATCCAGATGACCGATTTCGAAAACGCTGCTTTCAGTATCTTTATCGTGCTCGTTACCCGAGCGATTCTCAGCTTTGACTTGAATTTTTATATCCCAATACAGCGGACCACCGAGAACATGGAAACGGCGCATGCTCGCAATGCAGTCATGGAAAAGAAATTCTATTTCAGAAAAGATCCCTTCCCACTTCGAACACCACGGCAATTGCACCAGCAGACCAGTGGAACTGAAGCATCCTCTGCCTCTGCCTCTTCTTCCGCGACACCCAGTGCTCCTCCTTCGCCACCGTTGGGACCCGTCGACTCCGAGTATGCATTGATGAGCATATCGGACATTATAAACGGATCCGCAGACGGCACGTTCCCAGGGCTCATACCATTAGTGGAATCGTATTTGAACAGCGTCAACGTCGATGTAGAGACGCGGTGTGCGTTGGCACGCTATCTAGATTTGATCAGGAAGCGAGCTGACGGTAGACTCTGGACTGGAGCGAAGTGGATTCGTGATTTCGTCGCAAACCACGCAGACTATCGTGGTGACAGCGTTGTATCAGAGGGAATAACGTACGATCTGATCAAAGCTGCTCAGGCTATGGCAGAACAGGAAGGAAAGGCAGGGGGTGTGGGATGGCAAATGTTAACAGGAAATAAAATAATATAGATATAGAGTCATGAATAAACACGTACTAGACTAAGTTAGTTAGGTATGATATTACTATTTCTTCTGCGCCATATGACTGCCAGACAGTGCCTGAATACGCATACCCTAATTGGCAACCGTGCATGCCCCTTTTGTGCAAATGTCTTATAACGCCAATTTCCGTCCTGGGACGTCTCGTCCTATATGACTTGCCTTTTCTACTAGGATTATTCATCTTATTTCATTGTGAACAGACTCGACTTGTTGATATAACATTGGGTTCAATCATTCAGTGTTCAAGTACATACACAAGACCATCGTTGTCAAGGATGAGATAAATTCACCGTAGGTAGCTCCTATTAATATCAAGCTCAAAGCTATGGGTAAAGTCTTCATGATACCCCACGCACAGAAGAATAGGACATTCTCATCGGCTCCTAACACTTCTTGCCAGACAATAAAAGGGAGTTAGCTAGCCCCGGACACCCTTCGCTCCCAGGAAAACGAGGCGCTGTCAAACTTCGGTTCCAAAAATTATCGCTGATCTGATCTGTAAATCCAATCCGCAAGTGAGTAGTAATCCAGTCAAATACAAAACAGTTCTATATCCAGGTACGTTCAATTACAACAGTAGGATAGGTATAGGGGTAAATTCGACCAATACAGACTATAACAAACGGAAGGCCTCACTATATCAAAAAAATGATCTCATCTTAGGTTGTCTAATACAGGGAGTGAGGGGCATTCAAATTATCAATACTTCAACGGACTGGTTAATATATTAGAATGCTCCTTATCTCTAATTCAAACTCACTCCTGGGTATATCGACTGACGCCCTAGGAGGCCTTCCGTTCGTTATAATCAGCTTCTATTCCTATATATCCACCTCGTGTGAAGCCCGGAAATATTATCCTTGACCCATTCGAAATAATTCACCTGTTCCAATTTTCGTCGGAGAGGAAGGACGGAGGAAACTCGGAGTCCAAGTAGACGGCTGTGTTAGGCATATATATGCGTGTATTATGCATTGTAATGTGACTTCCAAAGAAGGAAAGGTAACCACATACTAGTTGTACAAAATCCACCGGGTGTCTGATCCGGTCGATGTCATTTTTTTATGAGATGTATGCACAAGATGCAGAACAGCGCTGCAAGCTATTCGTTGCCACTCAATCTTGGGCATTTCACTGCGTTCTTCTCTCCCCGTGACAAATGCATGTGTTGCAACAAGTATGTCACAGATTGTGTGCCAAAGTCTGCATATATGTTACTAAAATATTAGCCACGTTTTAAGTCGGCCAATATTCATTGTTAACATCGCCGGCGCCGTCTGGTTTTAGCACCTTATCTTGATCGGGCTATATACCATGACAATCCTCTGTGATTCGGCACTAGATACTCAAGCCCTCATGATCTACAGACCGAAGGAATAGTATCCATTTGTAGCCAGTGCAGCCATTTGCGTATAGTATCATGCTTTGGACCGAGCTTGGCCAGGGTCCTTTTTTCCTAAGTAAACAAGATTCCATATCGCTAGGTGTAGAGTAAAAGACCAGACGGGCGGCTGAAGCAAGTCTCTCTCATGATGTAAACCAGCGAATATTCAGACCAGAGTAGGGAGTAATCCTCGTGTGGACATGATCAAGTTGATTGCTAACGTGAATCATTCGTTTAGGACAAGGCAAAGCGCGAGCTACTTCCCAGCTGGAAACCAGACTATGCTTTCCTCTCTTCTAAAAATCAATAGTAAGCAGTAGCATGAATTAAGCACACATTGCAATGTCTGTTAAGATCGGCGCAGAGTTTGGCACGGTTAGTCGCTGAAGTGAGGTAACGCGGACAGTTCTTAAGCAAAGCTCGGCTGGAAACTGCGGCCTGTTCCCCGATTCGTGAACTCCACAGGCGGGAATCTAACGGTAGAGAAAGGCAAAGTTGAGAGTAGTCGTCGACTGATGACCCATGCTCTGGAAACGGCTGGTACCGATGTACAGTTCGATGTTACCATGCTCTGTCACAAAGCATTTTCAAACAGGACCACGGCTAGAATACGTAACGGTTATTTTACGAAATGCAGGTCGTGAAAACCTGGCCAAGTCCTCGCGTTGCGTAGGAAACAGTAATGGAGTATAATGATGGCGGAACAGACCCAAAAGCCGTTACACGGAGCATTGTGGGCCCGCTGGGATCTCGATCGGCGCCTGTCACCACCAAATGAGGCCAAGGGTGGTTCTGACAAGTAGCAACGCTCTGTGCCACTGGAATGAGAGCTCATAATCTGTGCTTTCTTTATATATTCCACCGGAGCCAAGTCGACGCAACAGGGAGATTTTGGAGCAACGGTGTTTGGGCGTGTACATCATCGTCCATGCTTCTTTATTGGACTGCAGGAGATCAGGTAAACGTTAAGAGTAAACAGTCCCCGGCATGCTGCCAATGAATAGCGGGATGAATGCTTTGGAAATGTGAAGAAATCCCGTCATGTATCCAACATCATGGAAACGCGAACGATGTCGATTTCAACAAGAACCGTCATGCCAGAGAGTCGAGAGACTATCCCTGTGACAGGATATACTCCCTGCACCGGCGCCAATTGCATCTTTATGCGAGCCTCTGATCTAGCCCACATTAACGTTTTGAGTTCGGTTGACCGTGATCTTATTAAGATAGAAAATTAGAAGATAGCGTCTTACTCGGGTGGAGTATGCGCTCGCAGGCAGGACAACATGTTATCAGTGCTGCGTCGGTCGTTCTTCCCCTTGACAAGGTCAACCAGGAAAGAAATCCTTGCGCTTTTAGCTTCAAGTATCTGTATGAAAACGGTAATAGAGAATCCGTCGAACATCTGATTGGGCGTTTGTACAATATCCTAAGCTTAGTAGACCCATTATTACGCTGTAGTCTGTTGTTGCTGGAAGAGGTGGTGGAGCTTGTAAGACACCAGAAAAGTGAAAAACTCCGCGCTTGACAGGCACGGCATGGTAATCTGCTGACGTAGGCGGACGAGTATGCATTGGAGGATCAACCCTAGAAAGAAGCGTTTATACTCCGTACCGGCGTGCCACAGTAATCATCTATGCTTAAGCTGGTAATCCATCCGAGGTAGGAGGCTTTTTTGTGCGGGTGGAGGTTCGCCTAAGGAAATTGAGATCTTCTAAGCGCGCAGCCTAGATGATCGCATCCTTCAATACGGAACGCGCCATATATAACCTTGCGCCAAGAGTGAAACTCGCAAAATTGAGTTCTAGTGTTTCTTTCATTTTCTTGGTCGCAGAACTCTCTCGTTCTCTGTCTCTCTCTTCCCCTGCCTTTCTAGAAAATAAGGGAGAAACTTTTGGCTGATCGAAACAGCGGACGGCGGACGTGTAATACCAAGACGAAACCCGTCGGGTTTCGTAATTAAGCAATCGATCGTGCACGGGCAACCATCAGCATTGCAATGCCATGCCGGTAGAGACGGCCCAGGCGAGTAGAAGGTTTAATTAATAAAAATTCATCATCAAGCAAACCAACTACGGAGCGCCGGAGGACTCCGTACTAATGTCGCTGGGAGAAGCGTGTCGAAGTCGCTCTGAGACTTCTTTTACCGTCCTTGATGTCGCAGCGAGTACGCTTGAGATGGCATGGACGGCGGCGTCGTAAGCAGTAGTAGGAGGAGGAGGAGGAGGAGGAGGAGGAGAAAAGAAGATGTAGTTACGCCGATGTGGCCACTGGGTGCGTCAACGGAAGGTGCAGGAGGAAAGAGCGCCCAAAACAGGCAGTCGCCATATCCGTGCAAGCGCAATGCTGTTTGAGGAAGGTGCGCTTCCGAGGCAGGCAAGGCTTTCCGCCTCGAGACATGGTGCAGGGGTGGTAAGGAGCACAACGCCCTTGGTACGTACTACTAGTGACTTGTAACCTGTAAACTCGCCGTTTTTGGGCTGGGCTTCGGAACGAGCCACCCGTGACAGCACGCGCCAAGAAACCTGACGTCTCCCTATCCGGACTAGCCTCTCTTGCCTGTCATCTTGCTATAAAGAGTCTGCACCCCTGTCTTATACCCTATACTTATACGGAGTAGTTACTAGTGATCTATTCCACTCTATAGTCATCGGAGGCTTTCCTTCATTTCGGAAGAGATGACCATCGTTCCATGCTATATCCAAATTTGAGACTCCGTGATTGGTTGAGACGGATCCCTCAATTTTGCTTCTTCCAAGAGATCGCTCACATACCGGCATCCATGATGGCACAGTCACCACTCGTCCTTGATTACAGGGCACTTGCGTTGAACTTCACGGAAAGAGCTCGATCTAGTCAATACATTCTTTTGATTCATTCTCGCCGCCTTATAACGTTCTTGTACCATGCAAGGTGCGGGCTTGTTCTGGCAAGCAGATCACTGCATGTTCTGAAGCTCTGATTGACTTACATTCCTAAAACCGATTCCGTTGGGAAATGATGGCGTGCAATTATTTGTCCATAATAAAGGAATGCCAACATTTTGAAAGATCATCGAGAATGGTAAATGAATGTGTTACAAGGATATCACTCAGCATGCTGACAAGACATCACAAGTACCGAATGGGCGGTACCGATCTCATTGATGGTGTGCATCGCAAGTGCATGCAACTCTGGACTGGCAGGTGTACTAAGGGCGCGGGGCTAACTGTGATCTGACTAGTACTAACATCCCTGATCCCTGCTGGCGTAGGTGAGTCGCGGAAGGAAGGGCACACAACGCGACAAAATGTTATGAGGGGGAAAGGAGGGGAGAGATTAAGAAGAAATGCGCCAGATCTGATTGCTTGGTATTGAAAAAGCATGCTAATATATTAATACATGTGAGGAAGTCGCTCCGCTTATCTTTGTCAAGATTCATAGTTCACATGTTCGATTGACGGCAGTCAAACAGAAGCGCACACCACATGGCGTTGAGACATTGTCGCTTTGTCTCTCGATTCTCCACATGACGGTGAGTCCAGGTTAACTCGGCAAAAAGTTGACCACGAGATTGAGACAAGAGACTTGGGGGAATGGGAACAAGAATAACAAGGAATCTTTCATCTTATCTTGAATAATTTACCATGTTAGTCCTTATTTATGACTGACACATGATACATTGGTGCTTCGAAATGAGATTTTACTGCATGTGAAATCAGATCCCGGATTTCTGGCTCGCAATTACATCATTTCCATAGAAGTCGCCTCTCAGACTTACATACAAAGGAGGCATACACCATTTTCCGCATCTCGTTTCTGTGCAACGAAATTTCGGAAAATAATCTCCTAATGGCAGGCCGAGAGGTTACTACGTAATATAATTCATAGGGGAATTAAATTTTGAGATTTATACGTATTAATTTGGATAATCCCTTGAGTGAATTCTTCCAGACACGTGATTTTCGGCGTTTTTGATATTTTGTGTCTTTACTACATATACAAACTTTATACGGTTAGTGGATAATCATAGCTAGATTATGTGTCGTTAGGTAGAATCACGGAGAACTCCGTACTAGTTACATCGTTTTTTATCTTTTCTTTTCTTTTTCTTCCTTTTTTTTCCTTTTCTTTTTTTCCCAAAAAATCTTTTCTGAAGGCTACATATGCACTGTTACTACCGTGTTGGTAAGGATAGATCTCCGATCGCTCTTATTCTCGCTTTGTTGCTTGTGCTGGCCTTGCATCACGCAGCGCAGGCTTGGTTCGGACAGATCTCACAGGAAAGACTGGAACACAACGGGTGCCAACCGGGCCTTCGACCGCGGTTATTTAATTAAGCCAATCAGCGGCCCGCGTGCCGCTCCTCCCCACCCCCCCCTTTGTGCGGCCCGTTCGGCGTCGATGCCAATCGAGATTTTGAGATGCATCACTCAGTCGACCGTTTCCCTCCGACGACCAATCAGCGGGCTCTGAGAAACTTTCTTTGCCTGTCTTTCACCACAATCGTAACGGCCCCACTTTTCCTTGGGCGAATTTCTCTCACGCTTCCTAGGACTGTTTAGGCACTCCGGACTCTATCTGATTCTGCGAAGGGATCCGAGGGGTGAACGATCTGCCGTTCAGCCAACCACAAAGCAATGCTACGTACATGTATGTAATCGTCCAGTCTACGGCAATAAGGGATCTAGATCACTGATACGTAATTCATTAAGTTAGCCACGATCGATGGATCTCTGTTCTCCTCCCGTTTTCCTGTGTATTGACTAAGACTCGTCGTCGTCGTGGTCTTCCAATCTTACATAGTACTACGTACTAAGAAAGAAATCATGTTTCTCATGCGGGTCCCCACCCCCATCTCCGGGGCTTCTGTCCACTGAGGAACGCGGCCCCGATGGGTCCTGGCCAAGTTAATCGTCCACGCGGCCCAGCTTAGCACTGGCTTAGCGTAACAAGAATGGCGGCGGATCGTGGCTTTTTCCCAAATGCTAAAACCCGTATCGAGTAATATAGTCATTTATTTTTATGACAATACCGCCAGAGCGTATTCTATCGCGTGCATCTTCCTCGACCGGTTATATTACATTAAACTATGCGGTCTCTCGGCGAAGCGGAGCGGAGGGATGCTGGGTTTTAACTTTGAACCAGCCCATTTGTGGTACCGGCGTTTGCTTTGGAACCCGAAGAGTCAATGCTCGACGTACGAGGGATTATGGAGAGTTATACGTACTTACTGTCTGGCGTAAAGAGAAAAACACAGTATGCACTGTAAAGCTGGTATTACGGTATCATCGTCCTCCCCCTGAAGTTCCATCGTAATTTGCTCCACCTGCGATATCCGCCCCCCTCGCCAGAATGATCCTAGCCCAACACTCCACACTAATAAAGATCCGCAATTTCGCGTCCGGTACAGCATGGTAATCTAAAACTGCGGTAATTTACACCTGATCAGAATCTTATCATGAAATTTAAACCAAAAAGAAAAAAAAAAGCGGAACTTGCAGGAGGTCCCCATTCCTCTCTGATACTAGCAAGTAAAGCCGTTCTTGCTGGCTGCGAGAGGGTAAGAAAAAGCCAGAGCCAGGCATCTGGACCATAGTCTTACTGTACTATTTCTTTTTATTATTTTAATTATTCCTCCCCGCCACCAGCCGTGTTCTCAAAACAGATTAGACGCCCCAATTTGCAGGAAAGCTAATTAGTTAGTTGCGATCTCCGCGCGCATCTGGTGGCTCAAAAACGACCGGACGCCTTCCGGTCCACGGCAATCTGCTCCTTCCATTTCTTCGCCCGCTCGCTCCTTCCGTCTCTCTTCCCGACAACCTCATATCTGGGAACCCTTCCCGTCACATTCCTCGCCCCGTGCCCTTTCTCTTCCTCTTCTTTTTCTTCTCGCCAGCTTCCTTCTCCCCTCTGCCTGCTCTCGCTCTTTGCGCGCCCCCTCGCGTCCGCCTCCTCGGTTACCCCTTCGATACATAGATCCATTCGGCGCTAGAAATCGAGACGGGCTTGAACAGGGTACCGAAGAGAAAAAAAAAAACAAAGAAGAAAAAGAAAAGACAGGACAAGCAAAAAGAAGAAAAAAATCAAAGAAGAGGGAAGGAATCAGCAAAACCGCATATACCGCCATCCTAACGAACACTGCGTCGCCATCCACGCGACATTTGTGTCAAATCCCTTGCATTGACCCTCCCGCTCGACCCCTCCAACCACGTCCGTTGCTCACATACGACTCCAATATTCAAAGTGCGGTACATTGCGATTTAGCAGCAAGCCACTTGAGATCGCCTCCGTGACACAAGAAACGATCGATTTGTGCGTTCGGTGATCTCTTTGTTTATCTCTTGAACTCCGACGTCGGTTTGATTGCCGCGGCCTTTATTCTGCGCTCGCCGCACTTTTGTCTTTACCCTGCCATACAGACTCACAGACTGCGTCCGCGAGACCGCACCGGCCAATTGAGAGAGTCGCATCTGGAGTCACCGTGCTTCAATCGTTACAGATTCGGTTTTGCACACTATCCGCGCTCATTGGCACAAGATTTGACTTGCCGCAGCCGACTAACCCTTGCCAACAACTACAAAGTCACAAACACAGCTTGAAGTGGATGGATTTCTTCATTAGAATCTGACCATAGAGCGAGGTTCGTCGTTATTCTCCATGCTTGAAAATAGCATTGACTGACGCGTGGCTCCTTAGACCCTGTAGTGCTTCTTCGAAACTGCGCCCACGGATATCACCATACTTCCGTCTTTCATAACAATGGCAACAGGTGTCAGCATCAATCCCGCCCCAATTGGGGCTTCTGCGGCGCTCTATCCCGGCCCTCCACCTCATCAGCCTTACCCGACATCGGTTATGTCAATGACTCCACGACCACCCGGCCACCTTAATCCTCCACATGCTCTACGCAGGTCTATGGATTTAGACCAAGATCCATCACCAGTGCAACCGCCTAGACAGTCGCTGCCGTCAATACACGAAGCGCTCGGCAATGACAACCCCCTTCCATATTCTGGCCCTTCCTCCTCCGGCCCCCCATCACACCCCCATCCTCTTTCTCGTCCCGGTACTGAAGGTCCAGCCGGTCCACCAAATCCTTTTTCTAATCCTAATACATATCTGCGCGAACCGCAATACTCTTCGCAACAAGGTTCAACAGCCGCGGCGGACCAACCACGGGTCAGCAGGGTCTCGCTAACATCAACACAAGACTCTCGAAAACCGTCTATGCAGTCAGTGTCCGGGAAATCTCCCACCAGTAGTTCAAAGACTGCTCCGACATCGATCTCAACAACCCACAGTTCCAGCGCGTACGAGTATAACCCATCTGCCAGTGTCGTGGCTTCACCTACTAGCTATGCATCGTACCCACCTCAAGCTTACTCTTGGCAATCACAGCCATCAGCGTCCTACGATAGTCACCAATACGGTCATTGGAAGCCTAATGTAGAGGTGATGCGAAATGATGAGAAAGGTGGAGTGCTAGGCAACCGCGCAGGTATGCCATTGCACAGCGATTCAGTAAAGCGACAATTTGATTCCTACGATGTAGAATCTTCTTTGGCAGAGGTAAGCTAGCTATTATGGTCCTTGAACGATCTATCAATTGCATTCTTTTGTTTGTTTTGTCTTTTATTTATTTACTTTTTACCACGACTAACTCTCAAACTTCAAAGATTATTGATGGATCCACCAAATCTCTCGATTTTTCGAGACACTATGCCACACTCGCCCATCAAAACCAACGTTCGGGGCCTATTCTAGGCACTTTGCCGTCTGTCCATGAACTTGACGATGTAATTCAACAACACCAACGGACCCATGAGGCTTTCATGCGAATCCGCAATGCCGTGTTGAGCCAGGAACACGCCCTGGCCGAACAGAGGGTGCAACAACGGAATAACAAGGTTGAAAATGGGTATGATGATGAGCGCTCAGGGCTGTATCAAGATGGATTTAAAAGCCCCAGTGGATTTACGGCGGGTGATGCGAAGAAAAGGCGAGGTGTAAGTTGGCTCCAACCAATTCTTGCCCCCAGTGTATAATGCTGACATCTGTTTATCTAAACTCAGAAAGCGGCTCCTCCAGGACGATGCCATAGTTGCAATCGCGCTGAAACTCCTGAATGGCGCCGGGGTCCGGATGGTGCTCGTACCTTGTGCAACGCATGTGGTCTTCATTATGCTAAGCTAACCCGGAAGCTGGGAGGAGCAAACAAGGCCACCGCTCTGGGGTCAACTATCAAACCAAAAGGCATTGATTCAACATCCCCTGCACATCAATAGTATTTGCTTGGTCAGATGTGTATTCACAACCAGTATTAATGTCTATTTATCACTTCCCATCACATTTGTGGACGGCGTTTGAAGAGAATGGATTACATTAGAAGTCTTCTTTTGGAGAGCTCATGGAGCTGGCGTTTTTACTCTTTATGTTGTCTGCGAGATTATATCATTCACTGTGGATTTTCCTCCTTTTCACCCCCGGTATTCCCCTTGACGTTCTGATGGGCCTTAAATTTTCTTATTGATTTGTCTTGTTTAACATATTATACATATCCCTTCCCCGCCTTATCTTTTATCTTCATCTGATGTTCATTGGAGAAAGAGATACAATCTGAGCCCAAATACGAAAGCAGGGCTGGCTATTCTTTTTATGTGATCAAATATTGATTGATCTATTGCGAAAAGCAAACAGCTGTGAAGAATTTCGAGTTAGATTCTTTTTCACAATTTTCTATGTATTTTTCCATTCATATATAATTATTAACCTTGCACGTTCTCAAGCATACCAGTCAGTCTTCATCGACTGGAAGGGGGGAAGCCGAACCAAACCAGAGCCAACAGATGGCGATGATAGAGGAGAAAGTGGAGGGGGGCGCATGGTTGATCGATCTTGATTTGATTTCTCCGCGGAAGTTGTGGTGGCGATCTTAGATAAATCAATTTCAAGATGGCAGCCAGCCAGCCAGCCAGTTTGATCTAGAAAAAAGGTTTTTAATAGCCAATAACAATTTCAATGGACATGATCGATATGCAACTACCATATCGGGTATCAACGAGCTTATCGATCTTACATATAGAAATTCAATAAAGATGCAAGGTGTCGGGTATCTCGCGTCCCATAGGCCTCTTGAAATCGCAAGACCGTCCAATCCGGAACACGTTTGGCAATGTTGATGGTCATCGACATCGACGCACGGAGGGCTTTTGCATATACATATAAATCAGATCTGCAGTTCTGCTGGCATGGGGGCTAAGCCTGGCTAAGTCTTATTCCGCCAATAGCCTCTTCAGGAAGAGGCCAGTAGACAACAAATACACTCGATCCAGCATGCACTACTGATCATTTGACTTCGCAAGAAACACCAAATCAAAGGAATGATTGGACCGGTCTCATTCATTAGTTGGTGAAAGTTTGACAGAAATTTAAAATATTATAGTCTTATGTACTGTGTTTTGTGATGCACATGCATGCCCAAGCACAGCCAAACCCCAAACTGGTGTAATAATTGTTACTTTGTAATTCCAGGTCTGATCATACTGCTCTTTTTTTGAAGCAATAAACCTGAAGCTAGTCCAAAAAGCAAAGATTTATCTGACTCTAGTCGCTGAGGTCGACTTGAACAATCTCGGGGGTGTTTACCGCTACTTGAGATTGGCTAATTCTTTAGCATCATCCCAAAGGATTGAAAATATAGACGTCGTGGCTCAATCAGAATACATTGAGAAGCAAGTAAGGCTCAGTGCAATAATTCGGAGATGGCGACAGGAAGCCCTAACCCTAATCCTACATTGATGCCGAGATCTACTCCCCTAACGCTGCGTTTTGATGCTTATGTCACAACACGTGTACACGTCCAAGTACAGACCTTGATAGTCACGTCACAGTCTGTTGGTGACACGAGGCACATGGTCTAAGATTCCGTGTCCAGAAGCCTGGAAAAGGTAAAGCTGTTAGCCAGATATCAAACCATGTTATAGATCTAGTTACTCCGTAGTTCCCTACTAGTTCTAGAATCGTGCCATCTCCAATGTTGGTGCACGTAGTGGACAAGGGAATGAAAGCTTGTTCTATGTTCGTTTTCCTTCTTTTGGCCTAGTTCTTACCACCGAGAGATGGTCGTCACCCGTGTGTATTACGAATACGGTTATGTGCGCGGACGGAAGTTGAGAATTGAAACAAAATGGTAACAAGGACGTCCCTACATCTTGCTTATCCCAATTCAACGCTCGTGTAGTTCAAATTACCTGACACCGAGTCGATAGGATTTAATCTTAATTTTTGTCATGGTACAATGTACATAGTTCTTGACTCTTTTTTTTTTTTTTTTTTTTTTTCAACTTGGACATCGATACCTCGGATTGTATTGATTTTGTTTCCCCAAAAGTTCTGGCGGATGAAAAAGGGAGGAGGGCGTATGTCTGTGTGACAGTTGAAATTGGAGTAGATCCCGAGGCAGATTGATTTAAGATTTAAGATCTTGATCCGAGTCATTGCCGATGCAAATCCCGATATGGCTTAGCCACTGCAGATGCAAGTAAGTTATCGTATTACGTACGTATGTATTCCTTACCGATCAGATGGTATCTAATGTATAATGTTACCATGTCCGTACGTAAATAATAAAATACACAGAGGGACATACGTTACCTGTATTTATCTTACAGACTGCCAGCATGCATGCCTCGAGGAGATTCGCTGTTCACAAAGAAAGCTGAAACGCCAAGACAGAAAGCGCAATGTGATAAACGAAAAATAATCGTAGTCCTACGTCGATCGACTTTCAGCCACTGTTAGGTGTTGTTAACCATCCGTTACTAGTAGTATTAATGATCATGATGCATGGTGGAGTGCCACTTTAAGGGTTATTTTCTCTTGAACGCGTGAACCATGCGCATCGACCGTTCGCCTCAAGACGCCAAGGTTTGTTTTCACTTTTCTTTTTCCTCCGTTCGAACCAAGTCAGACTTCATATTCCTGCCAGCTTCTAGTTAGGTAGGTCCACGAAAGTGGATAATTATATGAGCTTCTCGTATCAAGAGATCCACCAGACTGAGCTCTCCCCCTTTTTTAGTCAATTCCAAGCATTCAATCGGCAACCACGAAAACGAACTCCATAAAGGATCGCCTATCAGGATCTACCATCCAGCATGAATCCGTAATTTTCAGCGAAATTTAAAATGCTATATCCATGCGTGCATGTTGAAATAATGGATCCGTACAGCGCATTCGAAGTTTCTAGTAACCCTTGCCCGGATTCCAAATCACTGTGCATCTGACGGGTCTGCGGTCTTACTCTTATTTCCGATCTGTATTTTGCTACCTAGGTACTTCCAGGGTTGTACTCCGCAATCCTTGTCGAGTCTTCCATACTCCTTGTTAGGACCCGGAGTTATAAAAATAAGAAGAAGAAGAAGAAGAAGAAGAAGCAAACATAACATATCATTTGCTGGGTCGTAAAATCTGACTAGACGCAACTGACTAAATAGCGGAAGATCAATCGATGACAGTTGCATCAACCGAGGACGGAGAAGTCCGTACTACATAGTTTCTGTTATTTTTTCTTTTTCTCTTACAACTTGTCATCTTTTCAAATCAGCACTACGTAATTATGCATCACGGAAGCAAGTTCGTTTTGTTCCGCACCGTCCTGCTGGGATACCTACTCCGTTACACTATTTGCTTTACCGGTTTAATAGTCTGGTTTCGATCGGTTGCCGGCAGCCGTGAGTAGGATGAAGTAAACACAAGGGTATGCTCCCAGTATTAGTGCAGTAGATGCTAACGCCCATGGAACAGATACGGACGCTTGCTCGGGTCGCAGTTACAGATCTAGTAGTTATTAATGCAGGTCATACCCGCTTATCCCTATGCTACTATCCGTACGGAGTAACTACGCAGTGGAGATTCTGCCTACACTGCAATGAAATATTGTCCTCTGGCCCACCTTGCCCTCTCAGATCCGACAATTTTGGTAACCCAGATTATCTAGTACACATGGCGAGGAACATATTTTACATTTACTACGTAGTACGTACCATGTTTTGAGGATCTGGTTCCGTCGGGCTAAAAGCAACCATTGTTTTTCTGGGTTGCTACAACTGTTAGCGTGTGGAGCCAACCAGGATATCCTATGTAGGATCGGTCAGGATCAAAACAACAAGCTATAGGCTATTACACGCTCCTAAAATATCGTCGTCACTCCCTTTTAAAAAGTTGTAGGACATTGCCCAATTAGGTAGTCTGTTGTCTTGGCTCAAGGCGTTCCTTTTTCCTTTTTCTTTTTTCTTTTTTCTTTTTTCTTTTTCTCGTGGTACGTAGTAACACGTAGTTATACTTTATCGTTTCTTCAATAGTTTCCCTAAGACCCACTCCTCTGTAGGTAGTACGATCTTACCGGATCTATTACCCGTCTATACCATACGGAGTACTCCGTATCCGTAGTACGTAATCATTGCACTGTAACTTACTGTTTTACATACCAGGTGTAAGCACTAGAGTGTAACTAAAACTAAATGAATTTATTAAATCACCATCTACTCCGTACTTCGTTACTAGAACTTAGATTCGGCGTACGGAGTTCCCAATATAGAAAAGATCCTCGTCCATTCAAGCATCAGATATTTGTCATGAAAAACCCGTTCCTTCTCCCCAGGATTTCAATCCTTCGATCAACTTGATCTCCATCTACCTATGTACCCAAGAACAGAGTAAGTTTACTGATTCAGATATCAATCTGTCAGTGGTTCCTAGTCAGGCTGGCTAGACATAAGTAGTTAACTTGAATCTTAAAAGAAAAGGGAAGGGGGTCGGGGTTAGGGTTTTTTTGTATGGTTGGGATTTGAAGTTTGTATTAATTACCTAGGATGGCAAAATAAGTTTCTAACATGATGCATAGTACCTCTAAATCCTCAAGCCAATCTTCTATGAGAAGGCAACTGAAATAGAAAAGACGACACTTGTTATGGAAGTAGATGAATAAAAGCTACTAAGGATATTGAAGGAAATGACTTTGCAAAGCATTAGATCAAATATCCGCAACAAGACAGCAGCTCGCTGGAACCATGTGTACATATGAGCGTGTAACTTGCAGTATCTATCAAAAATATTCTGGTCCGAATGGTCGACAGTAAAAACCTCATGTTTGTATGAGGTCTCTTTAACCATGCATGATGAGCGCCGGTACTCCAATCTCAAATATATGTAGAAAGACAAATGGAAGGGGAGAAATAAGAAAAGTCCAAGTCGCCTCAAAGTCGCTAACAACGTAATCTTTTCACAGTAATGAAGAAAGCCACAAAAGAAAACACCAAGTCAGGCAGGTAAGTAACCCACTTGATAATGCAAAATTAATATGCGCACAATCAACCTCAAAACAAAAAAACCCCCCACCCCCCATGCTCCTGAACTGCAGGGTAAATGTTGAAAAGAGAACGTATAAACCGAAAAAAAGCATGCCCAGTGTGAAATCAGATCATGGTAAGTAAATATATATATAGGTATTCTGTGCGCCCCTGACGTTGTCCGGTACCTAGGTATGTACCTGTTGCTTTAAAAGGTAAATAGGCCACTGCGTTTCTTGCCCAAAGGATAGACAACCAAAGCAGCCAAGAAGAGACCAACGGTGATACCGATGGCTACTTGGATCATTCCATACCCAATGTCAAAGACGACTCCGCTGTACATCTTATTCATTCCGTAGACCGACGACATATTCTGCTGTGCCTCGTAGAAACCCTGAGTTCCGTTATTGATAATTGAATAGAATGATGTATTTTGATTAATAGCATTTGCTGAAGCAATACCAGAAACTAAAGACCCGCTTGCTGCTAATCCAGATGGGACCTGGACGAATATTGCTGGGAGTATAGCAGCCGCGGCGAGACCATGTTGTAGTCGACTGTATAGGTTTCCCATTACTCCAATGACAAAAGCACCCAAGGCATTGACAACCTGGGTGTTGGCTCCGAACCTTTTCGTCGATAGAAATGTGGTTAGGTAGCCGCAAAGAGAGATGCATAGCATCATCGGTATCTGTCGCCATTTAGCCTGATTGATCGTTGTCAAGCAGAAAGTGAACATGGCAACGAAAGGTAAGCGTTGCAGATAAGGATTTTGGATTGGGCTAGGTGGGCAAGTGTAATCTGAAGTGGCGTTTGGGTCTAGCAGGCCATATACCGATGTACCGACTGTGATTCCAAACCCGAGAAAGAGCGAGTAGATAATCGAATAAACCATGCGAACCGAGCCAGCAACGATACTACGAGACTGTAATTCCAGACTTCCACACAAGACCATGTATCCGGGTAGAATAAGAGCAATAGAGCTCTGAGCGAGAGCAGAGAAACAGAAAAGATGACCACCGTTATACGGTATGCTGCCAAACGCTCTTGCGAGGAATGACGTAAGGACAGCCGCAGATATTTCGAAGACGTTGGAATATAAATAGGAACGTGGAGATAAAACCAATTGCAAGATTCCCAGCAGACAACCCAGGACAAATGCAATTGGCATGTCAATTGGACGAGCTCCGAAAGCAAACGGGCCAACAGAAGCGCTGGCACAGCCGTGCATCAGAATGAGAAACCAAACGTTGAACCGGGGTTTTTGCTTCATGATTTCTTCCAGGTTTCTTGTTGCTTCTTCAACCTGGATAATATTGTGAACGACTTCTTTATAGATTTTATGCACTTCAAACAATCGGCCAAGGTCAACCCCTTGTGCGGCTTTCACCAACTTCACATCTGCAGTGTGGGTAGCAGCATCATCAAATGATATAACCATACACCCTGGAATGTATAAAAACTGTCCATTGACCTGTAGAACCTGTGCGGTCATGCGCATATATTCTTCCAAACGATGTGTAGGTGCTCCATACTTCATTAGAGCTTTACAGAGACGCAGCAAATATCGTTGGCAAGATAGAGTCTCAGCGAGGTGGACAGTAATACACATCTCTTCTCGAGCGTTTTCTTGGTCTCGTAAATCCATTGGCCCCCGGGTACCTGGTATCAGGCCACCGCTACTTCGGGAGCGTCTCAAAGGCGGTCGTTGGCCCGATGTGCCTGAGTAAAAGTCTTTGGCTCTGTGATCTGTCCATGAGAGAGCCGTGGAAGAATTGGAATTTTTCTCCCACCATTTTCTTTTAGGTGGTTTAGCAATTCCCGAGTCTTGGCTTAGTGATCGCTCGGAGCTGTAGGTATCATCGAAGCTGTCATCGCGCAGGTGTAGGGTGTCTGGGTAGCTTATATAATCTGTGTTTGGGACATGGTTTCCAGCATGTCGCCGCTCATGCAGTCTCAGTAGATCTGCTAACACGCCAAAGTTGTTACGAGACCTTGAAGCAAGACAATCCTCATGATTCTGTTCCTCGGTTCGTGTAGGCTGTCTGGAGTGCAAGCCAGGGGAGGACAGGGCATGGACTCGAGAGAGAGCATTGAAGCCCCGTCGAGTCATTTGTCGAACGCGTAGGAGAGCTTTCAATAACTTTAAAGAGCGTCGTTTATCTCGTCCCCTTGTGGCCGATCCTTCCTCATCCTTGTTGAACAAGTCGTAAAGCTTCTCTGATAAACTGATCAGAGGGATATCTTCACGAACTTTTGAAACGACAAGAAAGCAAAAAGTATAAAGCGCGCTAAGCCCATAGGTTAAAAGAAACTTGGATTTTGTAAAGCAAAGGCAAAGCGGCCAGTGGGCTTGCTCTTGTGCGGCATGGTCTGCAGCTTTGAGTTTGTCCTCGGCGCCGATCTCATCATCATAGTCGTCGTCAGTGATTTCAGTTGAGTACTCGTTTGAGCCTGAAGTGGATCCACTGAACGTACTGTCATCTGAGGACGGGGATGAGCTATCATCCGTCAAGACTTGGTGGGAGGAACCACTTCCCAAACTATCAGCGTAAGGAATGCTGGAGGCTGATGTGGACCCTTGAAGATGCAGAACCCCTTCCTGGGTGTGGGCGGCTGACGTCGACGTAGGCTGCTGCTTTTCCTCGATCTGCAGACTACGCTGATTGATAGTGTGTTTGATGTTATTGGCGACCTGTAGAATTCCCTCATTCTTTGGCTTGCCCTGAGCACCCCCTGGCCCGGGCGTTACTTCGACACAAGTGATGCCATTGGGTAACTCTGTGCTTGATGTATGTGAGAGTCCCTGTGAAAAGATAGAAGTGGTGCATATGAGCCCTCCAGGTACGCGTCCTAGTAAATTCTTCCGTGAGTCGTCAAGACCATCGGAGCCGGGCAAGGGAAAGGCGGGAAAACCGCCAGCCATCTTTATAAAATACAAATCGCGGGTCTAAGGAACAAATTCCAAGCTCGAGCTTCTGCAAAACTTGATTGGCCGACTATCCCAGGTGGTGGGTTGCGGGCGAAGGCGAGAAAGTTTCACTTGGCTGTATCTACGGCAACGGTCAGCATATTTGTGCATGGTTGTTCCCAAATACCAGTATCTGTAGAGAGATTCAAACATCTCCTAAAGACTTCGGATGTACTTACAAAGTTTGTAGACTACCATTATTCAGGGTTCTGTTGTTGAAATGCGATACAAGGGCTACCGCGTTGTCTATTAAAGATCTGACGTTACCAGCCGTGGAGGGGGCACGTCAGAGGGCAAGCACTGGCGAAAAGAACTTACTCTTCGTGTCAAGAGTGGCCCCCTGCTAGACCTGTCGTAGTCTATGCTTTAGTCTAGTGTCGACCCTGTTCCAGAGCCCGCAAGGCCTGGGGACCCTGTAGTGCAGAGCTGGAATTATGTATTAGACTTGCACGGACGGATACCAAGCACGAGCCCGTTAGTAGACAAAACCGTGCAGATGAAGGGCCCGTAAGGTGGACATATAGTTAGAGATTGACATAGACGGAACACAGATGGAAGGGACGGCCCCTTAACTCGAAACTATTGGAAATGTTAAACAGAGGGGTGGACCCCTTGCTGTTTCCGTTTGTTTCAAACAGTGAAACTGGAGACGAGGGTAGTCTTTTTTCTCTCTTGAATTTTATTTATCCGATAGCAAAAGAAAAAACATGGAAAGAAAAGGTGACTTTTTAGGGACTTGACCTCATAAACATAAACAACTCCGGCCGTGGGGTGAATTTGGGAGGAAAACAAAAGAGGCCAGAGAAGGTAACGTAATCCACACCCGAGCGGATCACACCACCGAGCGGATCACTCAACTCCGAGCGCGTCAAATGAGTCAACTCTCTATATTCAACGCGCCAATATGCCACCAATTCCTAATAAAAATCAATCAAATTCTCAGGAACAAGAAGGACGAATCTTATTAGCTATATCCGATTTTAAAAATGGAAAATTATCATCAATTCGTCATGCAGCACGCACTTATAATGTGCCATATACAACTCTCTCGCGCCGCCTCAATGGTATCCCAATGAAAGCTGAGATACGTGCAAATGGGCATAAATTGACTCAATTTGAAGAGGAATCGCTTATTAAATGGATATTAGATCTAGATAAGCGAGGATTACCTCCCCGACCCTCTATGGTACGAGATATGGCCAATATTCTTCTTTCTCAACATGGAAATCAAACAGTTGGCGAGAACTGGGTTTATAACCTAGTCAAACGTCGCTCAGAGCTAAAAACACGATTTTCACGAAGATATAACTACGAGCGTGCTAAATGCGAAGATCCGAAGATAATTGAGGAATATTTTGATCGCGTACGAGAGGCTATAGCCAAGTATGGAATCCTATCGGAGGATATCTATAACTTTGATGAGACTGGCTTTGCAATGGGCCTCTGCGCGAGCGCAAAGGTTATTACTGGAAGCGATCGATATGGCCGTCCACATCTACTACAGCCTGGTAATCGAGAATGGGTAACTGCAATTGAGGCAGTCAACTCTACTGGCTGGGCCTTGCCCTCGTACGTGATCTTTAAAGCTACTAAATACTCCCAGGAAGGCTGGTTTGAGACCCTTCCAGATGATTGGAAGATCAATATTAGTGATAATGGGTGGACAACAGATCAGATTAGCATGGATTGGCTCATCAATCACTTTATTCCTCATACAAATGGCCGGATAATCGGACAATATCGAATGTTAATTCTCGATGGCCATGGAAGCCATTTAACTGCCGAATTTGATCGTACATGCACTGAGAATAAGATTATCCCAATCTGCATGCCTCCACATTCCTCGCATCTCTTACAGCCTCTCGATGTTAGCTGTTTTGCAGTTCTAAAGCGACAATATGGAAAGCTTGTTGAGCAGCGGATGAGACTCGGCTTTAATCATATTGATAAAATCGACTTTCTTACTGCTTTTCCAGAGGCCCGTACGATGGCATATAAAGCTGAGACTATTCGGAATGGCTTCAAAGCAACTGGATTAGTTCCATTGGATCCAGATCGAGTTTATAGTCAACTTACTATCCGATTAAAGACTCCAACACCACCTCCTAATCCACCTAGTGATTCTCAATCATCATGCTTACAGACACCTCAAAATCCACGCCAATTCAAACGCCAATTGAGTACGATTAAGCGACGAATCAGCCGGCGTACAAGGAGCCCCTCTGAAGTTATTGATGAAGCAATTAGTCGCATGTCAAAGGCGTACGAGACCAGTATTAACGAGCTTCTTATTATACGGAAGGAAGTTCACGATTTACGAGCTGCACATGAGAAAGAGAAGCGAAAGCGTACACGATCTAAAAAGCAGATATCTCATGAGCAAGGAATTACTAGAGAGGATGCTCAGGCACTTATAAATAGGCCAATTGAGGCATCTCAAGCTCCTACTACTGCTCCGGCCGAGCCTGAGCTTCCGGCCTCTCAACCACGTGTACGCCGTCAATTTCAATGTAGTGAGTGTGGAATTTTCGGGCATAGAAGGCCTCAATGCCCTAATCGTATTACTAATTAATTTTTTGTATATAATTATTATTTCGGGTTGAAAATTGAGGTTTAAAATCTATACAAGACGCTTTCTTGGAGCTGAGTGATCCGCTCGGTGGTGTGATCCGCTCGGGTGTGGATTACGTTATAGAAACATTCGTATTCATGCATATATGCAAATCTTGTCTTCATCATCGAATATGTACTTCATCGAGTGGCCTTTTCTTATATTGAAACATCGTTTTGCTCTTGCTGCTCTATATATCAATTTCATACTCTTTTGAATACCTGAGGTCATGCTTGAGGCTTAGTGAGATACGGAGATGACTCAATCAAATAGACGCCGAGTACATATTGTCCAGTCGCTACTTTCTTTAGGCAGAAACTCTTCTACCTTCACTTCATTCACTCAAGCCATGCACCCGCTTGATCAAGTCTCGCCTTCGAGAGGGTCTGGAGGCAAATGGCGAGCATGGACCAGTGACAATATCACCAGCAGGGATTGCTTGTGCTGTGGTGGGTCTCAGGTGGCCAGTGATTGTGGTTAACCAGTCTCTGCTGATAGGTAGAATGGGACGTGGATGGAGTGAGAGGAATGGTGGTGACGGACGGACTGAGCCGACAACACCACAGAAGGTAGCATTCAGCGATGATGGCTTGGCTGTGCAGTCACACACACACACACACACACCACCTCCTTTAATCAAGGCCTATAGGTAACAGATTCGGTCGAGTCTCAAGAACAACCTCTTTACCAAAGGGATTCAGGCCAAATAACCATGGAACGACGGGTTAAATCTTTCTGCAATATCGATCATGTTGACAGGTCAACTAGTACTCAGTTATTTGGGTCGACATAATGATAGGCAGAGCGACGTTAGGGTTGATTTTGTGGGCACGGACTTCATGGCAGTGGAGCGTGCACCGTGTCAAACGGAGAAAGAACTGAGAACGGCATTCCGTTTCATTTTTCATTTCTTATCGTTGAATAAATGATGTGCTTAGGCTTTTGCACTCACTCGCCGACATAGTGCAAGTGCAGAAATTCTTTTGTTTCCCCGTCCCCCTGACCGTCTCCCGTTGAGGATATCTTCGATACGCAGCTGAAGACGCAACATACAGGGCTTGAAGGAAAAGCTATTCACTTGAAACCCAGCCATACACCTGGGATAACACAGTCCGTCCCTAAGAAAGCCCTCTCGAAGAATGACAAAGGCGTAGAAACAGCCAATAATGACTTAGACATGCTTACCATGTCTGTGGATTGATTCTTATCTATGGAATACATTATATCATATCTGATACGTCTAATAGACATGAAATTTTTGTCCACTTTGAACACCAGTAATGTGGACGCAGTACGGAATGTTTCATTACGCGGTCATTGACATCGGACTGTTTGTGGAATGAGCAGACTGCTGTTTGGGACGAGAACCCGACATATTGGGTCAATGCAGATTGTTTCTGATGCCGTGGTTGGCCAGCATCGCAGAAAAAAAAGCACGTGTCTGCATTAACCCTGACCGAAATGGTAACTTATTTCCTATTCGGGTTAAACCAGGATGCTGCGGATGCAACGCGGGCTGCGCTATGCATCCATCGATGCTCCTTTTCACCTTTCTTCACGATCAATGTTAACGAGTCTAACCATACAGCAGATTCTACCTAGGAATGTTCAGCTACAAGAGAAAAGCCACCGGTCAACGTCGCAAGGCTTATCTCCATTCTATAAATGATACAGCACACATTGAGCTGGACTGCTTAAGTTAGCATACAGTCAATATGACTCATCGGACATCTAGACCTGACTCAGATGTGCTCATACCCGGTATCTAGACCCGTTTATATGTGCCTCAAGGCCCGAGTATTCCATAAGGGGCAATATCGTTACAGGCGAGCAGGGCCCCTGATCAAAAGTGGATCGCTGAAAAATAAATATGTGCATAGAAGCTGGATACTATAGGGTATTCGTTAGCCGGAACACATAAAGACACAGACTTTGCTCAATAGAAGGCCTTCAGGCATGCGAAGAATTTTAAGAAGTTTATTTGCTCAACATGATACGCTAAGTCTAGAAGTGTTTCTATTTTCCTCTCAGACCGAACAGGCAGCACGATTACTCATCTCTTCTTTACTAGTTTTCGACCACAGCCACCTTCTTATGGCCAAATGGCAAATTCAGAAATCATAGGTAATCATTTTCTAGTTCTAGCCTAAGGTTTTGGAAGATTGCACATTCTTGGCATAGAGGTCGGTGAGGTGTCACAGCTTATGTGCTGCTTGACAAGTATACGAAAGCGAGGAGGTCACAGGCTATATGCTGTGCTACCTACTTAGCAACACCATAGTTGACACTACGTAGTACCTACTGCTAATCTACTTCGGAAATTTCAATCCGTAAGTAGGTACTGATTTGGTCATCTGTTTACTTTTTTGCAATCACGAAATGGGTTAATGACCGAGTCAATATATCTCCAGGTTATTGGGCTTGCAGGCAAAACAGAATAATAAACAAGACATTATTGTTATTATAATCCCTGTGGACGTTATTCGTGATGGGTTACATATTGTAAGTGACCTGCCATCTTCACATGATAATGTCACAACGTTGACACCATCGACTTCGATTTGGGCGAATAATGACGTATAGGATGAATAGCAAGAAGAAAAGATCTAGATACAAGTCACAATAGCGAATCACTAATAGCCAGTAAAACTAGGTATCCCTTGAAGGGCACTAGATCAACTAATTACTTGTGCCAGACTTCAGCTTATCACAGTACCACCACATACAAAGCGACTCGACCCATTGTACCAGAGAAGAATACTCAAAAACTACTAGGTTCTTGGCTAGTATTTCCCACTGGTTGATAGATTACCCTATTCATATAGAGGGCCTAGAATCCAAATAATGAGCCAGATCTGAACGCCGTGTTACAATAAAATACTAACCGGATATAACTCTATCAGACTGAGCACATACCTTTGCCGGTCAGAAGGCCATTGAATACGTATGATTTATACCTGCCTAGGTGCCTCACAGTATTAATTTCTTTTCAACGGCCCCGCCTTTACCACGTAATGATAGGTTTTGTCGGTCTATTTTTCAATAAAAAAGGGCGTGTCACTCAAAGCAACTCTTGAAGTATATTGACGATGTTCCTCATCTAGGAGCTAGAACAAAGAGTTGCCTAGGCGGGGCGAGGAAGGTCTTATCATGAATTTCACCGAAGGCCAGATGGTGTGTAATACCCAGATATTCTAGACCATAGGGTACATGGACGAATGTTTGAGGCCACCTAAATACGAGATACTTCTGTATCATGCAAGTAGATGTATATTCGCAATGTAAACTACAAGTGCTAGGCGAAGAAATGGCCACATGATTGGATAAAGAGCGACCTGGTCATGCTTTGAAAATTCCATTGATAATTCTAGTGCAACTCGCTTTCATTCCTCCTACGGCTATATTTCTTTATCTTTGCTTTCTATAACCAATATAACGATTATTTCTGTGTCCCTTAGGCATTGCTTTTCGCCGTCTTGCCTTCATTTCTGGAGCAATAACGCGGGAGCGACTAGAAACAGAAAAGCAAGACCTGCCAGCCTTTGACATTATTTATCATGGCTGTGAAGTTCGACGTCTTATGATAGGCTTTAGGGAAGCCATGCACGATCCATGAGTGGATATGATGTCGAATTCAGCGACACAACCTTTCGAAGCTTGAAGGACCCAGAGAAGAAAGTTTATTAAATGGCCGGGGAAATCTGTGGCTCGTTCCGAGCCGAAACTTTGGTTAGGACCCATATCGAAACCCGGTTGCACCAATAACGCTAAGCTAATCATTATGAAGCTTCATGAGCAATGTACAGCAGCATCACACACGGCACGGATCAAACAAAGCCTTCTCCCCAACAGCGCGGAACGCTGCCAGGCTTCCCCCGTTGTAGGACGCTTTACGTATTTTTCATCCATTCGGTTCTCGAAAGCTACATGCTCCTTACCTCTTATCCGTGAATCAACAAACATTCGACGTCAGGATCCGTTCTCCGCGTGCTACTACCCCCGTGGCAACCCCGAATCCGTCCGTGATGTCTTAATAACAACAACAACTTTGAATCGGAGAAGGTCCCAAAAGCAGCATACGCAGTTATATTGAAGAATAGCATCTAAATTAGGCACAGTGTACATCCATGTATGAATAGCTTGATATTAGAGGATGCATATGCAAGGCTACCTATGTAGTTCGGGCGTACAACCAAACTGCAAGTTGGCGGGAGCATAAGCCGACATACTTTGTGTCGTCAGTAAAGAGAGTGTAACATTTTCGTCTAGTAGAAAAGGGTTAAATTCTAGCAAAGCCAGCTGCTACGGAAAGCGACAGAACGGCCGGTCCAAATCCAATCGTGCTACGGAGGAGATATCTTGCTTAGATGGATACAGGCCAACAATATGAAACTTTACCTGAGTTGGTAAAAGCCGAGATTGAAAATTTCTCTCCTATCCTTGAAATACACAGGCAAGCAGCCATATGCGAGAAAGCAAGAAAGGAAAAAGGGCTAGGGAGTTAAAGAAAAGCTTGAAGATTGATACCTACGTACCTTGAAAGCACTTTTTCATTCAGCCCAACTACCTGGAAAAGTTGCCTACTGGCATCTGGAGATACACAAAATGAGATCCTGGGGTAGTTAAACTAGCTAGTACGTACACACATTGAGCTACTACTAGGGTTTCACAAACAGACATGAGCTTGGGATCCCAGGTACTGCTCCAGCTTTCTCATGCATCACCGTTTAATACCACAGCAACCAGTACTACTCCTGCAACAATAATATGAGGTGTCTTTTACGATAGTTACTTTTGGCTATGCAGACCTTTCTGTGTATGAAGAACAACTGGGACTGTGTCCAATCAAATCAATTCACCAGGTAGCTCCATGGAATCATAGGTATAGTGCAAATTACCTAGGTAGGTAATGTGGCACAACTCACTGATGACGCCTTCCTCCGTAACTGTGTTGCACTTCTCCAGTTCTGGCTCGCTCAATAACAAGACGTTTCAAGGACATGTTAGTTACTGCATCTGTGTAGATACAGGGAGACAGCTCAAGGCGCATCCACAGGCCCGACATCTTTGAACTGCCCCCCGTCGCACCTACGCACTTAGAAACCATGTATGGACGTCAACCAATCAAGATACTGCCAGACATATCTAGATAAGTAGGTAAGTTCCATGTATCGATTGAGCATAGTCTCTATGGCATTTAAGTATAGCCTGCATCATGATGAGGAGAAAGCAATGCCATTGAATTGAGGGCAGTATTGGCGTATTGACCTGCACTCATCTTCGATTCGAACTATCCTAAAAGAACCATGGAGAACATTATAGGGTCATCGCTATTCACAACATTCCACATAATCATTGCAATATCATCATTTTGAATCCTAACAATGGGGAAAAAAAGATACTGCACATATTTCCGTAACCAACAAGCACAGGAAATGAATAGAAAGGGGAAACGAAAGATGTACTGATAAGAGAAGCCCTCGCAATGAAGACAGTACAATATAATGCGCCCGGTAATCTGGTATCATATCAAAAAGAAAGAGCAGAAATGTCAAATAAAAACATCTTACTAATATTAGGGCTATCCATTTTTACCTCCTCTCCACACGACTCAGAGCCCCAAGTATTAGGCTTAGATCTTCCCTTTGCTGTCGTGTCCGCAATGCAATCTTGCGATGGAAATTGTTTTTGTCCTTATACGTATCGCCATCCTCTGGGGCTTCATGGAGTGGTGCGCTATCTGAGCTCCGGTTGTCTCTTTCCTCAAGTTGTTCAGAGCAAACCTTCAACATTTGATGAGAGAGACGATCGGCTGCAGAACGATAAATATCGATGTCATGGAGTCCCGAAGCAAATGCGTCTAATGTCGGGGCTAGAGATGAAGTGATGCGTGAGAGGCGGCGAGTTATTGTGGCAGGTGGTAGAGGCTGATGGGCAGGTGGTGTAGTGTTGATTCTTTCCGGCTCATTCTGAGTCCCTTCATAGCGTTTTCGAGCACCCCCAGGAGCGAGCGTGGCCAAAATTGATTGTTGAGAGGGATCTAATATTGTTTCATCTATATTTGGCAGGCATTTCGGTCGAGCATCGTCTCCCACAGCCTGCTCAGAAGGCGATTCTATAGTGGGTATCGAAGGGACGCGTAGTAATGCATTGAGTGCATGCCTTTCATTTTGCAACCTAGTCGTCGTTAGCAACTTTCGTTGAAGAAAGTAGACATCTGGACTGCACTGTCTCAAGATACATACCTGCGTATTTGGTCTTCTAACTCTTTTATTTTTTCCGCATTTTGGATGTTTTTGGGATTTGGCTTCTTGACAATAACCGTAGGAGCCGGTGCATCTTCCCGAGAAAACCAATCTGATAACTCGGATTTATTTGAAAGATCTTGAAGTAGTTCCTCTTGTATAACTCGAGCTGTACGCAATTAGTGAGTTAGAGGTTTATTATCAGCAAACGTAGTTTGTTTATGAAGACATTACCTGCTAGTCGGGCACTGTCGTCGTCAGAACGCGAACCTGATGGCTTGTCGTCCATTGCACGGGTGGCACACCACGTTAACAGCTGTCTCATGCGGCGAGGCTCTGAAAGTCCATCACTTGCGATGTGTTTATAGAACTCTGATGTTGGAACCTCCCTATGAGGTAATGCTATACCAAGAATATTAGCTGCCTGGTTTTGTTTCAAGCGTGGGAATCATTTCTGAATTGAAAAAGGAGATGAGTACCGTTTGATGCTCCCGAATCTATTAACGAACTTGCTCTCCGGCCTCTCATTCCCAGACTATTCCGTCTTGGCCCATTCCCTGCGCGACCTTCCCTCATCTCCTTATTTCGCCGTATAACGGGAGTATCTGCCAAAGGCAGTGCAATCTTCGACGTTGCGCCTTGAGAAGGCTCGGGTGATCGCAAAGTGATATCCACAGAAGGTCTCGCCTTGGCAGGCCTGCCTTTTTTCGATGGTTTTTCTGTGGGAAATGGGGGCTCTTCACCACGTTTTCGAGTTTGCCCGACTTCGCCTTGAAGTTCCAGAGAAACCCTCTTCGGGCGTCCCTTAGGGGCCTTGCCATTTCTTGTACTAGGCCTAATATCTTCTGGTATCGTGTCTCCAGATGGTTGTGTTATATGATTTTTCGGTGGACGACCTCTTCGTGGTGAGTGTAGGACGGCCTTTTCTATTGCGACATCATCTGGGATTGGTTCTTCTAAACCTGATTTCAGTTTCTTCGCGGCGGTAGTAGCTCGAGAAAATTGGAAACCTCCAATGTCTTCGTCGTATGCAGCTGTAGGAATTGAAATATAAGTCAGTCATCTTCACGTGGAGGGATGAATGGCGACCCAAAATCTTTGCGTTTCGATCTGAGGAATGACAATGTTGATACTGAGCGACTTACTTGCGTTTCTTTTTGTCGCATTCCGCGTCGATCTCTCTTGTGTAAAGTTTCCAGAAGAGAAAGCGCCTTCGTCAACCCCAATTTCCTTTGCATTCAAGCGCGAGCTCGTTCGTTTTCCTCGCCCCTTCTCACCATTTCCACGTACCGACGACGCAGGTCGCCCCTGCGACGCCGCCATATCAATCACTTTGAGAGGTTCACGACGCGCGGTCCTTGTAGCCGTTGTTGTCAAGACCGTGACGGTCATATCAGACAATTCGATATGTGGGGGGGGGGGCAGAGAAACTCGAGAATCGCCTCTGGAACAATTGTTATAACTTGTCTCGTCTCTTATAGTCACGGATATGTCGCAATTCGTAAATTTCGCAGAAGACTGTTAGGGCGCTGTCTTTCTGCAGCGCTTTCGTAATCTCGGTGTTTAGGTCATTAAAGCTATCTCACGTCGTCACAAAATCCCCTCCCTCCATTACTCTCAATTTGTGTCACAGAGTCGTTTGCTAAGAGCACCTTTGCTAGCATAAACCCCTGATCTTGTAGCGCCGGCGTGGCGCGCGGATTCTCAATTCGTTGTCGGGTCGCAGAGTCCTTGCAATTCAGAGCGAGCGTGATGGTGAGAAAAGGACGGGTCGCGCTTCTGCCGATAGACGCGACCCAGACTTGATGTTTGCTTCACCACGAATCAGCAATTCACCTGCGCAGCAGCCAGCGGGTTGGGAAGCAAAAGAAAAAAACACGATAGTGCGCCTAGTCCCGAGGGCATTGAATATCTTCTCGTCTAGATAGAAATCGCGACTCTTGCACTTCGTCTTGCCCCAACGCGCCAACGACCAAAACAACCTTGTGGGTGGGGACGTCTAATCCTGTTTGGGGTTAGTGTGCATGCTCTGGCACGAGGGCCGAGGGGAAGCGCTGCGTAATCACGATACGGTAATTATTTCTCCAATAGCACTGCAATTCTCTTGCAGACATTTGGTATTTTACACTATTATGTACCAAGGAATACGGAATACTGCGTAAGTTATGTTTTGATGTTGGTGAAATGCAAGGTTTTCGAAGATTCCATGCCATAAATGTCGTGCATACATCATCATGGTCGTGTATATTTACTAGAACACAAAGCGAACCAAATGTACCATGTTCAACGAGGTTTGTCTGGGGATGCGCCATGCTTTTGGGCAGTGATCAGTGATCACCCAGCTATCCTGCGATTCGCCTCCACTTTCGCTTCATGAGAGATGCCTTGCTCTTTCTGCTGCACATCAGGTTCAAATTGAGGCACGTCTGGACTGTGGCCGATAGACATGCCCACCCGTATCTATAATGAAATGTTAATAACGAGTGCGGCCTCCTTATTTTGCCCGAGCTTCACTTACCAGAGTTTCAAGGGCTCCCTTAGAATTATCGATCAGATCGGAATCAAAGTTAATCATTCCAGATTCAAATAATAGCACAACGGTACTTCCTCCAAATTTGAAATATCCCAGCTCCTCGGCGCGCGCTACTTTCTCTCCAGGCTGTCGGGTGATTACGGTACTCCCAACCATCATGGCACCAACACATACCACCATTACTCGACCATGAGCGACAGAGTCGATAGGTACTAGAACCCGAACATTCTCTCCATAAACATCGAGTGCTGAGCGAATTGCCATAGGATTTACCGTATAGTATTCACCTTCAATAGTTTTTGGGGTGCCCATGACTCCGTCCACGGGAACATGGAAACGGTGATAGTCTTGAGGTGCAAGTCGGAAAATTCCAAGAGCACCATTCTTATATCTAGGGACATCCTCTGGATAAGCTGCCCCCAGTAACCGGTCAACGGAAAATTCCCGGCCCTTAATCCAGATCTTGGTAGCGTCTTCGATGCGGTCGAATACTACACTGCGGCAATCGGCTGGTGAGACGACGATTTTCGGCTGATCCAGAGCAGAGCACGGCCTCGCATTTGGCTTCAATTTACGATAAAAGAATTCGTTGAATGTTTTGAAGTTCTCCATCGGCTCCAAAACTTCCGACATATCGAGCCGATGGAAGTTAATAAAATTTTCGATCTGACTAGCGGACACTGGGTCGTCATATTTCTTCCCTTGTTTGATGCTTAGAGACTTTAGCATCTTCCGAACTATTGTCTTCATGTTAGTCATCTTTTATCATGCTCATAATGAGAGCTTTTTTTAACCCTTTGACTTACTTCTCTTCTTCTCCATTTCGCGACTTTTGAGCCCCTTATACAGCAATCGAATCCCAAGACGAACATAGACACTCATTTTTTCCTCGTTGATCTGACCAGTAATACGATCCTGCACCAAAATGTTTGCGGAATTTGCCCCTAGCCGATATCCTCCATAGCCAATCTTGGTGACAACTTTGCTGTACCACTTACGCTGTGCTTGGCTGGACGTGACAAAGCCACCCATGACGATGCTATCAACCTGGCGCCAGTCTTGACTGACACATGTTGCAAGGTGGGTAATAATGTCTGCATCAGAGCGTTTGCTTAGTCGTGGTTGGTGGCATAGAGGGCATTCTCCAATTTCAATTACGTGCTCTTCACCTCTTTCGTCGGTGAGATCGTCAGGTGTAAGTTCGCCGAAACCTGGCGAAGGCTGGTCCGCCTCAGGAATAGTTGATATATCTACTTGCCGTAGATTGCCATTTACATCTTCCAAATCCGTTGCTTCGTCAGCAGCACTTGATGGGTCCGGGCTGCGTTCCCCTGTCGAGGATAGGGAGGTTGGCGCTAAATCCCGAAGTTTCGAGGTGAGTCCCCCAAAATTATTTTTTTGCACTTCTTGAAGTGCATCTTCCAAGCAGATCACGGCTTGGTCATATGAGATATCAGCTGTCTCATTAGACTCATTCTCGCCAGCAAACCTGGTGAAGAAGCCATCAATGGTAGATTCCTTCAAAGTGGACCCGAGAGTATCAAGCATAGTAGTGAGCTCTATTTTACTGAGTCGACCGCTGTCGTCAGCGTCATACTGCTTAAGCATGACTCGCCAGAACTGTTGCCGAAGAGCTTTATACGGCATATACTTTGCTTTGATAAAGAGTTCTGGCGAATACTTGTCCTCCCATCGTTCTTTATTCTTCAATAGGAGCGGGATAGTATATGTCCTTAGATCTTCGCTATCTGCAGAACTTTGAGAATTTAGAGGCATTTCGTCGCCCTTTGAGGGAAAGCTGCTCGGGACTTCAAGGGTTGCGTTGCTAGTATCAGTGGGGACACTGCTAGGCGGGGTTAATAGAGATTGTTCGGATTGAGTATTAGTAGGGAGCGAAGAGTTGGACGATTGCGATGTTAATGTTGGTTTTGGCGATCTACTTAGACTAGTTGCAGAGTTGGAGCGTGAGATGGGCAACCTGAAACGTGACCTCTGAGAGTGCAACATTCGCCCTGGCCTAGAAGGTTCCTGCAGTTTGTATAACCCAGTTTCTGGATCGGCCTCAGGGGCTGTCGAAATGAGCGTTTGAAGAGGAAGTTCGGCAGTTGCAACAAGATCATTTCCAGATAGTTTATCGCGGTCGACAACTGTGAAGCTCATAGTGTATAATTGTTCGTGTTTCATGACCTGGAAAACCATCTTTTCGTCGAACACTGGGTTTAAATTGTGACGAATAACCCTGGTGCGGAGAGTTTTTCTTCCCAGTGAGGTAACCACGAACGGGTCCATGTCAAATGATGTTCGAGTCACTGCGATTCAAAAGTCAGCTCTTATCTCGTTAAAAACAGAAAAGCAGGGTTGTTTACTATTTCTCTCCGGCGGTAGGTTACTTATCCTGTTAATTTCAAGGAATATAATGCCCTGTACACCGTTGGAGGCACCGGAAAATTGATAGGCTCTCGCCGCAATGGACTTCCGCTTCAGTCGTGCAACACGTAGCCGACGCCTTCGCTTTTCCACGACCTCGGGTTTAGTAGGGTCATCCGTTTCATCCGATGTCTCTTCATCTTTGTCGTTGTCGTCCTGCTCGTTCCACGGGGCTGACGTGAGGGCTGCATCTTCCTCCTCATCCGCTGCGGACACAATTGATCTAAATTTCTGGTAGGTCTCGGTAGAAGTCGCACTAGGATTGGCCGTATCGAGGAGAGAAAACTGGATGAGTATTTCTCCAGAAACTATACTTTCCTTCTTCTTGCCCCGTCTCCGCTTTGATTCCAACGTGTACCATTTTGGCTAGGATGATGTTCAGTCACGAATTGCGTCTTCGGTTGTGAGCTTAGGCCCGGTGTGTGTGTACCTGATGTTGGGTTTCCCCTTCCCCAAATATCTCCTCCAACGGGATATCAAACTCCCCCATATAATCCCTCCCAAATCGGTCTCGATCCCAGCAGACACATTCCAAAAGAGGAACGCCGCTAATGGGCAACTCAAACGTCACATTCCAATCTGGATTCAAGGTCTTGCTGATCGTCGGAGTCGATTCGCGCGAGTTTCCTAGGGACACGACAAGGAACTTTCGCATAATTGAGTCAAAGCCAGAACGCATGAAGGGCGCAGATGCAAGAAAGACTTACAGGATCACTCGTTCCGCCTCTATCTTTTGCTGCCAGGTTCCTCCCCTGGTGGATGCAAGGTTATGTCAGCCCTAAGCGCACACTTGAGATCACAGGGACGAGATCTCCTCCTCACCTTCACCACATTAACCTTCAGCGTCAACGGAGAATCCATTGGGGACCTCAATGGGCTTGGGTTTCGACTTTGCTGAATTGGAGTCGTGCTCTTAGAGCTGACGAAGCGCTGGGGGAGTGGAAGGCGGACCATGGTCAACTGGCACACGGGTGTGGGGTATATTAACGAGCCTGGGCGGGTGATAATAGTGAGAGATTAAGGATGACGATATAAGTTAGCAAGGCCAAGCCAGGAAAATCACTACCCTGCTGCCGTCGGGTGCTGACATTGGTCGTTTGGTCCGATCAGCCTGTGGGATGAGGTCAAACCGTCAGGGCTGTCTCTATTTATTTTGGGGAAGGTCCCAGTTGCACCGGTTTTCCGATGTTTCGCTCCGCTCTTGGAAGCGTGTGGGTTGTGAGATGTGAGATGTGACGTGTAAGGCGTAAAGCGTAAGGGTTAGAGATGAACTCAGCGTGTTTCCATGCAGGAGAGCTGTGTGTGCATTGTTTGTCTCTCTTTCTGCACGACTTGGAATGCAATTGAGAAGAAAGAGAGGTGGGGAAATAAAATAAAATAAAATACAGTATTGTCGCGAGGCAGCGACCATACGCGAGCAATGGCAGCAGCTTTGAAATTGGGGTGAGGTTGCAAGGTTGTGAGTCTCGCAGTCTCTCTATGGAGACATGACGTTGAGCCTCGAGGGGAAGAAAAGAGACTCGCCGGGAAGGCGGGGTGGGGGGAAGCTGACCGAAAGTTTGAAGTTAGCTTGCAAATGCAGCCGGTGTCCTTTTCATTCGTGCTCGTGAGAAGAATATAAAAGATAAATCTCTATTCAAAATATTACATTGAAAAGCGAGAAGGGAAAAAAAAAAAAAAAAGGAAAGATGAATAATTGAATGAATAAAATTGCAGCGAGACCTTCTTGGTCGTATAATTTAATATATAGATTGTGCGTTTACCCCAACTGAACAGGAGCACTACTGCCGCATTTCTACAACTTCCCAGGGACATTTCCGTTCGTTTTGGCACAGGTGCGTGCGTCTAGCTTACTACATAAATATCATCATCTTTCTACTGGGCGCATTAATTAACTCGCGGCGATAGGAGGGATTCGTTTACGACGGATGCTCGCGGCACCCATCTAGTGCTTATGAGAGGGCAGTCCAAGACTCCAACGTCGTAATATTGGTTCACAATTCTCGGCGCTCGCAGAGCATCAACAGATACAACGTCACACAGTGTCTGGGCAAGCATTTGCGAGGACTCAGGAGACTGGTTTGTCCCCACCTCCAGCGGCGATGGCGACGAGGCCGGAATATTTATAGAAACGTACGCTAGTTTTTTTACGCTGCCAAGCTGGACAACGTCAAAGAGTACGCAGTCATTTGAAAGCTGCGACTACGCTCTAATCCATTCGCCGTTCGTCGACCCGGCCCCAGACTTCATCCGGGGTGGATCTGCCTTTGGTTTCGGGGACCCGTAGATAGATGAAAATCCCGAAAAGAGCTGCTAGGCCGGCAAATAGCCAGTAGACTTGGCCCTTTCCTCCGAGGGCCCCGTTAAGCATGGGGAAGAACTGAGCGACGATAAATGTCGCAATCCAGTTTGTAGACAACGCCCAGCTTTGAATGGCGCCGACGGCTTCAGAGCCTACGAGCTCCGAAGCGAGAATGAACGGCACGGGCCCTAGTCCCACCGCGAAGCTAGCGACAAAAAGTAAACTTGCCAATGCAGATATGATCTTCTGGTTGACAGAGATTCCAATAGCAAGCAGCACAGATGCTGCGCCCATGCCACTGATACTAAGTAATAGACACGTCTTGCGACCGATTTTATCTGGCAGAGGAGAGCAAGCCAGGGTGACCACAAGATTGAGGGCAGAGATAATCACAGCCAATAGCGGAGCTGCCGTCGGCAACGTGCCCTGAAGCAACGAGACACTGTACATGATGATGCTGTTGACGCCGGTGAACTGTTGTGCAAGCATGACAATGACAACTGCAGTAAGAGCGGGACGGTATTCCGGGTCTGTGGCCACTGTCAGTATCGTGACTCGTGGTTTCTGGGACTGTGATTGATTTGAATGCGGTGACAACAAAGACTCCTCCTCTTCAGCACCATGGCTCTCCAATGAACCAGCTTTCCATGATCGAATTTCTTCTTCAATCTCGGCGTCTTTGCCGCGAATACGTTGAAGCACTTGTCGAGCTTGACTCAAGTGCCGATGCTCAGCCAACCAGGCAGGCGTTTCTGGCACAAAAAGAAGACCGAGAAACTCGACTATACCCAGGATAGCACCTACAGCGAGAATATTTCTCCATAGACTATCCCTGCTGAAGAAATACCCAAGAGACTGGGTCAAAAGAATCCCTACATTAGTCATGATTTGAGTGAAGGCACCGAAGAAGCCTCGTGACGCAGCCGGTGCGATTTCGGATACAAAAATAGGCCCGACCACGATTGAAGCCCCGGCACCAATGCCGCTGAGGAACCTCCCCGCGCTTAGAATCGCAATGTTTGGGGACAATGCCTCAGCAACGGAGCCTAACACAAAAAAAGCCGTCGTCGCTCTCAATGCCAACAGCCGACCTGATCTGGTGGCAATCGGGCCGGAGACAACAGCTCCCACGAAACCCCCAACTGTGTAGATAGATGACACGAGTCCAAACTGCGACGGATTCATTGGAAGACATTGTGGTAACCGGTTAGAGGTCGACGTCAAAGTGATGCTCTTTTTCTCGCAGGTGATGACGGCTTGAGGGGCATTTAATTCAGCCTAGGTATAAACGGCTTTTCCTTAGTATTCTGTGACAGTAGAGACACAAGGACTCCTCTATGCGTACCAGATGATAGCCAAATTGCAGAGGGCCTAGCGTTGCGACGAAGACCAGGTAGACAAGGAACGCGGTAACGCTGGAGGTCGTAGCCATCGCGTGAGCTCCAAGAATCCCTTGGCTTGCGCACTACGATAACTTAGTGTGGTGTCTGATATTTGTCAATTTCACGAAGATCCAATTCCTTGAGGGTCGTTGTTGATGCAATCATTGCCGTGTAAAGTAAGCACTAATCCTGGTTCGGATAGACTATTGTGTGGGCGCCGAGTCGGCGCCATGATTGGTGGATGCGGCAAGGACATGCCAAGACGTCGGAGCTTGGCCAATCACAACAAGCGCTTGCTTCGAAGCCCCGGCGGAAGATCATCTGATTCGCGCGTTCGCTTGCCGGTGGACCCGCCTGCTAGAAAGTTGATCGGCTCGACGACAACGTGACACCAACTGGCAACCGCTCTCCATATCGCATTAATATTTCGGCATAATATTTGCACGTCCCTACGGAGTACTCCGTAATAAAACCAGCCATTAACTGACCAACCGAGTGCTAGGAGCACCCCCTCGCCGGTGGATTGTGCTGTGCATGTGGCATCGCATGACCTACGCATCTCGGAGCACGGATAGAGAGCTGCTCGTCGGAATCCGCCCATCCACAGCGTCCACCCACCGCGGCGGATTTCAGCTAATCAGTCGAAGCTTCAGTCTCCATTCTTATTCCCGATCCCCATTGATGAATTATTAATTCGGAGATAGCGCTTCATTGCTGTTATTGATGAGCTTGACCAACCCTCCTTCGTCTTCCGGTGGGCCTTTGACGACCTCTTCTATCCGGCCCAACGTCTCCTCTTCCAATTTGAACCTCAAGAGAAGCGTCCAGGCTGCTTTTGACGGTAAATAAACCGCTCCTTTTTTTTTTTATTTCTTCTCCGTCTTTTCAAAGTCCTTTGCCATGGATCGCGCTTAGTCGAATGAAAACCGCTCCACTTTTTGTCATTCCGATCTTCCAATCTGAAATGGCCTGTATACTCCATCCGATTGCCGCATTCTTTTTCTGTCTTTGCAGTCCGTACAGCATCAACAAAACTGTATTCTTTTCTTGCTCGCCATGTTTGGGAAAAATTACTCTGTTCTAAATCCCCTAGGTGGTGCTTATCTTCGTGGTAATTTCCCTTTCTGGTGTCTGGTGTTGTGTGTGCTTCGCCCCGAGTATGGTCACGTGCATGTAATTGTCCCCGATCATCGCAGTTAAGCGAAGCCTTCTCGAACTCAGGTTCATTGGATGCTTTCACTACTCATTTCTGATGTTATGAATACGGCCGGGTATTTTTCCCCTTGAAAAATTGCTAACTTGGTTTCTCTCAGATTCCGGCCGTCCCGGAAGCGGGTATACGAGTAAAGTCCACATCAGAGAGCGATATCATATTGTTGGTTTTATTAGCAGTGGCACGTATGGACGTGTTTACAAAGCCATCGGGAAGAATGGCAAGAAGGGCGAGTTCGCTATCAAGAAGTCAGTGGGGTTTCTTCCTCGTTTCGTTCAACTAATAACAGTATCATCAGGTTCAAGCCCGATAAAGAAGGAGAATTGATTCAGTATACAGGCCTCTCGCAATCTGCAATTCGTGAGATGGCTCTGTGCTCTGAACTCAATCATCCGAATGTAGTGGGTTTGGAAGAGATTATCTTGGAGGACAAGTGTATTTTTATGGTGTTTGAATATACAGAACACGATTTGCTTCAGATCATCCACCATCATACTCAGCAACAGCGACATGCTATTCCCGCCAAGATGGTTCGCTCAATACTGTTTCAGCTGCTCAACGGCCTACTTTATTTACATACCAACTGGGTTCTTCATCGTGACTTGAAGCCTGCAAATATTCTTGTTACCGCTGGCGGGGCTATCAGAATAGGTGATCTTGGTTTGGCACGTTTGTTCTACAAGCCCCTAAATTCCTTGTTTACTGGTGACAAAGTTGTGGTAACAATTTGGTACCGTGCACCGGAGCTGCTGCTGGGTAGCCGGCATTACACCCCTGCGGTAGACATGTGGGCTGTGGGCTGCATATTCGCCGAGCTATTATCATTGCGCCCGATATTCAAAGGAGAAGAAGCGAAAATGGATAGCAAGAAAACCGTTCCGTTCCAGCGCAATCAAATGATGAAAATAGTCGACATATTGGGCTTCCCACGACAAGAATCGTGGCCTGGCCTAGCGGCCATGCCTGAGTTCAACCAGTTGCAATCCATGATGCAGTCTATGAAGATGTCATCACGGGGAGGCCTTCACTACAATAAGCCCTCCGGTCTTGATACATGGTACCAGGGATGTCTGAAGACGGGTAGTTACTCCCCACACAGCAGTGTTGGATCACCCGGCGCTGATGGCTTTGATCTGTTGTCACGATTACTGGAATACGATCCCACAAAGAGAATAACCGCAGAGGAAGCTTTAGAACACCCGTACTTCACAAATGGCGAGCCGATCAGCGCAAACTGTTTTGAGGGCTGTGAAAATAGTTATCCACCCCGCCGAGTCAGTCAGGATGGTAACGATATTCGGAGCGGCAGCCTCCCAGGTACGAAACGCAGTGGACTGCCGGATGATAGTTTAATAGGTCGAGTGGCCAAACGTCTCAAGGAATAATTTGCGTATATACCCCTTTTTGTGATGGACCATACATGGCGTTCAATTGGCGTTAGATTTAGTTTTCAATGTGCATGGAATGTGCCGGAATTTATATATGATTTTATGCATATGGGCTTCGCTGTATGCATGCTTTTTGAATCAGAAAGCTCTTTCTTTCTACTTTTCAGGATCATAGGGAATAAATCAATCTTGCGCCAAAGTGCGCTGGCAATTGTTATTATCGTATGATCTTGGATGGACTTAGGGGGCTGGCTATGTTCATCAGAATAGCTACAATCCAAACATTCGTTTCGAAGACAAGTAACCTAGCCTTGAACTTGAATAGGAAGGATACAATGAACCACTACACATTCCACAAACCACATGCGCCGTTGACATTGAAAACACGTCCTCCCGATTACCCACCCCGAATGCTGAAATGCTCTTGCATTTCTTTCCATGTGAAACCCTTGCGCCGACAAATCACTAGTATCCTAGAAGAGAGTATCAATCTATGATGAATACGGCCGTGGTGGTAAAGAAACAGAGGACCGGGAAAATACATACCGCTTTGCTCCTTTCGACTATCACTGCCTCCTTCATGGTCGTCATCCTTTCCATCTCCCCCGTTATTACTGAAAGTAGAGGCTTGGCCACCAGCTTCGCGGATAGCCATGTCATCCCCGCGCAATTTTTCGAAATATGACTTGATATCGTCCGCACTAACCGCTTGACCACTTTCAGCAAACGGCTTTAAAAAAGCTTTGACTTTATCTCGTAGGTGATTGTATACCATGGCGCCTTCTATGGCTCTCACGCGGTCGATATTGCTAAGGGCAGCTTCACCACGGTCCAAAAGGCTCCTAGTTCCCTGGCTGCCGGTTCCGTTGGCTTCATCCCCATCTTCGGATAGAGGCGGTTCGTATGTTTCTTCTTCTTCTCGAAGTTGAGGATGGGGAACGAGGTGATGAAAACAATCGGAACAGCGACACAAATGATCGCGGAAGTCTTCCTTGACAAAAAGGGAGAACGTTCCAGAAGGGGCTTCCAATGGCAACAACTCATGTTTGTGCTTGGATGCCTCCGCTGTGGAAGCTTCTTCTTGAATAGTTTCTAATCTATCTTGGCCCTCCACTTTCGTTTTTTTAAGATCTTGAATTTCATCGACTTCACTATCTTCTGCCTTGCGTTTTCGTGACTTCCCCAGATCTTCAAGTTTCGCTTGGTCGCTGCCCCTTTTTGGTTCTGATTCATTGGAATCCCGGTTTTTGTACACTGGTGATAGAAACCCTTTAGTCCCAGCGTAGCGTTTCAACCAAGGATTGGCATTTAAGCACTTGTAGCATATGAAAGTCTCGAAGTCATCTTCACCCGGAAAGCCCGGGGGCAACGGGTAGTCCTCGTCATCTCCATTCTCTTCCTTGGTTTTGACATCGATACCTTGAGATTTTGCTTCGGTCTCTGATGCTGTTTCCTTCTCCTTCGCCGTATTATGCCATCCACGAGGAAGACCCACGAGACATTCTGGATGCCACCAATCTTCACCACATCCACCAGTTTCGACAGTACCCAAGCCAAGGCATTGGAACATTGTCCCCTTTTCTTCATGCGTGTTATATTCTTCATCGCATGCGCAGAAGTGGTTTCGGAAGTTGTGATTATATTTGTTTCCCTCTGCTGGGGGTTGAGAATGAACACCCTTTGCTTTGGTTTGTGGATCAACCCGGAGCGTACAAATGGACGTATCGGGGAACCGCCTCGTACCGCAGTCGCACACAAAATTTCTCTTGTTAAAGAGCTCTACTAACGTATGTTCCCCGTGGCATGATATAGAACATGAATAGCAGACCGCGGCGGGAGTATAGGGATCCGCGTCATTTTCAGGCGGGGGATTGCATGTCAAACACGAGAAAAGAGTCTGTCGAAGTGGACCTAATGCTTGTGTGCAAGAATCAAATGACTACAAAGTATTTCTTGTTAATCATGACACTTCACTTATTTAGTTCAGATTGGGATGGATTGCTCACATAAGGAAGAATTTCGCGTGCATCAGCTTCGAGTTGCAGTTGTGATTCAATAAATCTGAGTGACTAGGTTAAATCAAAAGAAATTGCAATGATTCTTAGCATGGCAGAAGCTCTTACTCTTTCGCGGTTTGTGAATTCTGCGAGGCGAAGCTCTCTCGGTGTCGATTGTTGGATTGCTCTGGAGTTCCACCATTCAGGGTTTCAGCAGGCCTGTCTGAGCCAGCAGTGGAACTCATTTTTCACGATGACTGAACTGACTACTTCTGTGGATGGGAATTGATGGGTACTGCACAGGACGGTCGATTGCAAATGATCAGTTGACGCGGAACGCGCTGCCTCGTCGATTGCACTGATAGTTAGATGCACTTACTCATTTAGGTAGTACACATTACGCTAACCATATTCAGAAAGGCTCGATTATGCGCGCACGCAATTACACGAGGTTTTTAAACCTAACAAGGTTAGACGGATGTGCACGAAGGACATCGAGGTGTGTGGCTTTATCCACTCTAATATTTCCGTATTTGAAAGCATACACGTGATCTACTGACACGCAATTAACCCTCTTTTGGAAAAGACGCGTTTGGGACGCGAAAATCGCGCCCGACGCGTGTAGAGAGAGGGACGGCCTAAGAAGTTGGACCCGCCGCCAGCTCAAGCTTGCAAAACCCCTTCGACGGCAACAACGACCTGACATCCCACCACTAATTAACATTTTTAATCACGCTCTGTCAGTTGATGCTAATATTCGAAACAAAATATCGACTTGAGTCGCTTTCGTTCAGGTGATCTACTCTACATCCCAGTACCCAGCTCATAATGAGGTGAGAGCGTTCCAAGACAGCACATTTTTCAATCTCAAAACTAACGTCAATACAGTTCACCTTTGCGCCCCAGCGTCTCCGGCGCAAATCGCGGCCTGGGGAATTTAAGTCGCCGCAAGCGAGATAGGGAGCCTGATGATGAGACTTCTTCGGTTGCTCCTCCGTCAAGTCGTAGGTTTCTTTCTTCTTCTTTTGGTGCACAACCTTATAGATTATATTGTCGCTTACGATGAACAGCGCCCCCGTCCTCCCCCCCAATGCTCCCATTTGACGATGATCTGGATCGAGATGAGGAAGATGAACTCGAAGGAGATATTGACGACCTCGAGGAGTTGGCGGAGGATGAAGACGGCATTGACCTTTTTGCCGATGATTTCGAAAGAGACTATAGGAACACTCGAGTGGATCACTACCGAGGCAAATATATTGATGATGATGAGGACCAACCAGAGATCGATATTGCTACTCGTCGACAGCTTGATGCTCGCATGAGTAAGCGAGATCGAGAGCTAGCACGTCGTCGCCGCATGCCAGCCGCCTTTCTCCAAGACGAGGACGAAGACATGAATGTGGATCTTAGTCGTCAAGTGCGTCGTCGAAGGCATCACTATGACGAAGACAGGGACGATATGGACATGCAGGAAGATATCTTGGAAGAGGAGCTGTCCCTTGAAGAGGTGTCCGACGTGAAGGCCGCCAACCTAACAGAGTGGATTTTGCAACCACAAGTTATGCGTACCATCGGCCGTGAATTCAAGGCGTTCATGACGGAATTTATCGACTCCTCTGGCCGATCTGTCTACGGAGAACGTATCAAGACACTGGGTGAGGTTAATTCTGCATCCTTGGAAGTCTCCTATGACCATCTTGTGGCAGCCAAGGCAGTGTTAGGATTCTTTGTCGCAAATGAGCCGACAGAAGTTTTAAAGATTTTTGATCAAGCTGCACTTGAAACCACCCTCTATCACTATCCCCATTTTGCTGATATTCAAAACGAAATTCATGTGCGCATCACCGATCTCCCCCTTTGCTACTCGCTGAGAGAACTCCGACAATCTCACCTCAACTGTCTTGTTCGTGTGAATGGCGTTGTCACAAGACGTACTGGCGTCTTTCCGCAGTTGAAATTTGTCATGTTCCGCTGCAATAAATGCGAGGTCACGCTTGGTCCTTTCCAGCAAGAGGCGGCACAAGAAGTCAAAATATCATTTTGTCAAAATTGTCAATCTCGGGGTCCTTTCACCATGAATTCGGAGAAGACTGTGTACCGAAACTACCAGAAATTGACCTTACAAGAGTCACCTGGCTCAGTGCCCGCCGGACGACTTCCACGTCAACGCGAAGTCATCTTACTCGCAGATCTAATCGATATTGCTAAGCCTGGCGATGAGGTTGAGGTTACCGGTATTTATCGCAATAGCTATGACGCTCAGCTCAACAATAAAAATGGATTTCCCGTCTTTGCAACAATTCTGGAAGCCAACCACGTTATCAAGTCCCACGATCAAATGGCTGGGTTCCATTTGACTGAACAAGACATAGAACAGATCCGTTCGCTTTCTAGGGAACCTGACATTGTTGACAAGATTGTTCGCTCCATTGCCCCAAGTATCTATGGACACGAAGACGTCAAGACGGCAGTCGCTCTCTCCTTATTCGGTGGTGTGAGGAAAGAGGCTCAGGGCAAGATGTCTATCCGTGGTGACATTAATGTGCTTCTCCTCGGTGATCCCGGAACTGCCAAGTCACAAGTTTTGAAGTACGTTGAGAAAACAGCGCATCGAGCTGTGTTTGCTACAGGTCAGGGTGCTAGTGCAGTCGGTCTTACAGCCAGTGTCCGACGTGATCCCTTGACCAGTGAATGGACGTTGGAAGGTGGTGCTCTGGTGCTCGCGGACCGCGGTACTTGTTTGATTGATGAATTCGATAAGATGAATGATCAGGACCGGACTTCGATTCACGAAGCGATGGAGCAGCAGACTATATCTATTTCCAAAGCCGGCATCGTCACAACACTTCAAGCTCGTTGTGCCGTTGTTGCTGCCGCAAATCCAATCGGTGGTCGGTACAACGGCACGAGCCCATTTTCCGAGAACGTTGCATTGACTGAGCCGATTCTTTCTCGTTTCGATATTCTCTGTGTCATACGGGACACCGTGCAGCCGGCAGAAGACGAGCGACTTGCCAACTTTGTGGTTGAATCACACTCTCGAGCTAACCCTCCCAAACCCCTAAAAGACAGTAATGGGAAGACAATCAACAAGTATGGAGAGCTCATTGATGAAGAAGGTTATCGCATTGACCCAGATGGCGTGCGTCTTCCGCTTAACGCAGAAGAGCAACAAGCTCGCGCAGAAGCTAAGCGGAAAGCAGAGGAAGAGAAAGAGGGAGAAATACCGCAAGAGTTACTGCGAAAATACATTCTTTATGCTCGCGAGCGATGCAATCCGAAATTATATCAAATTGATCAGGATAAGGTTGCGAGACTCTTCGCAGACATGAGACGGGAGTCGCTCATTACGGGGGCATATCCTATTACTGTAAGGCTCTTTCTTTATTGATTCTTACGTAGAAATGAAACAATTCTGACTTAGATTTGATAGGTTCGTCACTTAGAAGCTATCATGCGTATTGCAGAAGCTTTCTGCAAAATGCGCCTGTCTGAGTACTGTTCATCACATGATATCGACCGTGCAATTGCAGTCACTGTGGACTCATTTATTGGTAGCCAGAAAGTCAGCGCCAAGAAAGCTCTCTCCAGGGCGTTTGCCAAGTAAGCAAAGTTCCACGTTGCACTCTAAGTTCTTATTCCTTGCTGACAAACTTAATTTCAGATATACACTTGCACGACCGAAGCCTCAATCTAAGCGCAGGGCCGGTATTCCGGTGTCTAAGCCCTACACACACAGGGAACTTCATGCCCCGATGAATGACGAGTGAAAATAGCCTCCTTGTTTTAGTCTTGATCGTTCTTCTTGTTTTCGCTGTTGAGAATTTTTCTGTTCAAAGTGTGCAATATACCTTCGGCATTCTGGATATAACACGGCGTTCGGGGACCGAGCGAATTGTGCCCGAGACGCAATTAATTATAGCACGCGCAAATCATACAGAGCCCCTGGGACAGGAAGCCCAGGGTTATGTAATTCATCGGGACTTTGGCTTGAAAATTAAATATGGATTGTATTGTCTTTTTAGGGTTATTGGCAGTTTAATGATGATTGATTTCGGCATTGGTTCCTTTGGTACCGATATACCGCTCCTGTTGAAATCTTACTGTTTGTTCCTTGACTCATGTTTCATTTCACATGAATAAGCTTCAAGATACCTCGGTGAGTCAGACAAAACTCCAGGAAGACTCGCCACATCAGTCATCTCTCGGCAGGTTCCGTCTCCCCAGACTGACATCGTTCTAAAAGACTACCATTGGTATATCGAAGGGCCGGTGCAGTGTGTGCCACGCCGGTGGCTGACCGGTCTAATATCGGCTTGTATCGGCGCTTCACAAAGAGTTTCCATGGTTTGTGTCGGTGCAGGAGCACAGACATACTGCCTAGTACCAAGGACTTGGCTCTTCGGCATTGGACCCAAGATGAGTTGGACTCCGCATAGAGTCGGGCCTTGTGCCGAAAGAGGAAGTCTGGAGGCATCTGGTATTTAAGCGTGTCAGGTGACGGGGGTCTGGTCGATTCGATTCATCTTTGCGCTGAAAGCAGCCCGGCCATGTATTAATCCGGCCGTGGGGTAAGCACTAAGGAGTATGAAGTGAAACAGAAAAAGAAATAAATCCCCCCGCGTGATCGGCTATGTGGAGCAGGTCATTTTAGTCTCGGGCTGCCGAGTGTCGGTAATCCGTATACACTTTGGCTATTGCAGAGTACCTCTTGCTCTTAAGCTTCCAATGTTTCCGTGTTGTGAGAAAGGATACTTGCTTACCTGGAAGAAGACAGAAGCTTCTGCAGCGCAGTTGAGTTAAGTTTGGTATTTATTCTGTACGGTAAATTACGCATGCTGAGGCTCTTGGCCACCGTCCAAGCCACGCTAGAAACGGGACCACTAACAGCAAGCTAGACTGTTGACAGACCCGTGATTGGCTGAGCTGGTCATAGTCCGTGTGCGGGCTAAGTTCTAACCAAACTTCTATTGCTGTTTTGCCGCTTATGGTTTAGCGCCCCTTCTGAATGCCGAGAACATCATTGGCCGCTCCAGGTTTCCCCATTCGGCCTCCCAAGGTTTCGCAGACTTCTCACGGCGACTTTCATACTTTCGCTACGTACTCCTGCTGTCTTACCAAGTCCCCCACCGCCCAGGCCTTCCCCGGCCCGCCCCCCAATGCCCATGGCACGCTTCCGGGGCTCCCAGAGCGCGGGGAGTCGTCGAATCACATCTGGGAGGACACCTGATGAGAGAAAATTTTTCGACAAGGAAATGAACATGGACTGTGGCCGTTCCTTCCTTCTCCCGTTCGGGAAGGTGCGACCACGCCCATGTCACGCCCGCTCTTGCTCCAGAGGCAACTATATAATCCCCTCGATTCCCCCAGATCCGCTGCTTTCTTCTTCTTCTTCTTCCTCCACATTTCTCCCCAGCCATTCCTCCTGACCTAGCAAGATGAGTCTTCACGCAACTGCGGACATTAACCACATCGAGGCTCCAGTTACCTGGAAAGCCTACTTGTTGTGTGCCTTCGCCTCCTTTGGTGGTATCTACTTTGGATACGATTCGGGCTATATCAACGGTGTCAATGGCATTAAAAATTTCGTTGAACTGATCGACCCAGGCCAGAGTAGTCTCACCTCTTCACACTCGTCCCTCATTGTTTCTATCCTCTCTGCTGGTACTTTCTTCGGTGCTCTGATTGCCGGTGACATCGCTGAGGCTACTGGCCGTAAGTGGACTGTCATTTATGGCTGCGTCATCTACGCCATTGGAATTGTCATTCAGACGCTCACTGGTGTTGGTGGTAATGCTCTCGGTATCATTGTTGCTGGCCGTCTCATTGCCGGCTTTGGAGTCGGATTCGAATCGGCCATTGTGATTTTATACATGAGTGAAATTGTGAGTCTTTGACCCTTTATGCTGATACTCATTCAACTACCTTTTTGGTGGACATTTGCTAAACGATTTGCATCGCTGAATAGTGCCCCAAGGCAGTACGAGGAGCCCTGGTGGCCTGCTATCAGTTCTGCGTCACCATTGGCCTCATGCTGGCGTCTTGTGTCGTATACGGCACTGAACACCGCAATGACACGGGTTCTTATCGAATCCCAATCGCCATTCAATTCATCTGGGCTATTGTCCTTGGAGTCGGCCTTCTTTTCCTTCCTGATTCACCTCGTTACTATGTCAAGAAAGGCCGCGTTGACGATGCAATCTCCGCCCTCTGCAAGCTTCGTGGCCAGCCCCGTGACTCGCAGTATATCGAGGCTGAAATTGCTGAAATAGGTTGGTCTCTCTGTTCCCCTTCTGCTAAATTCTTGACTGTGGTTGGTTCTTGATCGCTAACATTCAATAAAAAGTCGCAAACGAGGAGTACGAAAGGAACGTTATCCCCAATGCTGGCTGGTTCGGAAGCTGGAAGAATTGCTTTACCGGTAGTCTTTGGGTCCAGAAATCCAACTTGCGTCGTACCATTCTTGGTACTTCTCTTCAGATGATGCAACAGTGGACTGGTGTCAATTTCATCTTTTATTTCTCCACTACTTTCCTACAGTCTACTGGTGCAATTAGCAACACCTTCTTGACCTCGCTCATCTTCACACTGGTCAATGTGTTTTCCACCCCAGTTTCTTTCTATACTGTGGAGAAATTTGGTCGTCGTCCCCTTCTGATCTTTGGTGCTCTTGGTATGCTTATTTGCCAGTTTATTGTCGCCATCGTTGGCATCACCGTCGGATTCAACAAGACACACTCCGATGGTAATGGTGGCACCATCGCCAACAACATTCCTGCTGTGAACGCACAGGTCGCTTTGATTGCTATTTACATCTTTTTCTTCGCTTCTACTTGGGGACCGGGTGCTTGGATCCTCATTGGAGAAATATTCCCCATTCCAATCCGTTCACGTGGTGTTGCCTTGTCCACTGCATCTAACTGGCTTTGGAATACCATTATCGCTGTCATCACTCCCTACATGGTTGGATCTGACCCCGGTGACGGTGACATGAAATCCTCCGTCTTCTTCGTTTGGGGTGGTCTTTGCACTGTTGCTATGGTGTACTCGTACTTCCTTGTTCCCGAGACTAAGGGCCTGTCACTCGAGCAGGTAGACAAGATGATGGAGGAGACTACTCCTCGCACATCGGCCAAGTGGCGCCCACACACCACTTTTGCCGAAGAGAAGGGTATGGTTACTGCTGAGCATGAGGAAGTTAAGCAGTCTGTCTAAGCATGTTCTGCGGTGCTCCATCTAGGGTTTGATGGAGCATAATATTTGCTGGTGTTTGCTTTTTCTATGTTTTATTATTTTCAAGCATGTAAACATACAACATACATATACCCCTTACGGTGTTATGAATCTTGCATGGGATGGAAGTGTCTTTTTACAGCAATGCTAGTCTCTTATTGTTTCTATTTAATATTCGATGGGTCTGCAACTAGCATATATATCAATCATACGATTTTTGTTCCTTTACTGAAATTTGAGGTCAAAAAACCGATTTACTTACAAACTAGATGATGTATTATGAATATATAATATATGCTAGGCTGTCGTCATGTACAACATAAATTCACTCCATGTATAACCCCCAAATCCCTTTCCCTATTGGACTTACCCCCTTATATCCCATTATCCATTGTACTGTGAATCCTTCCCTTATGAAAATATCCATTTCTTCTTTTTCCATCTTTGAAAGGAAAATGACCTTTCAAAACTCACCCCTTTTAACCAGCAGCGAATGGACTCATCTCGCGCAGTCGCGCGCCATACTTCCATAGAAGTACTGGAGCTGGCAGCCCGATAGCCATACCAAGAAACGCCATTAGACTGTTACCCCAACCATAACCAAGTGCATCGTACATGTAGGGCGCGAAAAGAGGGAACCCGAAGCCAGCCAATGATCGCAACACGACTGCAGCTGCTAAGGCGCTAGCAGCATATCGCGTATAGGTATCAACTAGGTAAGTTTGAATGCACTGAAACGACATGATTCCACCTATACAAAACATGGCGGCTCCAATATTGGGTGCCAGCCAAAATTCTCTGTACTCGGCTGTCCAAGCGTATATGAACAAGCCAATAATAATGAAGATTGCGCCTACTATGAGGAGTGGGGAGCGAAATTCGGGCAAACCAACACCGCCATTGCGCGCCTTGAGTCGACGATATATCCCGTCGATCAAACGCGCAGTTATTTGGGCTCCTATAAAGAAGCCAATGCCGAGAGAGATAAAGTTGAGGCCGCCAATGTCAACAGACTCGCCGTAGTACTTTGTCCAGAGAGTGGGAAAGGATGCTAGCATGAGATACATAAGACCGTATATATAAGCCATGAATACAGCCAAAACTTGAACAATGGGCTGAGTTCCGAGCAATATAAATGGCCGGCGTATAGAAACGGACAGAGTCGCAGCTAGAGAACGGTCTTTCTGCTCAAACTCGGTGTGCCAGGTTGGGTCTTGGGTCTCTTTTCTTAGTCTCTGGGCTTTGCGTTTGAGCAATGTCGGCGCATGAGTCTCTTGCAATGCAAAGAGACCAACGATTTGAATGATGCCATCCACAATCGAGGTCGAATAAAAGATCCATCGCCAAGTGGTTTTTTCAGCAATGAACCCCCCGGCAATAGGACCAACGGCAGGTCCCAAAAGTGGAGCGAGACTGTAGAATCCCATTGCCCGTCCTCGTTCTTCCGCCTTGAAACAGTCGCTCATGACACCACCTCCGATCTAGGAGAAAACCATTAATCCTATGACCATGCATTTGCGTTGTGCCTAGAAAAACAAGTAGGATAGCAATAATGAATGGAATTGAGAAAAAGAGAGGGAGGAACTTACTGATAAAGGAGCGCTACCCCCAAGGCCGGACAGGAAACGAAACGCAATCATCTGTCCTTTGGTCTTACAGACACCACAGGCAATATTGAAGATCAAATATATGATGTTGGCTGTCTGCAAAACAATCGGTCGACCATAGATTTCCGAGAGCGGACCTAGGAAAAGAGGTCCAACGGCATAGGCCAAGACAAAGATGGACATGGTCATTTCCGATTCAACAGTAGTATCAATCCCAAGCTCGCTCGCGATAGATGTCATAGCTGGGGAAACCATGGACGAGGACACTGGCGATATAAAGGTAAAGCACGAGACGACAAAGACAGCCATCCATTTTCTCTTGGTTGACCAATTCTTCGGGTTCGCAGGGTCGTCGGGGCCGTCCCAAGTGACCTTTTCACCTCAGTGAAGTGTTAGAAAAATTGGCACAAAGTTTCTAGGGGAAAGAAAAAAGTGAAAGAAAAAGTAATTACAAGTTTTGTGTCTCTTTCAGACCTGGCTGTCTCGGTGGTTTCTAACGCAGCGTTTTGATCGGCACTGCCCTCACCACTACCACTTTCGAGATCCCGACTGCTAGTATCGCCATCTTTATCAGTATAAGATGGGATCGCAAAGTCTGCTTCCTGGCCGTTCTCTTCCTTCGTCACAGCATAAAAGGCAGCCTGGTTATCGATATGAGGCGCTGAATACACTCGACTCATTGACTCGGGCTGGTCCGCTTTCCTCGAGGAGGCCGTAGTCACTTTAGTGATCTCTGGCATTTCGTCGCCGCATGCACCGCATATATAGAAGAACTATGTGCAGTGTACAGACATTCCTCGGGCACAAGATTGGGGTCTGAGAGAAGGATGAAGAAGAAGGGGCCATTTGCAGGGATATTTATACCTTCTGTATGTATAATTGCATAAATTCCCCATACGACATTAACTTTGGACTCCGAAGCCAACGGCAAATCAGTCAGCCGCTTGCAGATGGCCAGGCCCACCGTGAGGCGCCGCGTGATTGGATGGCAATCTTCCGTCTCCGTCAACCACGCAGCACGCCACGTGACCTGCAGTGCTGCATAAATCGATGCTTAAATGTGTGCATAAAAGCAGCGCATAAATCGGTGCAACAGGTTATGCTAGAATTCTTAGTATTATAGCGAGTTAATTCGATAAGAAGAAGAAGAAGAAGCAAGGAATTCAAAGCTCACTATTTACAGATGCAGGCTATCAAACACGCTTGTATCATCCGCTACAAAGCCATGTATGCTTCTTCATGCACATCAGTGATGCTGCACTTTGGAAGTGTCTGCCATCTCAAGTGGTGGTGGCCCAGATCCAGATAATTCTGATGCGACACAATCCCCTGGTGCTTCAATCGGCTCCGTTGCTGCACCGTCAGAATTGTGCTGGTCGACAGCTTCGTAAGTTATACCCGGCAACTGTTCAGTTTCCAGACCCCCCGCTGCAACAGCCTGCCCCCCTCGTCGCCGCCAGAAAAACAGACAGCCAGCGATAAAAGCAAGTCCACCTACAGTAACACCGAGGCCAATACCAGCCCTGGCACCAGTGCTCAGTCCATTGCTTGGTTGGGGAACATTGTTTGCGCCAGTAGACGTCGGAATGTTGACCGGAGCTGAGGTGATAGTGCTGACTACAGAAGTACTCGATAATGTCGTCGAGGCGGACGTTGCAGAGCTCGTGGTAGTTGAGATCTGAGTGAGATTGAAGTTGTGAGTGACTGCCCGAGGTGATTCCTCTCCCTCTATGTACAGGAGGAAGGTAAAAATGTTCGAGCTGGTAAGATTCATCCCATTCAGCGCCATGGGCCACGTGTAGTGTCCACCGAGGTTGGTGACATTTCCTGGCAGACCTATTAGCGATGAGAGAAGGGGAGATGAGACTGGCAAACGGTGGGCTAACACACTGAACACATAGGTATACTCGCTCGAGTGATTGTGTGGCAAGACGTGTACGAGCATGATGGCCAGAAAGTCGTTGGGCCCAACCCACTCAATGTTGACATCAGAACCTACGGTATACTGAGGGTTGTCGATATCAGAGTTTGATGGCGGAGGATTGACGAAAGAGAAGGCGCCATCGTCCTGGAGACTGAAGGGCCAGAGCAACGACCAGGCGAGGAACCACAGGGCCAAGACCGCCATGATGAAGACGTTCCTTCAAGGAGCAAAAGACAGGACAAAGCGCTGAGATTCGGTGATCAATAGCTTCGTCGCATGGCCGGGCAGGCTAATGAGAAGAGAAGAGACTGAGTAGGCGGCCGGAGGGGGGGAGTCGTCCACCGGTCACGCCCCTGCAAAATCGAGAAGACGGAGGTATTTTTCGTGTACGACATGACATACAACGGTACGCATCACGGCGGTTACACTAGACAGGAAGCGTAATAGCGAAGCACGTAGGACAAGTCTGTAGATCGTAATATACTCATCTTGTTCATCATCATCATCATCTTCTTCTTCTTCTTCAAGTGCCTTGCTTGTGAATGCGAAATAACAGGTCCGAATGCGTGGCTGTGGCAGCCTCAGGCGCCGCTCAGGTACCACGAGGGCGCTATAATTACCCGCGCAACCCCATTGGCCGCCAGAACCAGCTAGCGACGATCATCTGTTTACTGATTCTCGATTGGTACTAGTCGACTCACTACTCGAAACGGTGAGACATTACGTAGTGCCTGCCCTACGAGAAAACTCCGCAATCCGCTCTCTCTCTCTTTCTCCTCCTTCTAATGATTCACTTCTCTCCCCTCCCCTCCCTCGCCTCCCTCTCCCTCTCTATAGATTATGCCAATTCGAGCATGCAGCTTCCTCGACTGCCCTCCGGTGTCCCGCGCTATGCATTGAATACCGGTCTTGCCATCTTCATGTTGTCGCTGGCGCTGTGGTTGATCAGCGCTCTGCACATTAGCAGCATTGACAGCCTGCGCGGGAGACTGACTCAGCCTCTGCATTTGGATTCAAATCATCAATCGACACATAAGCTTGATTCGACGGCGGACCGTCGCTGCCACGCAGTCTTGAACCCTCCAGATATCGCGGTCATCGTCAAGACGGGCGCAAACGTGCTCTACGATAAACTCCCCACTCAGCTCCTCACGGCGCTGCGCTGCGCTAAGGATCCTCTTATATTCTCTGATCTTGCGCAAACACTCGGTCCCTACCAGATCTACGATGTCCTGGACAATGTCACCACAGCCGTGAAGAATAGCCCGGACTTCGACTACTACCACAAACTGCAGGAGTACTACAAATTTGGCCAGGACATACGGGAACTACGTGGCAATGGAGAAGCAGCATGGAGGTTGGACCGATACAAGTTCATCCCCATGCTCCAGAAGACTTGGGAAATGCGACCCAGCCACGACTGGTATGTCTTCCTTGAGGGCGACACTTATATTATGTGGACGAATTTGATGCTATGGCTGCGGCAATTTGACCCGAATAAACTCCACTACTTCGGAGAGCAGACCTACGTCAACAATGAAGGTTTCGCTCATGGGGGCAGTGGGTTTGTAATATCCAGAGGAGCTATGGCTAGGGTGCTTGACGACGATCCTGATATTACCACCCGGTATGACGAGATCGCACAGAAAGAGGCTTTCGGCGACTACGTTCTCATGAAAGCTCTCAAAGAAAAAGGCGTTGAGTTGGGCTTGTACAAGCCAATGTTACAGGGAGAGCCGCCGAGCAAGCTGCGATTCGGCCCTGGGCGTTACCTGGGGGAGAGTTACTGGTGCCAGCCGCTAATATCCCTGCATCATGTGACTCCTGGCGATGTGGATGCCGTCTGGCAGTATGAACAGCAGCGACAGGACTTGTCTCAACCGATTCTGTTTGCTGACTTATACCAGCCTTTCATGGCGGCCCGCCTACCACATGACAGCGATGATCTGGAAGACTGGTACAACCATGCAGATGATGCCCACATTCGCGCCCCAGGAAAAGAAAAAGACCAGTCAATCCCACCAGGGGAGCTAACTCCTGTACAGGAACAAGCTTATCAGTCTTTCGAACAATGCGCTGCTGCCTGTGCCGAGTATCCTCGGTGCATGCAATATGCGTATGAGTTCTCGGAGAAGAAGTGCTCTTATTCGTGGTCATACCGCTTAGGCGAGAAATATACTCCCACCTCTGATGGCAAAAGATATAAATCCGGCTGGGTAAAGTCGAAAATTGACGGTGATATAGATGAGCATTCATGTGAGTCCCCAGTGTGGAGAGGGTTCCATACTGTTCTAACATCTTGAGTCTATTTTGCCCCTTGCATTTACGGCGTTTGTTTGCGATATCCATTCCGCAAGGATGTTTTTCTTCTTTTCTTCTTGTTCATATCCCGGTGGTTCATTTTTATCTTGTTTAGAGGGTGATTCGCATCCGAAACACTCATATGTTCATACACTTATATGTTCATGGCTCGCAATTATAGACAGATACTGTCTAACATAATTGGGAACTATTTTTATCTTCTAAGGAATATCGCTGTGCCACAGTAGAAGCAATTCTCTTGTGTAGCATCGCGAGGAAACGTCAATGGCCACCTCGGCAGTTACCGTCACTCATATGCATTCGCCATTGTTCACATTCACCTTGCCACGCATTAGCAGCAAAAGTATCCACCACATTAGAAAGGATGCAACTGGCCGTTCGTTTTCGAAGATCTGGCCACAATTACGCTTCAGGTACGGCCCGCTGCCGAGGAATGCCCATGGCTGCAAACGGCATATCTGAAGTTTAATTACACAGACTTCCTTCTTGTCTCACTTTTTCGTTTATAGTGTTGCAGTAGCTTTGGGCTGGTAAAACGCAACGAACTTTTGGCAGGTGACCGTCTTATTTCTGTGCTCCCATTCAAGATCGCTCCAAGGTCCGACGCTGATACCAATACTCATCGGCAACTCAAGGCATTCCAGCATCTTTGCCTCATACCTATCTCTTGTCATCCTCTTTCAACCAATCGTTTTCTGACTGTTGTGCCTTGAAATCTGCTTCAAGTCGAATTTGATGCATGTTCACAAGCTCACGCCCCGGATTTGGTTGTATACACCGGAGTCGCCAACGCCGGGGCAATTGGTTATTATATGCAGTTGGACAGATTCTCGTCAGAAACACATATCCAGATACGTCAAGTTGCACAATGAAATTGCCCCGGGAGCCAGGATTCTGCTTGTTCGGTCACCCGCTTCAACACTGGTCAGCCCATATGCGTGCCAGCGAGCCGCACTCAGACCTGCAGTGCAGTATATTATCGATAATGTATTACTATGGTCTTTTATCCAGAACAAAGAACTCAGTCCAAAGAACACCCCGCAGCAGCTCTCGGGGATAGGCAGAAATGGCGTCAATATTCTATTACATTCATTCTCCAACGGAGGCGGCCTCACTGCCACTCAACTCCTCTTCCTCCTTCGTGAGGCTACGAATGCGCCACTGCCACTGGTAGGAATCCTCATGGATAGCAGCCCAGATGGCGGCGACTATAGGCAAAGCCATAACGCTATAGTTGTTGCTCAGCCTTCTACCAACCCGCGGAGAGCAGTAGCCTCACTGATTGCGCATGCTGCGCTACTTCCAGTGTGGGCGTGTTATGTTGTTGGGCGACAGGAAAATTCGCAAGTGGTGATGCGCAGGGCATTGCTGGACCCAGAATATGTGGGTACTACCAGGATCTGCTATGTGTACTCAAGGGATGATAACATCACCAAGTGGAAAGATGTGCACATTCATGCAGAGGAGGCTAGGAAGAAAGGATGGTTTGTGGATGAGAACATATTGGAGGGAAGTCCACATTGCGCGCATATACGCTCACATGGTGAGTTATATGCTGCGCTCGTGAAGCGAGTATGGAGTGGAGCGAGACATCAGTCGAAACTCTAATGCAGGCTTTCGAATTTGGAGATGCTGGTTGAATAAAGCCATTTCTCTGTAAATATCCACTCTGTTATCTAGGAATCAGAGAAATTTGAATATACAGTGCCTTATTCATAGTCCACGGGGCGTCTTGTGGTATAAGATTGCTATTTAATCCATAATTGTAGCTGAATATGAATTATCTTTATACAAGAATTTATGCTTACAATGAGAAGAGACGTATTAAGAACAATTGACAAATTGTCTCGCTAGACGCCACTGATGCTGCCATCCAATCTATCTCCAAGTTTATTAAGTATGAAAAACGCCTGTGTTTCGGGTATTGATAAAGTAGAAGTGATCGCCCGGTGTGAGAAAAACTTCACGGCTGCAGCCACTCATGTCTTCGCAGCTACTACCTCAGAATCTCCCTCGGTGCCTTTGTTTCCTTTACTTTGTTGGCGAGTTGCCAACTGCTGGGCTTGCATGATCGCGGCACGGCGAGCTGCTTCCGCAGGGGAGTTTCCCTTTCCTAGGTTGGACTTGGTAGCCTCTTTAAATCTCCTCAGTCTTTCCGACCGTCCTTCGCCAGGGAGTCCGGCCAGCAAAGGTTCGATTGCATCAGAACGCCAATTTCCGCGTTGGTTTAATGCGAGACTGCGATGTTGAAGCGGGCCAATACCCGCGGAATCCATGCCTTCTCCCCACATCCTCACCCGTTGCACTTTGCGAAGTTTCGCAAGGCCATACAGACTTACTATAATGCTGAAGACGAAGCACGATATAGACACGGCACCAAAACCAAGATCACTTTCTTCAATGAAGTTCTTCAAGTTCATGCCGTACAACGCTGAGAGCAGAGTACCTGCGGCAAGCCCAAGAGTTCCAATGCTGAACTTCAGATCCAAAAGCATCAATGAATTTCGATTTGCGTCCAGAATTGCCTTGACCCTAGATTCAAAGACGTTAGAGAAATCTTCTTTTTGTCCACGATAGCCGAACTAAACTTACACTTCCTCAGTATTGCGGATGGCGGTCACCAAGTTTCCGCTGGCTTGCACAATCTCATCACAAATTTTGTGATAGGATTCCAGAAGCATCTCTATCTCTTGGTGGTCATTCTCGGCCCGCGTCGTTCCTTGGGCACGATCGGTCAAATACATCGCAGCCAGGTCATCATCAGCTTCCAGCAAGTCATCTATGGCGTCTCGCACGAGACGCGCCTTCTGTTCGAAGCTACCCAGCTTTTTCGAATAAACAAGCAAGTGTCGCAGTTTATCCCGATCAATGTCTTCCTCCAATGCCCGCAAGACGCGCACAACAGGGTCGCGCACGCCCTCGAATTCGCTTTCCAAGCCGCTGGTTACACTAATCAAGACAGATTCAAGCGCGCGAAATTCATATGGGAGTGCTCCTGAACCGGGAGCATGACGCTGTCTTAGCTTCCCCTCCAGATCATACATGAAGACAGATTGGGTGTACGAATTTGTCGAGCCATACGCGTCGAAAACGAGAACTCGATCAGCCTTGATCAAGACGCGAAGATGCAGGAGTGAAATGAGAATTGTATTTGGTCGGACGAGGATGTGAGGGAGGACGGAGGAATCGATTTTTCGCAAGTCTCGATTCAAAAGCCCATACTACATGTGAAGTAAGTAGCCTGCTCCATCCGCTAACATTATTAGAGGCAGGTAAACAAACCTTAGCAATGAGTTCACTTTTTCGAAACTCTCCATTAACCAAGGTAACATTACCGTTTTCGTCGAACTCGGTGCATCGTAGCCGAGGTTCATCGTGTGATTTCGAAGCGAGTGTTCGTCCGAGATTGAAAAGGTTCCCCTCTGCTTCTTCGTCGGTAAAGGTTGTGATCTGAGTATTGTTGGATTTTTTCCATTTCAGATAGGCTTCCTTCCTAAACAGCCAATTATACCAATAGTGCGGGCTTTTCGTTGAGGCGCTTCGCGAAGCAACAGATAAGGGTGTAGCGAAAGGCCCGTTAGGTCTTACTTCTGGAGAGGAAGGTAGGTGAGATAACTTCCGCGAGGTGGGAATTTTCGGTGAATGCCATGGAGGAAACAGAGAGGCTTCAATCTGCGCTGAACACGGAGCTGGGTACAATCGTACCCAGCGTGAATTCCCAAATTTGCGATTGTTCCATCGACTCGTAGCTGTAATACCTGCTGTGTCGGCTTTATATCTCGTTGGATTTGATGTGAAAAATAACGAATCCGATTGAGATCTCAGGAACCGGAGGAGATTGGCCGATGGTGCCGAAGGTTTGATAGAGGAAGCCACCAGCATCTCTACTGATTGTAGAGAAACACTCTACAATAGAGGAAAACAGCTCTTTCGATGCTGGTATTTCGCTTTTTCAGACGGGACCGCCATGGGCGACAAAATGCTCTTTACACTTAGCGCCGAACGCTGACCGATGACATCCCGATATGTCACGTGCCACCGCCGGCATGGGTAGATCATGTGATATTGATAGGGTTGTTGCTTCCCGGCCCTAAACGGATCTATGTAGCTGTTACAAGTTATTGTGACGTTGGATACATGATTTTGGAGATTTAACGTTCTAAGTGCGAAGACTCGTCAATTGCATACAATCTGAAAACGGAAGGTGTTCAGATTTGGAGTTGTATACGGGTCTTGTAACAACACTGGCAAGATATAATACTAACCCCAGACATACAAGTTGAAATCCTCGAACGGCGGTGGTAGATGGATTGGGATGGATTTTTCATAGCAAATCAATCTTGGCAATTCATGATCTTATAGCTATACGTCTACGCAACCCGCAAACTCAAGATTTAGATATATACAGGTTCAAAGAAAAATGTCGATGATGGAAAATGTTCGAGGGAATCCTACTTGGATCCCCGCTGTCGAATAGAAGATGTAGCCTTCTACATATATGTACTTCTACCTCGGTAGGCCTTGAAGTAATCGGATAGTGCGGCTTCTAGACACGTACAATGTATTTAACGTCCCAGCGTGCACTGTCGAGTGAATTTGCATAGATGCGGAGCAGCCTTCCGTCTATTTTCCAAGTCCGATCTATCCAGTGAGAAATCATATCAATCCCAGTTGTCATCGTCTTCTTTTTCATCATCTATAGCGTTATTAGCACAATCACTTTGTAAAAGGACGATTTACACATACCGCTGCCGCTAACTACCTGCTTTCGCTTGTCTAGGGCACCTCGTAGAGCGTCTGCTAAGCTACCACCAGGTGTAGCGCTGGGAGTCGATGCAGCTGGAGTATCATTTGCTCCTCCAGGAACCATCGCAGCGCTCCGATCTCTTTTTTCTGAAGCGCTAACTTTTCGCAGTCCACCACCACCTTGACCTCCCGAAGCCCGAATAGCTGCAAGCAGATCGTCTCGGCCACCACCACCGCCAGAAGGCAGAGAAGGCCGTGCTGCACCACCGGGAGGCGGGGGCGGGGGCGGTGCTGCACTTGGGCCTCCTGGAGGCGGGGGAGGCGGGGGAGGAGGGCCAGGAGGGCCACTGGGAGCTGGCGGAGGTGGCGGAGGTGGAGGGATAGCAGAGGGATGACCACCAGGAGGCGGAGGCGGAGGAGGCGGTGGGACCGACGGAGCACCAGATGTAGAAGATATTGGTATTCGAGGTGGCAGTGATTGAGGAGGGCCAGGTGGTGGAGGAGGAGGGGGAGGTACGGGGCGAGCATTTGGTGGAGGAAGTGGAGGAGCAGATCCGCGTACCGGAGGAGGTGGAGGGACAGGAGATGGGACATGCGTGTGAGGAACTTTTGGTGGAAGCTGTGGAGTAGTTTCTCGAGGTGGTGGAGGTGGTGGTGCATGCCCCGGGCTCGCTCGACTTGGTACTGGCGGCGCAGAAACCTTCCTTTCTCCCTGGAAAGGAGGGGGTACACCATGACTTCTAGGCAGAGGTGGAGGCGATGGGGCTTCATCCATTGGTGTCTTTGGAGGTCGTGGGGGAGGATGAGGACCGCTTATTACATTAGATGAAGCGCGAGGCCTGCCAGGTGCAGTCACAGGTTCGGCAAACTTTCCGGCGTCCGCAATGGGAGGCGGCGCTCGAAATCTTGGGCGAGGTGGTGATGGCTCACGAGGAGGCGCAGGTGCAGGGGCCTCCGGTTCTTGGGCAGCTGGAGAAACATCTACTCGTCTGCGCGACGGCGGCGGGGGAGGGGGACCACGTTTCCCAGTACTACCACCAGTATTTTGAGGGCTAATTGCAGCAACCTTGGGTTGCGGTGCCGCAGCGGGCGGAGGAGGCGGAGGCGCTTTCACTTTTCTTTGGTCTTCTATTGAAGGAGATGTTTTGGCAGCGCTTTCAGTAGCCTGGTTTTGAATGTAGGATCTTATGAATCCCTCATTGTCCTTTATTTGTGCTTCGGTAATTCCCATTTGTCGCAGTTCTGCTAAGACCCCTTGTATTTCCGGATCCGTAAGATCTAATGAGGAAGTTTCTTGGTGTACTATAGCGGGCGCAGGCGCAGGAGGAGGCTGTACCGGAGCCGCAACTGGGGGAGGAGGTGGCGGTGGTGCGGACGGTGTTGCAGCTGATGAACTTCTGCCGAGTAGACCGCTGAAAAGTGAACGGCCATGCTTTCCGTTAGATACAGGCGCCGGTCCTTGTCCGCGACTCGAGGCAAACGGGGTGGCTTTGGTTTCCTTGCTGGCGTGTTTCTCGCGCTCATGCATCTTCTTCAAGAAAGTTTTTGCCTCTTTTTCATCCGAAAATGAAAGAGCCGCTGGGCACTCTTCAAGTTCAAATGTGTGAAAGAAAACCCGATCTTGGTTATAATAGAAGCCATCGTAGATCTCTTGGTCCCAGAGCACTCCACGACTCGCGGGCTAGTGAAGTTAGTGTCGTCTTTCTTGCTCTGGTCATGATCCTGCAAGCTTACTGAGACATCAACGAGTTTGAGCCAAAATGTGTGACCGACTAGGTCATTGGCGAGGACAGCAGCGCCCTGGAGGCCGGTGTATGTCCATTTCTGAGAACTGGGGTGGGCGACGTAAAGACGTGCGACACCGACAGCAAGAATCTTGTTGCCCGGCTTGGGAACAATTCTCTTCACAGTCTCTTTATCGGCATCGCTGAGAATGGACGGCATGGCGAGCGATCCTATGGTCTCTATTAGAGATTGTGGAACAAGCGAAGTGATCGGTAGGCTTCCACTTTAGTATCACTGCTGATGCATAGCGAGCACGCAGCGTGTTCGTAGATGTGGAGGTCGCGGGAGTATATGAGTCGGATCGATAGGTATTAATAAATGTGCTCACGGTGTCTCGTGCTGCTTGATACGTGCAAAACAGCATCCAAGAAGTGCTAGACTGGTTGTACTGAACTTGACAGCGCAATGGGGTAGGTACGTGCGTGCTTGTCTAACGGGCGAGTCAGCCAGGCGGATTAGTTACATAATGCATAATGTGGGCCTTAGGCAGCGCGGCACGGGACTTTTTAGTGGGGGTGCCTGAGCCACGCCAAGAGTCAAGATATGTCCAGGATTGTATCACAGACGATGGATGGCAACGCGGCTTCTGTATACAACGTCTAGGACGTCATTGCCTTTATGGCAATGCATCCCGAGCACATGTTATAGACTTGTTTTAAAATACTTGACACAAAGCTGGTACAGCTCGCCATAAGACCATTAAGTAGGTACATCGAGATGGTCTTCTCTGTTCGCAGCTTTCTTTTACACCCAAAACGCAGTCTACCAAAGTATAGTGCTGCTCACCTAAGTAGGAAGACTTGGAACACTGCAATCAATAACTCGCTTTCATCTTTTCGCGCATTCTTCTTCCCTGGATCCATATGAGTAGGGCCGCTGGAAAGAAAAATGCCGCAAGGACAAGAGCCAACATGCTGTTTGCCCAGCCATAACCTAGAGATGAGTACATGGCCGGTGCAAAAAGCGGTAGTCCAAAGGCTCCCAAACTCCGCAAAAATCGAGTTGCTGCAGGCGCCGAGCCAGTATGCTCGGAGTATGTGTCGATAACATAGGCTTGAAAAGATTGGCCAGCCATCGTACCGCCGCCAGAGAGAATGGCAGCTCCTATATCGACGACGAGCCAGAACGCGTGCGACTCAGCAGCCCACCCATACATGAACAGGCCACTTACCAAGAGTACGGACCCAGGCAGCATGAGCAGAATATGGTATTCTGGTCGACCTTCTTCAGAAGTACTTCGTTGTGATAGGCGACGGTAAATGAAGTCCATGGTAGGACCGCCAATTAGCGCGGCTAAAACCTCACCTAGAGACATTGAGATATAGTGCAGACCGCTAATTGTCACAGACTCGCCATACTTTGATGTCCACAGGTCAGCATATGTTGTCAGTACAATATACGAGACTCCATAGTTCAGGCCCGCCAGGCAAGCCTGGATTTGAATGATGGGGTGAAACATGAGAAGTCGCATAGGCCGGGTGAGACTTCTTCTAAGCTTCCCTGACGTGGGAGTGCCGGCAGACTGCATTTCTGATTCGCAATGATACTGGTCGTTGCCAGTTGCTCTTCTCAATTGAAACGCGCGCTTTTCCAGAATTACAGCCGCGTAGGTTTCCTTGATGATAAAAGATCCTATGACCATGGTCCCTTGAAGTATAGATGTTGACCAAAAGATCCATCGCCATGTAGTTGCGCCCACGATGAGTCCACCAGCAATTGGGCCCACGGCAGCACCGAGCAGAGGAATCAAACTATATAGTCCAAGCGATCGACCGCGCTGTTCAGGTCGCCAAAGATCTCCCAGCACGTCGCCTCCAAGTGCATAAATGGCGCTGGCGCCGAACCCAGCCAATAGGCGGGACGCCAGCAACAGGCCTCTTGTGTTAGAGAATCCGCAGATCAGGTTTCCAAACCAGAAACCAGACATTTGTCGTGTGTAAGACTGGTTTCCTGCCGTAGACTTCGGACAGGGGCCCAATAATTAGGGGCCCAACTGCTGTGGCAAGGAGGTATACGGACATTGCCATTATAGACTCTATGGTAGTCATGTTTAGGTCCGAGGCGATGTTGGGTAAAGCCGGTGCCATAATGGTAGACACCATTATACGGTTGAGTCCGGTTGCTGATAGGACACCGGTGACTGCCCATTTCTTCCTTAACGGCCAATCCTTAGGGTTTTCTGGATCATAAGGGACGTCAAAATTAACAAGAAAAGGATCAGCCGGTGACTCCTCTTGGAGAGAATTTTGGTTCGGGTCGGCAGTCATCGCTTTTTTAGTCGAAGTAGAAGGGGTTGTAACGAAGCGATGTGATGGAAAGCATGGTAAATACGTCCTTTTATATCTAAGGCCATCATGGGACAAGAGAAGATCTGACATCAGATTATGCCGAATACGGTTCGTATCTCACATCGAATGCGCATCGTGCAGTGGCAGCATCGATTTCAACCCCTACACAGCCTCTTCCGATGCATAGCAGAGATTTAGTCATGATACTTGCCCCATTTCACGCTAATCAATCTTTCCAGCTTGGGAATAGTCGAACAAAAGCCCATTTCCCAATGTCGTTAGAAGCCCCACGAAAATGCGTGTGGCCCAATCATAACGCGATCCAGTGTGGTTCAGTGAGGCTTGGTTCCATCAGATAAGATTAGATTCATTCAGCTGCAAATGCGGGCCAGAAGATAATCACAACATCTGTTTTGGTTCTCCTTACTTTCACGAATGTGCGGGCTACCAGAATGACAGAGCTATGTTCTGAGTCTCCCGAGCCTGGTAAAACTATTACCCCCAGGAGGCGAATTCAGAAACACGCCAAATCACGTGGCGGATGCATTACTTGCAAGTTTGTTATCCAATCTGGCAACAACTTGATTGAGCTTGCTTGTAAACTCACTAACAAAGTGCAGAATAAGACGCAAAAAGTGCGATGAAGAACGACCATCGTGCCGCCGATGCACCGAGACGGGCCGCAAGTGCGATGGATATTCCGTTCAGCAGACACGGGCATGCCACGCAGAGATGATGAGGTCACTTTTTTCTAATGATTGCTTCATTCAAGATGACTGTAGCTGGTATTTTCTAAGATCTTTTCGATCACAAACCATTCCAACCTTTTCCAGTTACTACGACTCAACGCTATGGGAGATTACGCTGGCGCAGACATCGGTTTCGGAAGTTGTGCTTCAATCTGCGGCTGTTGCACTTGCAGCTGCACATTATGAGCATGAAACCGGTCGTACATACGGATTGACTTCAACCAACCAGAGGAATTTGACAACGACACTCTATACCGATGCCATTTCCAAAGTCAGGCACGCTCTGATAGAGTCATCATTACCTGCAGACGCAGTACGAATTGGGTTTATCGTGTCCTTCATGGTGGCCGGAATAGAAACCTTGAGAGGTTCAAAAGCCGGCGTGACTCTACATCTGGCTAATGGGTTGAAAGTTGCTTTTTCGCAAGGATACGATACGATAAAGTCCAGTTGGAAGATAAATGCATCTGAATTGCTGTTGAAGGACGCGGTGATGGCCCTCATAGCCAGATTGGATGCGGCCATTGAAAATGATTTCAAAAAGAAATGGGATGATAGACATGGTGACAACAACAATTCTTATATCCACGGGAAACTACCAGAGGCGTGGCATTCTCTTCGTGACTTCTTCCAAAAGCTTTCAAATCTCACCAAGGATGTCATGATATGGTTACAAGAGCCTGCTATAAGTTTCCAAAGTGCATATCTGTATTCTCAGGCTTTGGAACATCATGCAACGACACTCCAAAAACTGAGCTTGAACTCATGCATTGGTCGCCATAGCATACGGATCTTGAGACTATACAGAGAAGCCACACACCTCCTACTCCTATGCCATCTAAATGATACAGAGGCGCTTGACAATACCGACTGCGTTCATTGCGCCGACGCCGCCTTTGAATCACCGTCTACCTATTTGAAAGCATACTTCTCCAAACTAAGCATAATTGAAGAGAATCTACGCCACAACAGCGCCTTTGTCACGCATCTTTCTCCGGCATCGTTAAAACAGTTCGCTGTCCGACATTCACTCGTCTTCCCGTGGTCATCGGAACATGCATGCGCAACAAAAGCTCCTACCCTACCGCAACCGCCATATAGCGAAATTGAACGGCTTGTAATGCCTGAAGAAGATGCAATCATGGACACCAATTTCGTACCCATGCATGCTATGTGTACGGAGGTCACAAGTGCATTGGAGAACGGATCCGTATCTATTTGTTAATGTATCGTAGGCAAAGATGGAGAGTCTCTGGACTGGATAGAAAAGAAGGCGTCGTTGTGGAAGCCAGCTGTGTTCGTTGTGCAACGGCAGGTCGATTGAATTATAGCACTTTATAGATACCTATAACCATTCCATTTGGGGTGATATTGGCTTCAACAAGTGCCCTGGCAACAAACGGTAGTTCTTAGCAGGCCGATGGGGTGTACCTAACATACCGGAGTACCGCTCTCATAGATATGTACATAGCTGTAGTTGTACGTCGGACGCAACATCTGGATCTGTCCGCGAGGTATTAGGTATTATGCTACCCTAGCTTGGATTAAGAAAAAGTTGCGAAAATAGCAACCAATAGTGCGTATATCTAGGTCTACGTTTTTGCTTGCAATAAGATTTCCCGTGTGTGAACGCTGTCGCAGCACGTGATAGGTACCCCGTCGTTTAAACCATCTCGCGACGTTCCTTAAAACGCGCCAACGCCGTCCTCATGTCTGAACGCCCAAGCGCACCTGTTAAGCTTTCGTTGCCATTGGTAAGAAATTTATTGCGCTTACATGATATGTGCTAATGGTTACCTTGATAGAAATATCAACAAGGCCTTTTCAACGAGCTCCGCAATGAAGATGAGCTCGTCATTCTTGCCCGAGGTCTCGGGCTTCTGCGCATCGTGACAAACCTACTCCACGCGTTTGACGCGGCAGGCAATAATTTGATAATCATCGTTGGAGCTGACGATCGAGAGAATGAGTGGATTGGTGAAGGTACGGCGCCACTGGTGACACCGACCAATTAGTGTGATAGATGACTGATGATGTGAGAAGCGCTTGCGGAGCACTATGCTATTAGCAAGTCCCCTAAGGCCCGGGGACTGAAAGTTATCAATACAGATAGGGCTACTGTTCCTATGAGGTATATCACAATTCAATCATTTGTCCTGAAAGTTAACTTACAAAAATCAGAGAGAAGACATATAGCCAGGGGGGTATATTGAGTGTAACATCACGCATACTTGTTGTTGATTTATTATCAAGTAGGCGCTTGAATCATCTTAAATTTGGTCAAGCATATATCTAACATTGCTACAGAGCTTCTCGATCCAGAAAAGATCACTGGTCTGATCCTATTGCATGCAGAGAGGCAAGTTTACTTCATTTTGGAAACGTTGAGCGGCAAACTAACCTCATGCTAGAGTTGTGGCAACGGCTTTAGAGGCGTTTATTGTTAGAATATATCGTCAATTTAATCGAACTGGCTTCTTGAAAGCTTTTTCGGACAGCCCTGAACCCTTCACCACTGGCTTTGCCCCTCTATCAAACATGATGCGGAATCTTTTCCTGCGCAAACCATCCTTATGGCCCCGCTTTCATGTTACTGTTGCGGAGTCTCTCGAGGGCCGTCGGAAAGCTGAAGTCATCGAACTCGAAGTCCCTATGACTGATAAAATGAGGGAAATTCAAAACGCGATTATGGAATGCGTCGAGACAAGCATTTCCGAGCTTAAGAAGGCCAATAGTGGCCTTGATATGGAAGATTGGACATTGGATAGCGCCTTGCACAAGAATTTTGACGTAGCGATACGCCGTCAGTTGGATCCGATCTGGCATCGTGTCAGTTTCAGAACGCGACAAATTGCCAGTGACCTGACAGTCTTGAGGGCTATATTGCAGTAAGAACCTACCCAAAACTCATGCCTTAGCTTGTCTAACCGCGATAGCTCCCTCCTGACATATGATGCGGTGTCCCTATTGAAATATTTAGACACGGTTGTCGCGGCCCACTCAGCTCCCCCGGGATCAACAAAACACAACTTCTCTCCTTGGCTCTTTTTGGATGCTGCGCATGTCCTTTTCGAATCTGCAAAATCTCGGGTGTATCGAGGTAAAATTTCAGGTAATGATTCGTCAACACTTTCGTCGTCATTTTCAGCTGCCCTGCAACCCGTCCTTGAGGAGCAACCCAAGTGGCATGTTCTTGCAGAGATCCTGCAAGAGATAGAGCAAGACGCATATCTGAACCCGGCACAGCATGGCGACTCTAACAGCACCATATTGATTATGTGCGGTGACCAACGCACTTGCAAACAACTTCGAGATTACTTAGCATTGATGCATAATACTTTTGTCACCGACACCGATGAAGATGAAGAAAGTTCATCGGAAGATGGCGGATCAGCTGAAATTTTGATGCGAAGGAAACTGAGAGAATACTTGAATTGGAAACGAAACTTCTCTCGCGTCAGAGACAATCTCTATACTCCGAAACAAAGCTCAAGTGATACATCAAACAGAGGACAAAGCCAAAACGCTACTACCGCGCCAGGTAGAGCTCCTCCGAATAAAAGACGCCGTGTACGTGGTGGAGGTACGAGTTCTGCAGCTGCCGGTCGTGCCCCAAATACTAGTGTAGATGTCGGTAATGAAGCCCCTATTCAAGTGTCTGAACTGCTGGAGGATCTGCAACCAAATGTTGTCGAAGAGGCGCTGAAGGAAGATAATATAATTGATGATCTGGAGGGTATGGAGGACTACTATGAGCTATACGACATGAATGATCTCGTTATGATTCATCCTTATGACGGAGACATGGACGAACGAATCTTGGAAGAAGCTCGACCACGATACATAATTATGTATGAACCAGATGCTGCTTTCATACGCCGAGTAGAAGTGTACCGAAGCTCTCATAGCGATCGCAATGTGCGGGTATATTTCATGTACTACGGGGGATCAGTTGAGGAACAGCGCTACCTAAGCGCAGTACGACGGGAGAAAGATGCATTTACAAAGCTCATCACAGAGAAGGGTGTAAGTTTGTTTGGCAACAAGCTGCTCATAGATCCCTGCTAATCACTCACCACCAGGGCATGGCCGTAACTCTTACACATGACAAAAATCTTGAAGATCCTCAAGAACAATTTTTGAGAACTGTCAACACACGAATCGCTGGTGGTGGACGATTAGCTGCGACTTCAGCACCGCCTACTGTTGTGGTTGATGTTCGCGAGTTTCGAAGCGCATTGCCATCTCTACTACATGGCCGTAGCATGGTGGTTGTCCCTTGTCAATTGACAGTCGGAGACTACGTTTTGACGCCTGATATATGTGTTGAGCGTAAGTCAGTACGTGACTTGATCAGTTCTTTGAGAAACGGGCGTCTCTACAACCAAGCCGAGACGATGCTGAAATATTATAAAAATCCACTACTTCTAATTGAATTTGACCAAAATAAGTCATTCACATTTGACGCTTTTGCTTCGGCTTCGCTGCCTAGCACGGGTTTCCTCTCCGACTATGTATTCACCTCATCTGGCAATCCTGCATCGGCAGCGAGCAGTTCTTTGGCGAACCCTTCAACTCCTAAATCCGCACAACATATGCTTGTCCTCCTAACACTTGCGTTTCCGCGACTGAAAATCATATGGTCTTCCTCACCATATCAAACAGCCGAGATATTCGCAGAATTGAAAAAGAATAATCCCGAACCTGATCCAATCAGAGCAGTACAGATTGGTCTGGATGTCGATATCGCTGCATCTTCGAATCCGGGAGATGTCATGGCTGCCGCTGGTATAGAACATCGAAGTTTTCACCAGCTTCCCCAGGACATGCTTCGTTCTGTGCCTGGCGTTACACCAGTAGTCCTGGAAAGACTAAGCGTAGAGACAAATAATATCCACGAAGTCGCAAACATGGGCGTGGAAGAACTCAACCCACTGGTTGGTAGAGAGACTGCGCGGAAGATCGTTGGATTTTTTAGAAAAAGCGTCTTTGAAAACGAACCGAAGAGCTCTTAATAGTATTGGGAATTTTATTTTAAGCTTGATGATTCTTCATTATGACAATTAACCTCTAGCGAAGATACGGTCGTTTGTAGCTAGTTGAGATGACTACTGCTTACTCGAAAGGTTTCAAAACAGATAATTACCTAGGTATAGGAAAGAAAACATCCACGGAAATTGCGCACCAACGAATTTCTTTTTCTATTGCTATACATTGCATCAACATCAACATCAACATCAAACTTTATCTAGAAGCCATTTCAATTTCCGTAAGTATCGAGGAAAGTTGCCAATGCGTTAAAAGGGGATCACGTCAGTGCTAAAGACACGACTGGAGCTTTTTGAGAAGGAAGAAAAATGGCATGTTTTGGTAATCCATGCGTTGAATGCGTACGTGGCAAAACGTCGAGATCAAGAAATGAAGTTCGTTAATGCTGTCTGAGCATTATTCGGCCACCCGATAGTCACAGGATAACCATGTAACTGAGGGTGCAATGTCAGACAACAAAGTGGAGTGACGAAGGTTTCCGGGGCCATTCAAATCGTAGACAATGAGATGAGACCTCCAATCAATCATTTTGTGACCTGGTAAAGAGGCTTAAAGATTGCCCTCTTGATGCGTTCGTCGGCGCGAGTCCAACAGATCGAGGTGGGACTCTACCATACCATGTCAAAGAAACGATCTCGTGAATGATACTTCATGAGTACGCTCTTGAATGTGATTCCCAGTATTGATTAAGACACCAAATTATCCAGTAAGAAAGTGACCCAGTTCGACCCATGGCACCCCGTATCCCGCCCGAGGCAAACCATTTGACAAACGGTAAGCTGGCCGGGGGCTTCACAAAAGAAATCTTAGATCTCGTCGACATCAATCTCCTTGTCGTCGCTGCTATCACGATCCTCGTCGAACTCGACGTTATCTTCGAAGCCTTCGTGGCCATAGGTATCGGTTTCATTGATCTTGGCGGTCTCGGGCAACTCGCCGTAAGCCTTGAGACTACGAGCCTCATCGGCGCTGTACTTCATGATGACGTCGCCCTTTTCATCTTGGTAGTCACGCAGGGAGAGCAAGATGATATCTCCTTGGTTGATCCAGACCTTCTTGCGCAGTTTTCCTCGAATGTGTGCAAGACGCTTTTCGCCATCGAAGCACTGGGCCTCCAGACGACCGTTACCCAACATCTTCACGACCTGTGCGTATTCCTGGCCATCCTCCTTGAAGATGAGTTCACGCTTCTCGTTGTCGTTCTCGTTCTTTCCACGACGCCTGTTTTTACCACCCTAGATTTTTCCAACCGTCAGCCAACCGTCCAAGCGGCAAAAGCGGGGGGTTCTCTTTTTGTGCGCGCAGCAACAAAACTCACCTTTCCTTTATTCTTCGGCATGGTGAACCGATTCCAGCAGTGTCAGTTTAAAGGCTGAGTGAGGACCTCTGTCAGGAAAAAGAGAGCGCAGTTGGTTGTACTGCGCTGGAGCAGGAGATGGTTGGAGTTGGTGACAGAGTGGGATGGGCAGGCAGGAGGGGGTTTAAAAATGGTCGGGCGGTGGGGTGTGCTGAATTGGCTGGCCCGCCCCGATTCGCCGGCTTGCCTTTGCTGCCTCAGGCCTTGCCACCCGTCGGGTTTTGCTCACCGCCCGAGGTTTTGCCTTCTCCTCACACCACACACGCACGTCGCTTGCTTCGCTGGCCTTTCGTGTCCAAGCGAGCTGCTGCTGTCTGGGTGAGTCGATGTGGCTGCGGCTTTCTGTACGTTGACATTGCTAATCTGACCGGATCACGAAGCAGCCGACGATGATCCTCAACCCGCGGCAACCTCCTGTTGCTTGTCAAACATGTTGGTAATACTTCCTGCTTACAGCACTGGCAGGCCGCCTCGCTGGACAACAATCAAAAGCCAACACTTTTCGTTCCTCTACCAGTTCAGCCCTGCGACAAGTTGGTGGGCAGCGCAACACAGTCACATGGCACTGCTGCCGCATGTATTACGCCCTAAGATTCTGCATTCATACGAGAACCGAGATCCAAACACCCTATGGTGGCATGTCGCCGTAAATCGCCTTCCCTATAAAAAAACTGTTCGCAGCGCCTGTGCAGATCGAGCACGCAAAGGCTTTCGCGACGCTTTGTACCTGGAAGGATACGATGCGAGTGGCCGGCCTCTTCCGCAGGAAAGACTTCCTGAAGGCGTGGAGCTTCGGCCAAGGCCACTGGCCGGATCTCTGGAGATCACAGTTCACGAGTCGGCAGTTACACAATATGACTCGCAGGTCATTAGAAAGCTGATGAGCGAACAGCTGGGCAAAGTCATGAGGCTGATGCAGCAACGGCCCATGTATGAATTCCCAGAAAACCGTAAATGAATCCCAATAGTCATTTTCTTCATTGGCGCGACGTATTTTAGCATGTAATTATCATGGGCTTTGCACAAAGGAGTCATACAGCGTGTCGAGGTCATTGCATACGTAGACGTCTCTTGTGATTGGACGAAAGGGGAGCGTACCTGGAAACTTGGCACGTGTTGCCGTCGAACTGCGGAAAGAACAACGTTGAACGCGCCGAGTCGCAGACAAGGAAACGCTTTAACTCTGCTCAGTTTTCCGTCGCTTCCCATCGAACCAGGCGCATTGCTCTCACTTTAACTTGTTCAGCTTTCTCCACGATGCTGGTATCCTTGACTGTGGGCAAGGTCGACGCTGGCGTTGCGGTCTTGTTAACGCAGGACAACCGACTGGTAGGCAGCTCTAAACCTCCCCGACATCACAACATCCATCCTCTTATCAGGCCGAAATAAATGGCGCCATTTGTGCTCCATGCTTTTCCCGAAATAACTGCTGAGAGTGCGCTTTATTCCACAGATTGAATTCCCCTCGGTGTTACTCCCTAAAAATATCAGCTCCGGAAGCATCGTCGACATCAACGTCTCACGGAATCATGCCGCTGAGTCAACAAGCATAGCGAATTTCCAATCGCTACAAAAACGAATCCTCAATACCTATGGCCTAGAAACGCCTTCCCCTCCCGTTCTCCGTCTGCGCAATGCTACACAAACATCTCTGGTGCTAGAGTGGGATCCGATAAAGCTTGCTACAGCCTCCTTGAAATCCCTCTCACTCTACCGCAACGGGTCCAAAGCAGGATCGATACCTCGTCCTTTGGAAATGCTCAGTACCAAGATCAGTGGTCTTGCCGTACATGCCGAATATACCTTCCACCTCGTATTGCGCACATCAGCTGGAACTTTCCAATCTGAGAAGTTGACATGCCGTACTCATAAGATGACTGATCTTTCGGGCATAACAGTAACCCCGGGGATTATGCCTGAACCCCAAAGAGAGGCTCTGGAGCGCGCTGTTGATCGGATCGGTGGCAAGCTTATCGACGCTGTACGAATTGATACAACACATTTTGTTTGCACGGAAGGCCGTGGCCCGGCATGGGAAAAGGCTGTGGAAATGAACCTCCCTGTGGTTCGTCCCGAGTGGGTAGATGCATGTGAGGCTGAGGGGACAATCGTTGGGGTTCGGGGTTACTATTTGAATGCAGACCCAAAGCATCGGCAGTTGGGTCCGCGACAAACACCACAACCACAACCACAGCAGCCGCAGCCGCAGCCACAACGGCAAGCTCCTGAACCAGTCGTTCCAGAGACAACAATAGCACCCACGAGCAGTCAACCAAATGTATCATCACAATCAGGAGCAGATCAGGTCTCAGATGGCCCGCCGACTCCATTCCCCAGTGGCCCTACAGAAGTCAATCCAAATGAGGTTCAACAGGACAACGAACCTGAGCAAGCGCAACCTTCTCCTCCTCCGAAAGACGAGCCTGCTGAAACTACAAGGGGTAGCGAGCAAGAAGAACACAACCAAGTTGAAAATAACGAGAACGGCGATGATAATGAGGAGGCCGAGGAAGAGGAGGAGTCAACCGAAGTGCCACATTCCAACCATGGCAATGGCGAGGAAAAGGGTAAAGCTCAACAAGAGGGTGTAGGTGAGCTCGAAGAGGTATCTTTATAAGCTCATCCGAGGATATCCTGTGGCAGCTCTCAGATCTCATGTTTATTTATCTGCTTATTGACTTATCATGCACATGTAACCCTTCAGCCTTGGCTGGTATTTGTTTGTTCATAATGATTAGATACTCCTAGTTTTAACAAGTTGGCTTCATATAAATAGTTAGCATACCTAGATAATTTCTGCATTGTTGGATGCATACCAAGTTTGCTATACCCGGAGCAGATGCCCAAATCAAAAAAAGTTGCCTCGCTTTCTAATTAAAAAACGTTTCAAAAGCTGCCCAGGCAAGTAAGTATGTCTATACTTAGGTGGGCCAAGAGAAACAATCCTCCTCCAACGTGGCCATTTACGGGATAGTGTGTTGATAAGACCCCTTATCGCGCTACTCCTGCGGAGTACTCAAGGATATATGCTACGAGTACGAGTACGCTGTAAATGCTACAGAATACGCCGAATCATGCACGTGGATTGTTCGAACTGCCGACTAGAGCCGTACGACGACGATGTAGTTACGCCTGTTCCTGTTGCTGACCTGCGTCGCAGGGCGGGAAAATCACTATCCAGCCGGGAAAGGTTTTATCCCTCCCCCACATCCATTTTCCCGGGGAGGGAAGTATAAAAGATAATATCAATCAACACATCATCTTCTCTCCTGGAATTGCAATCTTGTTTCAGGATATAGTACATCCTACCTTCTTTACCGACATTATCACAATGTCTACCACAGAGGAAAAGCCTACTGGCGAGTATCGCCAATACCTGCCCGACCTCGGCGGCGTGCGCTTTACCACCATGAAGAGCCAGGATGCCCATGAGTATGCCCACGCCTTCAAGACAAAGCGCATTCCACCTTGGCTGTACGCCTTGTTTGAACATTGGAGGGACCTGTATGAGGAGCCTTACCAGGGTGTAACATCAGACGGTAATCCTTTTCCTCTCCAGTCTCTCCAAGCAACAACTTAGGGCATGGCGGTGTCAATAAACGTAACTGACGCTTCCGGAAATCCAACAGGGATCATTCGCCAAAACTTGTTTACCATTCATGACGAGGGATTACCTGTTGAGAAGATTGTCGCTTCGGTTCAGGACTTATATAAACTATTAAACGACGAACAGCGTAGAGCTGTCTCCTTTCACATAGATTCCCCCGAGTGGCGCACATGGTCCAACCCGGAATTCTTGCTTGTGCACAAGGGTCTGCGACTAGATGAAATTGACGTACCAATCAGAGATGCCATTCTCAAAGTACTCGAAAACACCCTGTCTCCCGAAGGGTATCAAAAAGCAGTAAAAGCAATGCGAATCAACCATTTTCTGGGAGAGCTAGTTGAGTCACCCAAGGTCATGAATGAATTCTCCTACAATTTTGCCATTTTTGGACGGCCTTCCACCACACGACCATGGGGCTGGACATTCTACGGTCACCATCTCTGTCTGAATATCTTCATCTATAAGGGACAGGTTGTTGCCAGCCCATGGTTCACCGGAGCCGAGCCTAATGAGATTGATTCCGGCTCTTACAAGGGCACTCGAATCCTTCAAGTTGAGGAGACACTTGGAATCCAGCTCATGCAATCGCTGCCGTCGGAAGTTCAGAAAAAGGCTCAAACATACAAGCAGATGGTCGATCCTGAAATGCCTCTTGGCCGCATCAACAAAGACGACCAACGACACTTGTGTGGCGCGTACCGCGACAACCGACACGTCCCTTACGAGGGTGTTCTCGTCTCCGACTTCACCGCGGAGCAAAAAGTCCTCGTCTATGGGATCCTTGAACAGTACCTATTATATCTTCCGAAACAGTCACGGGATCTCAAAATCGAGCAAATCCGGAAGTACGAATCAGAGACATATTTCTCCTGGATTGGAGGGTTTGAGGACCATGATCCCTTCTACTATCGTATTCAAAGCCCCGTTATTCTGATCGAGTTTGACCACCACTCTGGTGTCTTCTTGACAAATGAGGAGCCAAAGAAGTTCCACATCCACACTTTGCTTCGCACACCTAATGCGGGAGATTATGGTTATGCGCTGAGACCACTGATTCCGCCTGTTGAAAGCACAATTGCGAAACACATTACTTGGGACTAGAATCTTCATGTATATATATGTCAAGTTTTCGTCGTTTTTATTATCTTATCTATGAGCATTAACATTTTAAACTCGAGTAAATACCAACTCGAACGGCCATAAAAAGATGAATACGAAATCTATGTTCCGTGAGTGATACATGGGTAGGATCAATTAACCATGCTCCCAGCTTGCTGATTGAATTAGGGCTCTCGGTAAAAACAGGTAGGAAGAACTAACAAGTCAAAACAAACTTGAGCATGGACATCAAAATATTGGCGTGCCAACAACATTAGAATACATTAGAAAGCGTTTCCCATTGAATAATAAAAAAGTAAAGAAAGAAGAAGAAGAAGAACAGGGTCTTCAATGGTATCAAAGTTGAAAGTGAACCAATAAAAGAAAAGGAAGCTGAACGAAAGTGCGGACGCATGACTTTGAAAAAGAAGAAAAAGGAACCCTAAGTGACAGACAAAATCAATACGCATCCGAGGCCAAAACAGAAGTTATTTGCGATTCTTCCGAATCGCTTCATTCCAACCCCCGGCATCCGGGTTACTTAACACACCCTCAACTGGCCGTATGCTACTATCGCTATGGGAGCTGGTAGTTTCAAAGCTGCCACGGCTTCCTTGGGAGGCTGCATCGTGCGCGTATAGGTTGCGGCTTGCGTGATATCGTTGAGTTGCCTTTCCTTGCTTTCGGCGGGCGCTGTCAATACCCAAGTTATTTGATGAAGGCATCGCCCTCTCACTAATGGTAGGTACTCTCATGGAGCTCGACGCCGGACTTGAGCTTCGGCTTTGTGCACTGCCGGCATCGTGCGAGACACCGACGTCGAGGGCGGCGAGGAGGGCTGCTTGAAGCATCTTGTTCTGTCGTTCCAATGTAGCAATCCGAGACTCAAGATGGTGCAATACGTTTACGTAACTTATATGAGAGTCACCGGCTCCAGGTGGGAGAGAATGCAGCAAATCTTCCGAAAGTGAAGATAAGTTTTGGTATTTCAACGTTGCCTCTTGTTTGATAGATTGCTTGCTTTTAGCATTTGCAAGACGTTGGTTCACCTGGCGAGTCTCGGATTCACCATTATCCCTTATAGAGATGTTATTCTTTAAACGACGCGGCCGAGGGTCATGCATCTCGTCATCAGAAGATGGTAGCAAGGGGGATTGAGGCTGGAAGTTGCTGTGAGAGAGATTCTTTGTAGCATTCGCCGGTAGAATAGCTGTCTTCCCATGTTTGATAGAAAAACTGTCTATGGAGCCACTTGTAACGCTGACACTGCGAGATAGACCTCCTTCGTAGCCATTCAATGTAGAAATAGACCCTGGTAGTGAGGTTGTGGAGTTTCGCCGCCGAATATGTGGCGCCCCTTGGGCGTTCAAAGGAGGATTTTTTGGAAGAGGGAACTCAGGTACTGTGCTAATGCGATTCCATCTACTGAATCTTACTTGATCAGTCTGGCCCCGAGATTCAGGTTGTGGCTGATAACGACCATCATGCTTCAATGAATGCATCCCTGATCCAGCATGAGCACTTGTTTTCACTCCAGGAGCGTATTTCCTTTTCTTTGCATCAATGTCTCGCATTCGTATGGCGTGAACATGAATCGCCCGGCCTTGCTGAGATTCAGGCCTGGAAACAGTAGGAGAGGCGGTTCTCGATGACTGATCGTCGCTCGAGTTGTGTGATGCGTCTGAAGCATCAGTACTTCTATTAGAATAACGGGATGATGGCCGACTTCCAATCAACGATCTTTGTAAGTGCAATTTGCGAGGATTCATACCCAATACCGGACTATCCCGATCTTCCTCTCTATATTCTAGTGGAGCGGAAGCTGGCTGTGCAGGCGTCGATGCGCTCCGGTCCCCTTGAATAGGCTTGGGCCCAACAAGGGCATCCGCACTTTGTGGTAATGAAGGTAGAGGTTTGGCTGGGGGCGGAAGAGGAGCAGCATCAGTCACCACATATAATGGGGCTTTCTTGCCCTTTTTCTTCCCTTTTATATACATGCCTGACGCGACATCCGGAGTTACACTGCGAGCACGGCGGGACTGAATGGGAATTGGCGAAAGGAGGGCTCGTGGGCGTGGGAAACTGGCTGAGCTAGGGCCAACAACAGTGGAAGGAGGTTGAAGTAGGTTGGTTTCATCATTCAAATTGCTTGAGGGCCTAGGGACAAAAGTATTCAACGGTTGAGAGGAATCGGGTTTGGAGATGGAAGGAGGCATGCATTCAGCGACTAGCTTTAATGGTATGGGACCCGCGTTGAGATGGTTTGGCAGGTTGGCATCAGCTTGCGACAGGGGTAATAGTTGATCCGTACTCCTTGAAGCTTTGGCGTTGATCTTTTTGGCAGCTTCAGCGCCGTCATGTTTGTTTTCAAGCAGGTTTCTTACGAATAAAGGAGTGTCGGTCACCCCCTGGTTCAAGGAATGAGGTGCGGTATTGTCCTTGATAGCGCCTGAAGCTGTAGTGGTGGTGGTAGCAGCAGCAGCAGGGACGCCATTGGCAACGCCAGAAGAAGGTTCTGCTAACGGTGCTTTTTGTGATGTCCTTTTCTTCTCAAGACCTAATCTCTCCGTTGCGCGCAGAAGCACAGCAAGGCTTTTAGCGTCATCGAAATCCGAATTGGATCCACAGGAGCTGTCATCGTCGTTCTTGGACGTGTCAGGTCTATTCTGAGGCTGCCTGTTAATGGCCACCTGATGGCCCTGGGCCGGCTTGTTTAGTGTTAGTGTATCTCTCTCTGGACGTGAATCACGACTGTGGCTTTCAGCCGTATTCCCTAGCTGGCGGCTATTTTCGTTTCTACCATGGTCTTCACGACTTGGTGCTGCCGCACTATTGCTGTTAGAGGCATGTGCTGGTAAATGAGGCTGTGACTGGGCTTTAGCCTGGTATGGTGGTGGATCGCTGTCGTGTGAATATAATTCCGGGAATGATGCAGAAAATTCGACAAGCGCAGCCAAATCTCCTAGACTCAATGACTCACTGCGCAAGTCGTGTAAAGGCAGTTCGATTTGCGAGGTCGATCTTTCTTCGCTCTTTGGTATTGAAGTTAAAGCATCGTCGAGCCATGGACGCCCGATCGCTTCCACGTCCTGCTTTGTGCGTGATGGACGAGACTTATCCGTCAAATCTTCGAGGCTGGGTAGCAAGCCTTCCTTATCATGCCTCACATGCTTCGTGCGTGATGAGCGAGGCTTATTACCGCCCAAGTCTTCTAGGCCCGGTAGTAATCCCTCGCGTTGTAAAGCCACAAGGTGTTGGCGTTGTGTCTTTAATTTTTCAGATGAACTTGAAGCGCCAGAGCTCTTGATTGAGGACCTCCCGGATTTTGTTTGGCCCATGTCTCGAAGGCGACGCTGGCCTGCCTTCAATAGGTCCATGTCGTTGATCTGGGAACCAATTACCGATTCTGCTTCGGTTTCCTCTGGCGTCTGGAAGAAACGAACTAGTTCTGCGATATTCTCACTTCGCATAGGTCGGCTAGACGCCCCAGCGGATCGAGGTCGGGGCTTGCGCAGTCCTGGTATTCGGGTGTATTGTTTATAATCTGTGAGGGCTACTGTGGGCATGATAGAAAGCTTTGTTGGCGAGCCAGAGAACTTTTCAGAAGGTCTGTATGTTGGAATGACTGGACTCGGCGCGGCAGGACCGTCGGGCATGGAACTTGATCTGTTGAATCGTTCTTCCGTCCTTCCTTCGTTTGGAAGATCGGGGGATGATTGCGCTTTGAGAACAAGACGCGAATGACTGTTGAAAATGAGGTCTCCAGACTGGCAAATTGCTGGCGAGATGGATGTGATAGAAGCGAAGGTGGGCGGTGCTTTTACAGCACGGGCATCAAACACATTTTATATATGATATATATATACAGAGGAGCAAGTAAAGGCAAAAGAAAGAAGCTTTCACAGATGTTTGGGGAGCATCCCGTAGAGATAGAATGACCCAGGCCCAGCATCCCAGCGCATTCTTTAACTAAAATCAAAGGAAGGAAATAACAGGCGAAAGACTATGGTATATAAGTCAATATCCTAATATAATTCAGGAGAAAAAGTAAAGAGATCGGAGAAAAAAAAAAGAAACCTAAATATGATTGCAATGGGTCCATCTGACTCCATCGATTCACATTTGGCCAACGTCCGGCATAGACTTATCGTACTAGCTTTTCGGGAGCTGCACTGTAATGCCCCCCTCTTTGCACCCCCTTGATACAAAGGTTGATAGCTTCGAAGTTCATTAGAGACGGAAGCCTTCCTGGATCATACATGTGAAGACAATGAACCATCCGCCAAGCGAAGGAGGCTGCTAGTAGATCTAGACCCCTTTGTTTATCGGATTCAGGAGTATCCAGTGCCCACGCTAGACGACTAGAGGAAAGTCATCAGAAATGAACCGAACACCGGTCACAATACAGATTAAAGGGCCAGCTGCTGCAAGAGGAAGAGGGACTCGCGATGAGATCACAGACGGCGATCATGAGGGGTGTACCGGGATCGTACAGCAAGGCGAGCGCATGCATTTTTGATTCCAGGTTGCCGCAAGATCGACTGGCAAGGCATTCTATTCGATGGAGTCAGACAGAATATAGACCTTTAACGTTTGCGTGTGGGACGCGGAGTTGGTTGAAGCTCTGAAGCGCGCGCATTGATTGGCCGTGTTGGGAACCACGGCGCCGGGATAGCTGATAATGCTCGCACAGACCCTGTCAACAGTGGATTCGGCTGGGGTCAGCAGCGATCACCCTAGAGAACTATTTGTCCGGAACAAGCAAGGGATGTGAGCCATGATGCGCTTCATAGCGGAGAGTCAGCGCTAAGGACGGGGGACGTCTGAGTGTCGGCGGTGGCGCGGGCGGTGTGGCGGGGCAGTTGGCCCTAACGAGCAACTAGCGCTGACTAAGCGCTCTCCTGAGCATCCGATTTGCCTGTCTGAAAGCGAGAGGTCAGAAAAGAGTCACTACGACTCGCGAGCAAGGGATATGCGCCTTAGCAATCCATAAGTCACCTTGGGGGGCGTACCTACATGGCCGTCCTGCACAGTACTGCGTATGCACGCATACGTATACTCCGTGGCATGCATGGCCTCGGAGTCCATAGAGCCACGACTCAACTTTGCATACTCCGCTCCGTACATAAGCCTGGGAAACTTACTTTCAACAAAGATAGGGGGCAGGAATAAGTGTGCATAAAACAAAAGCATTATTTAAGACAGTGTACTCTGCAACTCTTTGACGCTTGACTCGTACACGATTGTTAGTAAGTTAACTAGTTAATTAACTATGAACGGAGTAATAATCAATGTACTACGTCCTAAACGTGACACGCTGCAAAGACAATAAAAGACCGACAAAGAGTTTACTCCGAGCTGTGCAGAGGGCATCATCCATGGGTGCTATGATTTCGTTTCTAGATTAAAAAGAAAAAAGAAAAAAAAAACCACACTCAAAAAAAAAAGAAAAGGCATAACTTCTCCAAGGGAGAAATGGCAAAAGAAAACAAAAACAAAGAAGCCGTCTTGTCCAGGTAGAAATGACCGAGCAGCTCGTCATGAAAGAGAAAATCAACCAATAAATCAGAGGAACACAAGGTAGTCGTATTGACCGAGTCAATCACCTGGGCTTTGAATAATAAGAGAAGGCGAAGAAATATGAAAGCAAGACAAAGCCTGGAATCAATTACAATTCTCCGAATGGAGTATTAAATGGTGAATTCGGAGTACGTACGAGCTATTTTCTAGTAAAAGTTACATGTCGTAGAATATTTATTTTTTTGTTAGATCTGATATATTTGATTGATCCCTTGCGCGTTTTCGGACAAGTCCAAAGTTTGAAATATTGCCCCTTTAGGAAAGGATTTCGAGATCCCATCACATAGGTCAGCCCACCAGGTAGGCATACTAGATCCATTGAATTGAATTAATCGGTTTCGAAACCGAAATAGCGATTCTTCTCTACAGTAAGGGAAGTTCTAGGGTTGATGAAAGTAAATATCTGCTCGCCCCATCTAGTTCCCGATAACAGTTCATGATAATATGCGTCTTGAATGACAGTGAAACTCCAGGGCTTTTTATACCGCCAAATGCTACTCTCAAATGCATAAAATCTCCACAGACGCCCTGGAAATGCGACAATAAAAATGTAAACCTATTTTCGCCGTAGGGAAGAAATTCAGACGAAAACTCCCAAGTACTGCTTGCTATATAAGCCCCATAAAAGTCTTCGGTGCAAGTAAACTCCCGCCAATGGCGATAAAATTCTTCCTCGCAGTACCAATTCATGCATAATATTTCAAACACACCAAGCTCATCTTTTTCTGGGCCGAATGAAGGGATCGGCCTCTTTTCTCTTTCGTGCTGGTATCGGAGGACGCGGTCCATTGTTTGGTCTGGCATTCTTTGGCCCTCGTGGTGGTTGTATCATCTGCAAATGTCATATATGTTAGAAATAAAGTACCATCGGAGTCGAACACTCAGGAGCATGTATCTTACGTTGTTGGATTGCAAGGTCTCGAGGTTATGAGTGATGCTTTGGTACCTGGGGCCATCTCGAGAAGGATTGACCAGATTCTTTATATGCTCTGTTAAATGGATATGATAGAAATCAGACGATGTGATGAAGCAACTTACACTGGGTGGCTCCTGTGGGATCTCTGCATCCACTTTGCGCTTGCTGCTCTTTGCAAAAGGTCCACTAGGCGGAAGTTTTCTCTTCCCCGATGGCTGCTGAGGCTGAGGGCGCTGTGGAGGTGGAGATGGGGATTTAGTAGAGACTTTAATAACCGGGACTTGGGGATCGTAGTTCCGCATATGCTTCTGCTTGATCTCCTCCCGTTTGGCCTGCTGAGCCTGTTTATGACGCCGCTCCTCATTGGCGATCCTGTTCTTCTCTTTGTGAGACAGAATCTTCTTGGACTCACAGCTCTCTGCCAAATGTCCAATCTCGCCACACATCAAACAACGAGGTGCAGTACATCTGATTTTTGTATGACCAGGCTCCTTGCAGCGGAAGCATATGCCTTTAGCCTCTCCAAGAGCTTCTGCGTTGTCACAATTTCTTGTAAAATGTTCAAAACTACCACAGCAAGCACATGCCTTGGTATCGTCAAGTCCATTAGAACCCCCAGACGGACCAGTGATCACGGGACTAGGGGTGTTGCGGGCAGACACTGACTCCATTTCATTAGACGAACGAGTCTCAGTAGGCGTCTCTACTGCCGATGAATTCGACTCGTTAACATCGGCGTCGACCATATCTACATTACGATATCCGGTGAATTGTGGACGCTGCAACATCGCTAGGATATCACCGTCTGTGTAAACACTGCGTTGTCTGGCGTCAGTGATAAGCTTGTTCCAAAATTCTCCTTGGACAAGAGACTGAGAGTTTCCAAGAACCCATAGTGACGACTTGGCACGAGTCAATCCGACGTTCATACGGCGAATGTCAGACAAGAAACCAATGCCCTTGTTCGACGCACGTACACAAGAGAAAATAATGACCTCGCTTTCTCTACCTTGAAAGGCGTCGGTTGTGTTGAATTCGACCTTCGTAAAGATGGCGTTACCATATCTCGCAGCGAAACGCGTCTTCATCTCTCTCAATTGACCCTTGTAGGGTGTGATAATGCCTATCTTGCCAGAGAACTCGAAAGATCTGAAATCAGTAACTAATCGCTCATAAAGCTGCATTGCTACGTTCAATTCAGCGATGTTAATGAGCGAATGACCCTTGGCAGCACTTTGATGGAGTCCCTGTACGTCGAAAAAGCGGTATGGGCTAAGTAATGTGCTATTATGCCATGGACGAACACGAAGCTTAGCCATATCCGGGCCATCTTGTAGTCGACCGTCGTAGAAAGTCATGCTGGGGAAGCGACTGATTGCAGGATGCATACGGTATTGAATATCCAAAAGATGAACGTCATTGGGGTGGTTAGTTTGCATTCTAACAAACAAGCTTTGTTCATATTGGAAACGGGAAGCCGCTTTGGATAGAACTGTTGGTGGAAGCTGCTTGGGATCTCCAACGAGAATGCATTTTGCACATCCGTACTTTAGGGGAATAAGAGCGCTTAACTCGATAGATTGGGCAGCTTCATCGATAATCACAGTCTCAAAGTCAATACTCAAATTCTGGAACATTTCATGTCCACTGCCACTCAAAGTCGCACAAATAACATGAGCACCATCAACAATTTCTTGTTGAATACGACGGCGAGTGAGGTCGTTGTTACGAGCAATGGAATTATTGCGATCCCGAGTATTATCGATTTCTTGGCTGAGTTGTGTCCGCTTCTTTTTGAGCAGTTCAAATTCACGTTGAAGATCGTCCGGAGGAGTTTGCCCTTTCGCCCTAAGCTGGTCTAGTTTGGTCCGCATCTCCTTGAATGCGGTGTCGGTAGTCTTGTGCTCTTCATAAATCTTCTGAAGATCCTTTTCCCCTGAGCCTTTCTGGGCGGATTGATTAAGACGTGCGTTGACAAGCTCATCCAAAGTGACATCCAACACATTTGCATTGATGGCGTCACTACGACCCAAGCGAATGACAGAAAGTTTTTCTGAACGGCCTTGGAGCGTTTTTACCCCTGCTTTGAAACGCATCACGAGTTCGTCGACAGCTGCGTTACTAGGAGCACAGACAAGAAGCTTCTTCGCGACTGAAGCTTTCCCTGGAGGAGCGGATGCCTGCTTCTCACCAGGACGGGCAATTGCCACGCTCTGTTGATTGCTTAATGAATTACTCATCAACGCTCCAACAAGAGCAACAATAGTTTTCGTTTTGCCCGACCCTGGTGGACCTTGTATTAATGTGAATGCATCATTGTCCAATGCAGACTTGATGGCTTTGGCTTGTGCCAGGTTGACGGTGTAGTTGTCAACCAATGGCTTCAGGCCTGCGTCATTATATTTCAGAATTGGCGAGGGTTTCGCTTTGATAATCTCCTCGCATAGATCATAATATTGCAACGCCATAAGGGACCCATACTCACGCTCCAATGGAGTCAATGATGTTATTCGTACGGCCCACATGGTAGCCCCTGGTGCAATGGAAGAAATGATTGGGTTTCCAGGATTGACCCGGTATGACACTTCGACGATACCTTTCTTCCTATTAATGCCAGAGATCCTAGCCAAGCAATGGGGAGAGGACTTGTCATTTGCGGGGCTTCTTGACTTGGATAGCAAAACGATATCAGCCTCTCCTAGTCCAAAATCTTTAAGGTCTGATGCATTTTTCAAATTTGTGCTAACTTCCATGAACGAATCAACAGAAAGACGAGTTGCCACTGTAACCTCAAATGGCTTGAAGTTTGCTTCTTCCTTTGCAGATTGAAAGCCCTGCCATGCTTCTAAGACCAGCAAAGGCTCAAAGGTTCGTTGGTATTCGATAGGATCTCTGAAAGTAGATGTAATTAGGGAATAATCTGTACGGCCTGAGTTCGGAGGCAGGTCACCGCTAGCGAAAAAGTCCCACTCAAGTAAGGTACGATGAAGCGATGATAGATCTGGAACCAATCGAGCCCGCATGTCTTTAGCCGAACGCCATTGTCTGACTTTTTTCACTGGTCCTTGCTGCTTAAGAGCTCGTCTTTTACTTTCCTGGTATTCCCTCACAGCAGCCGGGGTTGATGCAGCTTTCTTTCCAAACAACTCTGTGTCAATCTCATCGTCGCTTTCTTCTTCTGATTCCGATTCTGATCCAACCATCATACTATCGATGGGAGTATGATCTTTGCCCCTTATACCACCCTGAACCCCTGAACCTTGGCCAGCAGTTTGTTCTGCAACACCAAGTCCTGAAATGTTCTTTTTCAAGCGCTGCAGCTCCGCAAGATCTCGTTTCTTCTTAGCCTCTCTTTCTTTTTCGCGCTTTTCGCGAAAAGACTCGACTGCTAATGATGGTCGAGAGGGGGGTTTGGGAAGAATAAGAGGTGATTTTGTCGCCGCAAGTGATTTTTTCTGGGGTTGACTGGCAATGCGAGCTTTATTTAATTCAACGGATCGTGACAATTGCATCAGCATTTCATCAGGAACGGAAGAATCCTCGTAGTCTTCTTCGCTTGTCGACCGATTTGGAGTCGATCGGCCAGAGGAATCGGTTTGTCTTGCAAAGGCAGTGATAGAGCTTTGTTTTTTCAAAGCTGCGGTCGATGCAGTAACAACCGGTTTCTTATAGTATGCTTCCAAAGCCCTCACAAGCTCTGCTTTCTCACGTGCTATCAACATCGTTTTTATACTGCCTGTCACGGCGACATTTTCGATTATTTGGAGAGCACTGCGGTCGACAGTCGTGATATTCAACTTGCCAAGTCGTCGAAGAATCTTGGAAACCAGGCCAACCAATGTTGTAGCAAGGTACTCATCCTTGAGCCTGAGCCATTTCACCATTCCTTTCATCGTGGCCGTGGGATGTTGCAACAGAGTTTCTCGTACAGAATCTTCTTGCGATTGGTCGTCCGCACTCATTGCGCTGGCGAACACGGCATACTGAGCAAAAAGAAGATCTGCAAATTGGATTGTGTCACGGCAGAATTCAAGCATTACCTTCTTATCGTTTCCTCGATTATGCCAAGCTTCAGTCATATCAAAGATGGTAGTCAAAGCTGACCATTGACGTTCCCAAAGAGTTTGGACTTCCGTGAGTTCCTTTTTGTTTGCCAACTTTCGGGTCCTGAGTATGCCGGTCTGAGTGTCACATAAGATATCAATGATGTCCGTTCCAGTATGAATCATCCTCGGAGCAGAGCCGAACGTCTTTAACGTGCTGATACGGAAGAAAGACCACCCAAACCCGTAGACGGCGGTCGAGAAGAACAATTGCAGGAGATGAGAGATTGCATCTCTTCTTACAGACTGCCCGCTCACATTCTTGATGAGATCCACGGCTGCTTGGTAAGTATTCAAGTCGGCAGAAAATAGAGCCGATATCAGCGCACAGCTAGTATCCTGGCTGGCGAACAAAGCATCCAGATGTTCCGGGTCGAATTCGGCAAGACGCTCAATGATCTGGGCTGATAGATGGGTAAGGTGGCCGTAGATAACATTATAATGTGTTTTCTCTCGGCTATCTTCACCTTTGGTAGGAAATTTCTCAAGACCTACTAGATCTAATATACCCTTCAGTGCTGCCGTCGAAAGGTCTCGGTTTCGCTCGCTTAATTTCGCAATGACAGCATCCCAAATGGCCGGGGAATATGTACTGACCCCATGATGCAGGGTGGACTGATGCAGCAAAACTTCATAGTCCGTCTTGAGGGACTGGCATTCGAGAGCAAGAGTGTTGCTGACCACGTCCATGCAACCATTGATAATCAGCCGACCCCTTTCACCAGCGCCGTTTATCTCCGGTGTAACAAATAGATCGATATATTCCTTGACGACTTCCAAAGTCTCAGACAGAACAACGCGTGCGACTGATCCTCTTGATGATTCATTGTTGGTGAATGTGCGTAGCGTACAGAGGAGCACCTCAATTCCAATAAGAAAGCATTGGAAGCGTGCAACTGATGGAAACCTTGTGTCTTGATATCGTTTGAATAACTGAGAGACGATGTATCTGCAAGCAGGTGTCTGGTTGATATTCTTCAACGATGACATGAAAGGGGTGGTCCATGACAGCATATCGTGCAGTGGGGACTTGGATAGCGGCACATCCTCCGTAGATTCTAGAAGGAAGGCATCGAATTGGGGGTTATTGAAAATCTGCTCTGCTATCGCTTGTGGAGAAATAGTCTGCATGGCATCCCAAAAGTCACCTGGAGCCTTTTCCAAGAGTAACTGGATAGCGTTCAATAATACCCGCAAGCCAGGTGACTGTATTCCAAGGTGTTCCACGGAAAGCCGGCAGGGATCGATGTCTAGAGCACGGAGGTGATGAGTGATCTGATCTCTATCAAGTCTCATTATGATGATTCGGAGGCCTGTCCACAATCGGTTGATAGCAGCAACGTCTAGATGTTGTTGCTGAGGTGAGACGGCAATGAGTGCACGGGTCAATCCATCTTTCACTGCCCAGTCAAACTCAGCTGAGGTAGGAGCACGGCGGAAACGAGACCACCCATGAATGGCCCAGTGATTCCGGACTGGATCGGGATCAAATAGAAAGTTTGTCAAACCCGGGACATAATCGGTGAGCTTCAGAGTACGCTTCGTCTGAATCATTCTAAACGGGGTATCGAAATATTCCTTAAGCAAAGCATCATTGCGCTGCATCACCTCGGAGCTCAGGCACTCAAAAATCGCTAGCAATGAAGACGTTCTCAAAGCATCCAAGCCTATTTTCTCTGGAGGAACCGCATTTAGTTCTTCGAGAGCTATTGTCAAATTCCTTTTCATTCGCTTGATATCCCACTCCTCAAGCAGCCGCATAAGCTTTTCAATATCCTCGTCGTCATAGTTTTCCTTCAAACCGTCGGCGAGAGACAGTTTCCCTCTGTGATACATTCTGATGCAAAAATCGCAGCTTTCCAGCGTGTCATCGAATTTCCGCCACAGCCAGTCCTGTAATTGTTCCAGTCCATCTTGACTGAAAGCCAAAATTGGCAAGCACGACAATGCCTTGTCTCGGCGTTCCATAGCTCGTTGGGACTCGTCCTCCCCGTCGGGGCCATCGTAGCGCCCATAATCGTCTCTTCTCTGTCGCGGACAAAGTAGGTGGATGCCGTCTGGGATCGTTTGTAGTTCCCTAGATAGAAGGGCAGTCAGGATGAAACTCACGACCAACACACGTGGAAGACAAACCCACCTTATTGTGTCTAAGACCTCCATGATGGAGAAATCGAATTAGACAAGGGCCTTCACCGGCAAGGTATGTTAACAAGCTACTTAGATGCGCAGTAGGAAAATGTACTCCATCGCAGAAACTGCCCTAAAAAATGCGTAAATCACCACTCAAAGAAACGTAGCAAAACGTATGAAACCGGAACTATGTGTTGCGAAGAAGAAGAAGAAGAAGAAGAAGAAGAAGAGAATCAAAAATAATCATGGATGAAAACGACTTTACAAGAGCAATCGACCATGCAGTCACAGTATATTAAAAGATTGAAGAGAGGGGAGGAAAGAAGTTGTTGTTCGGTCAGGTTTGGTGATGCTTGAGAATAATCCCGGCACATCACCTGCGCTGATTGGCCCACAGCCAAAGCGGCAAAGCAATCTCTTTATCCACTTAACGCGTGTGGCCGACAAAACGCGTCCTCAACTTTACTTACTTTTATTTTACTACTCCGTGTATGCTCTACTATACTTCTCTCTTATGTCTATGACCCTCAGCATGCGAATGAACACTTAGCATGTTGACAGAACTAATAATTGGCTTCGATTGCAGATACGCTACCTATATGCGTGCGCAACGACTCGCCAAACCAAAAACTTCCAGTGCATCATGGATATTGCCATAATATGGACGCCACAGCGACGTTCAAGACACATCTTAAAAATAAGACAAGACAAGCCAGTAAAAACGGTACGCGACTTCACCATTGGTTGAAAAAGTAATAGAAAGAGCTGTTCGGTAGAGAAGTTGAGAAGATGAGAAACAAAAGAAAAAATAAAGAGGGAAGAACAGCCGAATATATAGAATAGGTAGATATGTGGTTATGTGGTAATGGAGAAGACGATGAAGAAAACAAGAGAAAAAGGGGGAAAGATGCATGAGAATGCGAGAACAATAAAACATGAATTCCTGCGCCACCAGCCTTTTCAACCAACGCCATCTATATGGAAACACAACAGAAAGAGCAACAGAGACGAACAATTCCCCTCAGAAATCCTGAAATAAAGCTCATATAGACAAATAAAAATTTCAAATCAAGAATGAAAGTGACATCAAGGACATATAGAGTGAGATACTAACATGGGAGGAGAATAGCTATACAGCATGTACATCATGCGGGTTCCTCAACGGACTGTGAGGAGTTTGGGGTTTCCCACTGGAGGATTCGATTCGCAGCAATGGATTGCCGTTGGGAAAGTCATTGCTGGTCACCGAGGATCTTTCCCGGTTATTATGGTGTATGGTGAGCCCTGGTTCCCGTGCAGGGTCCCACGAGCTGAGATGTCCTTCATTTCCTTGATTTCCGCTGAAATCAAAGCTATCCGCTGTAAAGGTTGTGCCGCCGCTACCGTTTTGACTACGTGGATTGTGAGTGGTGGTTGTCGGTGCGATAGAGGGCGGGTAAAAGTGCCGCTCATCCTCAAAGACATTGGGTGTATGCCTCACCTGGGGCTCGATGGGTTTAACCACTGAAGAAGCATCACTGCCTGCGGAACCTTCGCCTTCGATGACCGTTTGGGAAGGGTCAGACGCCTCAGATTCCTCCAAATGAGCGAACTTATTTTGTGTCGCCTGCTCACGGATAATATCCACATCTGTGGGAAAGAAAACCTTTTGAAACGCTTTGATGGCAAATCGGGGGAGAAGACAAATCACGACAGTGACCAGAAGCACTGTCCAATAAGCCAAAGACCCGAATACTTCTGCCCCAAAGTTGTAAAACTGAGCAGAAGCAGTTGTAGAGGAGTAAACACCGGTCCAGAAATAAAGGAGGAGATTGCTAAATAGGTTGATCACGACAGTTAACCAATCCCACCTATAAGAATTCAGCAAAACGTAAACGTTGCTTGAAATTATTGCCGCGGAAGCAACCAGGATTCCAAACTGTTGACGGGCATCCAGATTCAGTCCGTCCCCGCGATGAAAGGTAGCAACGTTGTATAACAGATAAGGCATAAAGAAAGCCATCACGGACTGATACAGGCCGTCGATCATGTAAAGCCTGTAGGATCAAAAGTTAGATTGCAATAAAGAGCATGTATGGCCATACTTACCAGAACTTCAGGTGTCCCCATTCCTTGCGCTCAATGCCGCGCATGTATAACTGAGGGACGGCTAGAGACACTTTATCATCAACATCCTGGTCGAAAATTCCCATGAAGATAACAGGAAGTGAGGTAAAAGCCAAGTTGATCAAGACGACATAGGTGTAATCATAAAGATAGGATCCATCGAAACTGTTGAAGAGGGAATACCAAAACAGAGCGACAGTCCACACAATTGTCTGAGCGAGAGACAAAGGTTAGTAAACATATGTTTATCAGGATGGGCAGAGATTAGGGGAGCCCTCACTTTATAGAAGAAATTGGCAGTAGCCTCTCCAAGGCGTCGATAAGCCCATCGGCCATGTACAAGCATGAGACGTTGCAAAAACCGAAATTGGCCGATAGCATAATCAGATGACATGACTGCCTGTCTTCCTTCCTCACCGGCAATACCGACACCGACATCTGCTTCTTGAATCATAGCCACATCGTTGGCACCATCGCCTATAGATAAGGCCATGATGTTTAATCCAGTCTTCACCATTCGGACAACGGCGGCCTTCTGTGCAGGGCTCACACGGCAACAAAGAACAGACTTGCATCGCTTGCACAAAAGCAAAAACTTCTGCTTCAATTCGTCGTCAAGCATAAGTCTCAGTGTGTCTCCATCAATAATCAATGCATGGGTGGCAGCAGGTGGTGTGTGGTCTTTGCGGGCAGCGATCAACTCTTCGTCCGAGCCTGTAATACCGAACCGATCCAAGTACTTCTGTAATTCAGAGGCTGCAACATCGGGTTTGTCGGCAGGAACGTTGAACACGATCAGTTCCATCTCATTGTTCAAGAGATTGCACGAAAATCCAATGTTGATAGCAGTTTCGACTTTGTCGCCAGTTAGGACCCATAGCTTGATACCGGCACGGGCTAGCAACGAGATAGTATCCGGCACGCCGTCTTGCAATCTATCTTCAATAGCAGTACCACCCAAGAGCATCAGCTCTTGTTCGATTGCACTGGAGACTTCTTCCAGTTTATCATCGCGGTCAACAAGAGCAGCAGCAGCTAAATCATACGTTTCGTTCCAAGCATGGTATTCCTCTTCACTAAGAATACGTTCGGCAATACAGAGAGTTCGTAGACCTTCTCGAGCAAATTCTTCGAGATGATTAGCAGTAGTCTTTCGAAGGGCTTGCTGCTGGCCACGCGCAAGTCGTTTGTAAATGACGCTGTCTGCACCCTTGCAAAAAAGTCGAATGGTACCATCGGGCATGCGAATGATTGCGCTCATTCGTTTCCTTGTTGAGTTGAATTCTAATAGATTGAGGACAGTGTATGCACGCTCTTCGCCCAAGACGTTAACAATCAAGTCATCGTCATTCCTGCCCAACACGGTAAAGCCACAGTCACGAGCAGTGGCGACCAGAGCTGCTTCGTCGGGGGACTGGGCCCTAAATTCTATCTGCGGCGGATCACCGGGGGTATGCTCGGTAATGACAGTGTGACAGAGAGCGAGAGCAACCATGAAGCTTTCAATAGCCTGCGCTTGATCGCGATTCGATTGATCAGCAAGATCGGTTGCAAAGTCAGGTGAGACAAAGGTCAGCTTGTCATCGATCAGATATGGATTGTCGTGGATCTCTCTGAAAAGCTGTAGCGTGCGCACTCTGGCCTCTGCGATTGCCTGGCGAGCCTTGGCAGCCTCCGCTTCAACATCGAGACCTTCGCGACGCTGCATGCCTAGCTGCGCTTCAGTGTAAGCTTCGCCATACGAAACACCATTGATGGTACACTTCTTGAACTCCATAACATTCTGTGTCAGAGTTCCGGTTTTGTCTGAGAAAATATACTCAATCTGGCCAACGTCATCAGAGATGTTCCACGACCGAGGGACACAGCCCGTGCCGAGGCGTTCGTAGACCATTTCCAAGTCATACAAAATGAACAGTGCCTGGCAAGACCGAATAATTTCCAGAGTGATATAAAGAGATATAGGCACGAAGGTCTGGTACAAGATAAGTCCCGCAAAAAACGCGACGATACCTTCCACTGGTGGAGTACCGCCGTAGGAGCCATATTCAAAGAAGGTCCAAGAGCCTTGTTGAGACCAGAATATGCCATTGGCAATACCGTTGACCAAACACAGAGCAAAGAGAATAACGAAGTTGGGAATAACATTGTAATTCATCTGCCGAGCAAGTGCCGGTCTTTTACTGGGAGTACTTCCAGAGTTCAGCATAATCTTTGTCTCGGGACCGGTGAAAACAACGACGCCTAGAATCCATTCGGTATTCTGGAGACTGCAGCCACGGAGAAGTAGGTTATTGACGCCGATGGGCTCCACTCTATCCTTAAGAGGGCCGTTTGGATCTGCCTCGTCTCGCTGCTGCCATCGGATGGCCGCGTTATAGTGTTCAAGATTTGCATTGGGAGCCTCGCTCTCGATAAAGAAGGAGGACTTTTCACAATCTCGAGCGTGCTTGACTAGACGTCCACACTGAAGCGCTTGTCGTACTTTCAGATTCGTCTCGCCATCCAAGTTCTTAGTTTCGATATTACAGGCTCCATCAGGGTCGGAAGAGGAGAGAACGACAATATCAGCTGGGATCTCGTCCCCATTGTACAGTCGAACGAAATCGCCAACTTTCACACTCTTCCAGTGATCTCGTTTGAAGCGCGCCGTCCCGGCGGTCTGTTTTAAGGGGTCCACAACAGTGCCGGCCCTCTTCCCACCGGGAGCAACACTGTCCCGCACCGCCTTACCGGTCTGTATGTTTTTATTTGCATCATTCGGACCATCAGGCCATGCGATTCCCTGGCTGTCACTGTGCGGATGTGGAGATGATACTGGGGTCATTTGGATAGCGTCTTCGGGGCCGTAAGATTGTCGCATAGAGTACACGGATTGGCGATAGGTTGCCATGGAAATCCGCCTGTCGTCCTCAACATTTGCCTCATCATCCACGGGATCCTTGTTCTTGGATTTCTTCATCGATCGGTAAATAGAGACTACAGTGCGCGTACAGGCCTTCTTGAAACGGCGCCACGAAGAGACATGCTCTTCAACTGCATTGACGTTGGTCCAATCGGTCAGTCGATAGACGGGAGAATTATTCAGCTGGTTATCCTGCATTGTACGTCGCCAGTCCTCAATGGCGTCTTTAATCGCTGTCAAGACAAGAATGACAATCAGGGGCGTGGCGTTCAAGCCAGGATCGGTGACACCGAAGATAGGAAAGAACTAGAAGTATATCAGCATTCCCATTCCGGGATAAGAAGTCCTTAGCCAGGAGGACTTACGCCTAGAACGATGATAAACAAGAAATACAAGTTTGCGATGTTTTGAAACTGGAACCATAGGTTTTTGGGCACGAAAGAAAGTGGCGTATACTTCGCGGTACGAATTTTATTTCGCGGGAAGTCAATCTTCAAATTGCCATCCTCGTCGCGTTCACTGTCGGGTATGGGCATGTTGAAATATATGCGCCGCGCGGGCTGGACGGCTGGGGTTTCGCCATCGTCAGTGCTACTTCCAGCCGAGTTTCGTTTTTCCGCGCCAGAAACATCTCGTTTGTGAAAGCGATCGACGATGGAGACCCGTTTCTTCAGGCCGCTCGAATTTCCCATGCGCCGGGTGGCCCAACGTTGTCTTTTTGTTGGCTTCGAGATGTCACTGTTAATTGGCCGCAAGGAATTGTCATTTCCTTCGCCACCGTCGTTTGGCTGAGCTCCAGACATAAGGAAGGGCTGTGATCACGCTCCGGAGGGCATATAGTGTGATTGGTGTGAGGCGATATCAAGGCGAGCGTTGCTAACTACCAGCCCCGTTGTCGGAGCATTCGATCGAGATGGCGGATCCTGACGACGCAAGAAGTCCGCCGCTGTGTTCTCCCTGTCGTCGTTGTTGTTGTTGTTGTATTAGGATCAAAGACAGTAGGAGCGGATTAAGCGGCCGCGGTGAGGGCAAAGAGCAGGGCCGGTGAACAAAGGCGTTGTTACCGTTCTAATAATCAGGGGAAGGGAAGGGGAGGAGAACGTGGCAACGGCGCCGGCGGAAGGAAGCGGCTGGCAGGAGCGAACGAGGGACAAAAGACTCCTTTGTAGACAGCCGACCGACGAGCGCTGGGGTAGAGAGAGATGCGTTTGCGTCAGGGGAGACGGACGAGAGGAGATGGACGAGAGACGATGAGACGAGGCCAGATAGACAGGAAGGAGGGAAGGCGTGGAAGAGATTGATGCAGTCTTAGTAATGCCGCGCGGGAGCGGATGGAGAGGCAGCCCGTGGCTGTTCAGCCGGAGTTTACGGCCAAGCGGTAACCAAGTGGGTGTCTCACTCGACTGACTTGCACAAAATGTTTAAGTTAGATCCGAGTACTTATCGTAGCTGGTACCAGACACGCACTCAGGAGGCTAGGACATACTTCAGCATCATACCCCTCGCAGGCCAGCAGACTGGCTGGCGAAGTAATCATACCGTTCCGCGCCCACGAATCCGCGCGAAAAGGGCTGTATTTCGTGGTTTTGTGTCTTGTGTAATTTACGGGGTGTAACTTTTATACGCGTCGGTTACCGGAACTCCCACCAGCCCCCTGTTGGATTGCACATAAAACATTATATTATGCAATGTCTACACATCATTAACTCTTCTGTATTAACTATGTATCTCATAATTTATTCGCCATCTGCCGGTCCTAATCAGGGGAATTCTGCTTGCAAATCGTGTTCTTTGGTCGGTGGATTTAGTGCGACAAAAAAAAAAGAAAAAAAAAAAAGGAAACTCGCCCAGAGTTTCCTTGGTTAAGCAGTGGCGCAGTAAACTCTGGGACCAGCAAAAGGATGACCGCATCAGGTAGATTCTCCCATATATCCAGCCCGTAAGAAATCCAGGACATCGTTCCTATCTTCAGCGCAGTCAGCGAATATTAATAACTTTCATCCTCAATAGTTACTCCATATACTCCATATCCGTAAGCCGTCCCCACATGATCGACCGACTTCGCCACCAGCACGATCCATAGATGGATAGCGCTGGGCTGAGTGACGCTGTTTCAGAATATAACATGCTCTCTGTACTGGGAGAGATGTATATGTACGTTATATGTTATATATCATTTGTATCCATCCGAAAGAATAAAGTACCCCAAGTATCAATTTGATAATTTTTTTTTCATTTCTCTAGTCGAGGCAACATGTTCATCATCCTTGAGGGGCAGAAAAAAGCCTGGTTGCTTCGACACGCAGTTTGATGTTGATTCGGTCTGGAACTCGCTGGGGGGTTTTCTTCAAAAATTTGACCCTGAGATTCGCAATATCAGGTGTAGCACACAGAGTTATGCTATAGCTATAGGCGTAGTTAGTTTAACTAGTTAAGAAGCGCTGGCCTAACCGCTTACGGGCAAAATTGGCTGCAAATCACGTGGCTACGTGCAGCTACGCGTAGCATCCACACTGTCGTCGCCCCACCCGCAAGAGGGACCTGCTTAACCATCCCCTGCAAAGCACCGCGACGCCCTTCTCGTCGCTCGAAGCGATATGTCCCAGACACGCACGATAAAAGATTACTTCAAGCGTCCGGCCTTTGTGCAAAACGCCAAGTGCATCCAACCCTCCTCCCCACTCAGTGATCCGCCCTCCGACCTTTTCGCGTCATCTCAACAGCTACCGGATCCTCAGGGTGAGCCTCAGCTAAAAGACACTTTAGCTCGCTCTTCAGACGATGTCAGGCCTAATTACTCAGCGCAGCCAAGTCATGGCAGTAACACCACCTTTCGTCGGAGCTCCTCCCTCGGGGGAAGCTTCAACTCGTCCCAGCGCATCGTGAAGAATGGCCAAGAAGTAGTCATTGACTCCGATGCGGAGAGTTTCGACTCGAGTGAATCCTTGGAGACGGCTGACGACCTTCTAAGCAAATTCTTAGACTTTCCATCGAAGAAGCGAGATACAGAGCCACGTTCTAGCAGCCTAGGTCCTTCTTCAAAGCCGGGAAATCGAAAAAATCAAAATCCACGAAATGTTCGAGCAATGTCGGAACTTCAGGGACAGAAATACAAATTTAGCATGGAATCGTTGGTGACAAGTGCTGTGGATGACGACGAAGCTGAGGCTAGTGTAGCAAAAGCCAAAGCTTTGCTCCAAGGCCATGACATGGCCACATCGACGTTATCCGAGGTCGCCGTCCCCAATCTCCGCGAAGATATCCTGGCATCTGCATTATCCACAAATAATCAGGAATCTGATTTCCAGAGACTGTTGAATGCTGTCAAACGAACGGAGGCTTTTGAACAAGAAAAGTCGTGGTCTTTTTTTGGGGATCACTTGACTCTGGAGGGGCCCGAATTTCCAAGAGATTCTGTTGATCCTTCATCCGGAGAGTCATTCCTACGAGGTAGGACTTTTCCTCTCTTCGGCAGGTGGCTTTTTTCGCTAACGCACAACTCCAGAGGCCTTCACCCGCGATAGAGCGTTTTATTCAGGAATAGTAGACTTTGCATTGTCAAGGGGGCGACTTCCGGATGAGGTTTTGATTTGGATTTTTCACTCTGGTATGCTTCACCTAGGACTTGATATTATGTCTCCTCGCTGATAATTCAAAGTGCCATCGGAACCCCGCGATGAGCTGAGGTATGCTTATTGTAGAGCCATCAAGGTAATCCCCTGCCAGAATTACCAATTGAACTTTTGGAGTTGACTAATTTTTTCTGGCGTCAGCATGCTGGGCCCGGACGTGTTGAATCACTCATTGGACCCGAAGATATTGAGCAGGCTTTCTTGGGACTTGGGGGCAGCCCGACAGCGGTCCATCTAAGTGAGCCCATACAACCAAAAATCTCGGGTAGTCCTGGTAAACACCATATTCAAATGTGTTGTTATGCACTGGGCTGATATAAAGCAGCGAACCTGTCTCGTAATTGGAATTGCCTTTTATCGCTCCTTGACGTGCTCGCAAACATCGCCGGCCAGTATGCTGTCCACCTATATCATATGAAAGAAGGGGGGGAAATAAAAACATACTGATTTATTGCTTTCAGTCTACGAGTTGACACCAAGGAATACACGCTGCATATCTTATTTAGGTTGGCTTTGGACACGGCTGTCTCATATAGCAACCTGGTTATCGCAACTTTAGAGTCCACAATAAATTCTCTGCTGCAAAGCATACCACAAGAAAAGTTTGAACAGATTGTGAGTATTCTCCACTTGAAAGCGACCACTTACATAACTAATTGGCGTTAGATGCAACCATTAAGCAGGTCTGTCTTCAAGGCTGTCAATGACACAGTATTTCAGAGTCGGTTACTGGGACATATTCTGCCCACAGTTCCCGAGATTGCACTCTTTCGATGCCGGTTAGCAATGGCTTTTTTGTCTAACGACGAATCTCAAGTTGGGAAACCTAGCGAAGAAATACTCAGCTTGAGACGAGTAATCGCTCGTCTAAAAGCCAGACGCTTGGATATCAAGCTTCATAAGAGTAAACTGGCGAGTGATTACGACTATAACGAACTCAAAGCCATCACCTCTCTTTTACATATCGTCATTGACACTGGTCGGGCGACACTCGAGTTTCCGGATAAGGAAAGCGAACGTCAGTTTAATGCAGATGTCGATGCGCTTGCAGAACAAGTGAAACGAATATTTAGCGCTATCGAGGATTCTGGAGCATCCCATTTGAAAAGAACGGAGGCTAAGCAAGGTCTTGAAGCTCTCCGTTATCGCATCATATACTCTGTTCGTTCAAGGCAACGAATAAAGTCACTTTTTGGGCACGATAACGGCAACGAAGGCTCGCCCGCAATGATGAAAACCTGGTTTAACAAAGGAAGGGAGCAAAAAAGGATCAAGACAGAGAGTCCGGGCGCTTGATGGTTCCCGTTTCTCTTTTCCATTTAGCGTTTACAGCGTCTCTATTCTTCATCCTACCACCGTTTACTTCATGATGACATGACTGCGATGACTAGGCATAGTGTGTACAAACAGTTTTTGTCTCGCTTCTATAGTTTTTTTTTTTTTTTTTTTTTTTTTTTCCCTTTTCTTCCCCATAGAAACGTCCGACACGCCAAGGTTGATCAGTATCTTAGATACCCATTCAGACATTTGCAGATAATTAATGCATATAAATATACACCGTTCTTCATACTAGATTTACCTAGAGAACAACCTAGGTACTAGCGCAGATTGTCTATGAACACAGAAAAAGTGTGGAATATGATTGAAATCACCTGAAGAAAAAAAAAAAAAAAAAAGTATAGCTTCAGAAGTATATAACGGGAAACAGCATCACATAGACACGGTTGAATCACACAATGAATAACGTTCGCAATAGACGACGAGAGCAGTAAAGGCAGCCAACCAGTTGAATTAGTTAGTCATAAAACTTGCGGTTTGCATTCTTCCCAAACAGAGTCTCCCGAACTGCGGGCAATGCATCGATTTCCAAGAGTCGGAGTCGTTCCTCAAAAGTGTTGTTGATATCAATCTTGCCACCACCTCCGATAATAGAAACACCACCTGCTCTGTACCGCGAGAGAAAGTGTCAGCAGAGGAAGATTTTCCCGGCACGTATAAAAAAAGAGTCAAGAACTTACGATCCCTCCGGCAATGGGTCTTCTTCGTCAATATCTATTGTTACATCCCGGCCAACTTTGGATTTGAATTCCGTTTGAGCATCTTCGATGGCTTTCTTAACAATGTCATTGTCCTTCTTGCGAGCTTGTACCGACACTTTGTCTTCGTTCAGATAGTAGAGGCCCTCCAAGATCAAGCCAGCGAGTATAGTCTGATACTTTCCCGCATCCTCGGTCGATGTAGCGACTTCATCGCGTGCACGCTGGAAGAGCTCATCCAGAAGCTCTTGACGGGCCGAAAGGACTCGAAGACGAGTGCGATTTGAAAGCGTGGATCGGGTAATCTGCTGGGACATAGCAGCCTGTTTGAACTTCTTCTCGTACAGAGTATCGATGGCAGCCGTCTCTTGGCGCACGAGTTTCGATTTCTCAATGGCAAACTCCTCGTCGGCTTTGATGTGGATTTCCTTGGACTTTTCGAGCGCTTCCTGTTTGATGAACGCTGTCATCTTGCGGAGCTCGCCCGCCACCTGTCCTCCGGAAGAACTGTCAGTCAGCAAATGCGTGCGACCTCCTCTACTTATCGTCCACTACACCACGTACCTGGTCGTCTGAAAGAGCATGGCGTTGTGACATCCTGGCCGTCTGTTCTGCAGTCTTCGGTCTTCGGATTCGCGAGAGGTGGGATATGGCCGACGTCGACTTTGGAGCAGCTTCCGAGTGCTGATTCCGCAGGCAGCGATGTGCGAGTCCTCTGTGTCTCGATAGGGAGGAGCTCTCAGGCTGTAACACTAGAAAGCGCAGCTCCTCTCTGAATTGCCAGGTAAGTGTGAGCGTGGAAGCAAGCTTGCCGTGGTTTGACTGCATGGAGCGGGAGCGGGTCCGCTGACGACGGGAGCGATCAACAAGAATGGCCAAGTGCGCTAAATATGACCTGAGGCTTCCGCAGGCATCAGCAGGCCGAGCTTAAGACATGATCGATTCACCTCCATAACTTACCATTATACCCTCCCTCTCTTCTCTCTTCAAAATCATCCACACCTGGCTGCCCGGCAGTTCGGTTCTCTATGCTTCAGTAGTACTTCTATCCTTCGTTGACTACGCGGCGACATGTCCTACGTCTGGCCTGCACATAGACACCTCCGCTAAGTGAGTGAGTGAGCAGCGAGCAATTGCATACCGTTCGGCATCGTCGATGCGATTTGCGCTTCGCAGATGGGTTTGCTGGGTGACTTATCGCCCGGAGGGAGTATTGCTGTGAGCCTCGCTTGACCTTTCTTCCCTCTGTCAGCGTCAGCTAACATTCGCTCATCCAGGTTGGCGTAATTGTCGGGGTAATTTCTACCAGTCTACAAGCGATCGGGCTCACCCTCCAACGGAAATCGCATCTACTCGAGGATGAAAAGGCGCCCTATGAGCTGCGGAGGCCTCCATACAAGCGAAGAAGATGGCAGGTATGCGCGACACTTTGTGGACTCTCTCTCTGGTTTCATGCTTTGCTGACATGCGGATAGCTAGGCATGTTGATGTTCGTCGTTGCGAATATTGTTGGGAGCACTATACAACTCACGACGCTACCGCTGCCGGTTCTCTCGACTCTCCAAGCTGTACGTTCATGCCCTGTCAGACTTCCCCTGGCCGTATTACATTCCTAACAAGCGTGCATCTCTAGTCGGGACTGGTATTTAATACGATCTCTGCGACGCTCATTCTTGGCGAAACGTTTACGAAAAACTCTTTTATTGGGACAGTGCTTGTGTGCATCGGGGCAGTGCTAATCGCTACTTTCGGTGCTGTCAATGAACCCGCGCATAGCCTCGATGAGCTCTTAGGGCTGCTTCATCAACGGCCTTTCGTTGTGTGGATGGTTATGACTGGGTTGGTAGTGGCTCTTGTCCTTGCCGGATCTCGCATCATCAAGTTGCTCTCGACTTCGGGCAATTCCAAGCTATTTCGCTCTATACATCTGTCCCGCTCGTTAATTTCTCCTTCCCAGGCAAAATTCTATCGAGGGTTGGCGTTCGCTTTTTGCAGTGGAGTCCTATCAGCTCACACGCTGTTGCTGGCCAAATCAGCGGTCGAGCTGCTCGTACGGACCATTGTCGACCAAGTGAATCAATTCAATCGATGGCAATCCTGGCTTATCCTGATAGGGATTGTTTTCCTTGCTTTAACACAACTGTACTATATGCATCTTAGTTTGAAGCTTTGTAGCACCAGCGTTCTTTACCCTTTTGTTTTTTGCGTCTACAATATTGTTGCGATTTTGGATGGGTTGATTTATTTCCGTCAGGCCTCCCAACTTGCTGGGCTACATGCCGGACTTATTGCTTTGGGTACCGTTGTCCTCTTGGGGGGTGTCCTGTTTCTCTCCTGGCGGTTGGAGGACAGTGACGGCCACCCGAGTATCGCCGTACCGAATGCATCGCAAACACCTCTGGGCCCTGGTATGGGGATTGTGGAGGAATACACTGACTCACCAGATGACGAAGAGATGCAAGTAGGCGAACGACAACCTCTTTTGCCCAAATCGTCGTCAAGACTTGAAACGTCCCATAAGCGGACGCCGAGCTTACCTTTGATTCCGACGCATCGATATCGTGCGCAGACAGTTGATGCTCGAGCATTCAACACTGAATCTGCGCAGATCTGGGCGGAACTCGATGACTCTGAAAACGAAGTAGATGGAAATCGGACATCGATGGATTCTAGCCCAAGCCAAAAAAGAATTACACAGTTGCCTCGCAGGCGAACATTTTCTCTCTTATCAGAGGATCGGGCCCAAAGATGGCCACTCTCTGGGAATGACGATATTCGCACATCTACGCCCATACCCAAGTCTCGAAATGTGTCTGTCGATTCTCCACCAGCGCTGTCTCGCTGGAGTCCACACTGGTTACGGTACCAGCGTGATAAGACTGGGCTATCAAGGCGTACCTCGGCCCCTGTGTCGATAGGCAGGAGGCTCGGACAAAATAAAGCACTAAAACCAGATTTCAACAAGATCAGCAGCAGCCCTCATAACAATAATGGCGTTCTTGTCCCCAGTTTCTCCCGACATTACGGAACAAACCACATAACAGAGGACAGGGGACCACACGCTCTTCACCATGATCAAGGCGCTATTGACACGGTGAATGATGATGATAATGACCACGATAACTACCCAAATTCAGATACTACTTCCCTCAGAGCCGGGTGGCAGCGAGGTTTGAGATTATTACAACGCTGGACGGGAATTTCGGGGTCTGAAAGGAGTCAAGACCACTTAGAGCATCCGCCCGTGTGAAGATGTTAAAGAAAAGAAGAAAAATAGATAGCTCTATAATGAATAATTAGCTAATGCCGACTTGCTGACTATGAACGATCATTTTCAGAAATCAAAAACCTTATACATGCCAATAGTAAAAATAAAAAAATTATCTCAATGATGTTCGTTGTATGTGCCTGGAGCCTCTTTTCCAGCCTGGAGAACGACATGCAGTCCAGTTCTGGCTGTTGAAGCCTTGGAGGGCTGCCGGGATCCTCTGACACGGACGAAAGGCGATTTTTCCTTGTTGAGTAATGTTTACCGCATTAGGGATGCCTACGAACCAACGAACCTACCTAACTAGGCAACAACAATATCCAGGCAGAATCGATGCATTCAATTGTAGATCATTCAAGCGCTCAGGGTGGTTTTCATTTTTTTAAATGATATGTCGCATATATATTTCAGTATAGTAATAGCTCGATTTTTGATCTTCACAATTAAGCATAATTGCACATGTAGATGAGAAATTTTCTGATACACGGGATTTCTAAGGAAAATCAGAATAACGGGAGACAATCAATCAAACGTGTCAAAAGTTGAGAAAAGCAACCAAATGAATACCCGTTTGTGAGAATACATCGAGATATAAGAAATAGAAAACATAGCAAGTCAGACTAGGAGAGAGAAAAGGAAAATCAAAGCCAGCGCACACAATATTGAGAGATGTTTAGTCAAAAGCAGAAAAGAAAAAAAAAGACAGCATGAACCTATTCAGTAGCAAAAGCACGGAAAATATCGCAGTCAATCCGAACGCATTAAAAAGAGCAGTAAGACCACACACTCCGAGAACACCTCATCCCCACGGATATTCAGGTATGAATTAACCGACCGGTTTTTTTCCCACACCTAAACATTGAACTTTCGCCAATTTAGTATCAAGAAGAATAAGATTTTTTCTTGCCGTATCCTTTTCGTCACTCTTCAAGCAGCCAGCGCAATTCTTGCCCGCTCCAATTTCTCTTTTTTTTATTTTTCTCTTTTCCCTTTCACTTCTTGTTTTGAAGACAGATGATGATGGTTGTGTACAAAAATAAAAGGTAATTTCTGGACCAGGGAGGTAGCACTTTGACCCAAAACTCAATCGCATGATGAAAAAGAATAAATGAGTTGATCATCCAGGTAATACACAGCCTAGTAAGAATCAACTCTATAGCATTTGCAGGGGTATCAGACAAGTAGAGGAGAGGGCGTTAGGATGGCAAATGGCGAAAGTAAAGGATGACGAGTATAACAAGCAAGTAACGAAAATAGGAAAAAAAAACACCATGGCCGCAAACACCTGCCACTCTGCTGCGATCAAATAACAAAAAAACTGCGAATAAGTCGTTTAAGCAGTGGACGGATGTTGTGGTGGCATTCTAGTTCCAACGGGCATTCCTGGGTACTGCCCGCCAGCTTGCGCTTGCTGTTGCTGGAGATTTTGATAGTAGGCCATCTGTTGCTGTTGTTCATGTGTCATATATCCAGGCTGGATACCACCTGCACGAGGCTGCTGTGCGTTGACGGTGCTATGAGAGACATCTTCTGGTGACTCAGCGGGAACGTCGGTGGCGTCGACACCATTTTCGGCAGAAGGTTCAGGCGCATTGAGGCAGGCCTACATGACAGTCAATCGCGTTGTCGGTATCCGAAGGAGTATTCAACTTACCTGAATGAGGTTTTTACCCTCTGGCTTGGTCACCAGGGGTTGTAGCTTGGGAGTAGTGAATGTGTAAACGAGACCAGTTTCGGAGACCACGAGCAGCAGTACTTGGGTACCAGTCAAGACGGACAATTCGTAAGCCTGAAAGGTCGCACAATCAGCACATTGAATCAGGTAACCAATTAACAGATTTTCTTTTTCTGAATGTAATTTATCTCTCTTTTTTTTTTTTTTTTTCCAATGAGAAGAAGGGACTTCACAGGACGGTGTGAGCTCTAAAGTTGCGGCTGGTGGTGCAGCGCAACGGGAACGCGACTGGACGTACCTTCTTCATGATACCGGCCTTACGCTTCGAAAAGGTGATGTGACGACGCGACTTGTCCTGGATAAATTTGATTTCGATCTTGCGACGCTCACGATTTGGCTTGTCATCATCGTCGTCGTCGTCGTCGCCAGCGGCGCTCATGCGTGATCGCTTGCGGTCGATACCAGCACCATTGCCGGCCTGCTGCAGTTCGTCCTGGGAGGGCGAGGCGTGCTCGTCGGAAACAATGTTGGCGGAGAGATCAGCCATGGTGACGGGGCGGAGAAGGGGATGCGAGTAATTTGAGACGAGTAAGATGGATCAGAAAGAGAAAGAAAGGGTTGACGGAGAGCTTGCTGAAGAATTGTAGATGAAGTACCCCAAAGAGGAATGATGCTTGGGTTGATGGAGAGACGGCCAAATCGAGTAACGCGTTTGGGAGAGGGAGTTTTTTGGGTAAGGTGTCGAAGGGAGAGGAAGGACCTTTTCGGGGGGAGAAAACGGGCAGGCAGTCGCTCCTTCCTGGGCGGCGCTGAGGAAACCGCCAGTGAGCGAGTAACGGCGCGCGGCTGGGAAAGGTGGGCCGCAGTGTGCGGCGGCTGCCAATCGCAGTGTGCCTTGGCAAAACATGTACCCCTCTGCTCCACGCCACGGCCAATCACACGGCGGCGTGTGCGGCAATGGCTCTGTCGGTGCCTGACGTGATTGGGCAGTCGTTGGTACTAGCGCCGCTATTGATTACCAAGCGGAGCGAGTCCCGCTGTCCTCGGCGGGTCGAGACCGCTGCACACGGCAGGCGGTAGCTGTAATTTACGGAAACCGCCCCATGATGGTGACGGCCAGCGATTCTTAGATGCAGTCGATGATCTCCCTCACATAAGTACAGAGTGGTTAGTAAGAAAATCATACATATATTCACTAACATCCACTAACCAGTCAAAGATCCCTTCTACGCATGCAGTCAGTTGGCTAACGTGCAGCTGATGTAATACCAATGGCTTAATTGTGGACGGACCCACTGCTGCGATAATTCTGAGTACCAAATTTGAAAATGGCAAGATCTGCCGGAAACAGCTAGCGTATGATTGCTAGTGACATAATGAGAAACTGCCTGCCGCTCATTCCCGTAAGATACCTGTCAGATACCTGTATTGATACCACTTCCTATGTAGCTCATCTCCGGTGAGCGTAATAACGATACCAACTAAAAGAGCGTAGCCTCCTGTCATGCTGACTGATCAATGAGTGCTTCGGTGTTACAGACTCTAAGCAGCCTCGCTGACGCCAGTAGTATAGACTGGGAATAGATATCATGGATGTGCAAACAATCTTCGAACTGAGAGGAGTTCATATGTAGAACGATCTATATTCCAAGTCAGCATCAGCCGATACATACGCAGGTCTCAAGGAGGACTCGTATACCAGCTATTCCACTCGATATATATATATTCTCCGTGTATATATATACCTACCCGCATATCATCGGGGATGTGTTAAGATATGGTCTGGCGGTTTGATATCCTCTTGGCAATGATTTTGAGGCGTTTGCAGACAGACGCCTCCTTGCAATAGAAAACGAATGGAGAAACTAAAAGAGACTCACTATAGGCCCGCCATCTGACTGTAAGATCAGATGCCTTCATGATGTTGTAAGTAGCAGTGGCAAGAACTGAACTTCTCCTCTTGTATTCTGAGGCTTGTCCGCACGCAAGACAGGACTGTAATGAAACTCGCGGACGGGGGTAGGGGGGTCGTCTTGTTCACTAAAGGGTGGTCGGTTAGACCATGAATTCAATAAGCGACGAATTTAGGCATATGATTCATGTTCTGGAATACTTGGCAAACCTCTCTCCATCTTAAAAGTAACAGGAGCATCTAATACAGCGCTATTGATTTGCTTGGTCAGGCAAGTAAGTCTTCAATTCTTCCTTGCGAGTTCACAGCTTTTAGTCTGTTTCTCATATGCAGCAAGCGCTTTGCGTGAGGATTTCTTGCGCATATAGGCATAAACTAAGGCGCTAAGTTTTTCCGTTAGCCAACTCTTCAACAATAATAATAATAATAATATCATCGGTGCCAATAGAATGCAGCTGGCAAAGATCAAGCCGCCAGGTGCTCTAGAACCGAAAGTCATACAACCTTTTTCACGCTTTGAGTTAGTCCGTGGGTCCCGGCAATGCTTCTGTGCACCATGCTAACTTGAAGCAGAAAAGTCTATCCTCTCCCGGCATTCAAGGTGCTTCACGTCGAGTTCAACGAAAAGTTCCAAAGCTATGTGGGCGTGATCGGGATGTGGATCAATGTTGGTTGTTGACCTGGTGTATTTGGGTACGGCATTGATTGACGATGTCAACAGCGAATATGCGTTATTTAGAACTGCTTCCTCTTCGCGACCATGTTCCAGATTGTGAACGTTGGTCAAATGAAAATAACGAACTTCTATCTTCAGCACGCAATAGCATCATCTCCACCTGAGAATGCTCCGATTCGCTGCCCCGCACGTATTTGACCCACAGATCCCCGTAGAGCACGTGACATTCAACTGTCAAAATTGCACAAGAAAATGACTCAAGCATTGAGCATCCAAACTGGGAGAACATATCTACGACATGCCCTCCAGATCAGATATCACCTATTTCGGTGCAGGACCGTCTGGTCTTCCTCACGAGGTAATCGAGGATGCTGCCCAGGCTCTTGTCAACTTTAACAACACTGGTCTAGGCATTGCCGAGCATTCGCACCGCTCGAATATAGCTACAACTATTCTCAATGAAGCGAAAGCTGATCTAGCCTCCTATCTTGATATTCCTGATGACTATGAGATTCTTTTTATGCAGGGCGGCGGCTCGGGTGAGTTCTCCGCTTTGGCTTATAACTTTGTCGGCGCTTGGGTTGCGCGCAAACAAAGGGAAATTGGATTTGATGGGCTCAATTCGGCCGTGAAGACGGATCTGAAGCTGGACTACATCATCACTGGCAGTTGGTCACAGAAGGCAGCGGCTGAAGCTGAGCGACTATTTGGGGAGGAGCATGTCAATATTGTGGCCGATGGCCGCAAGATGAATGACGGCAAATTTGGAAGCATTCCGGAGGAGAGTACATGGAAGCTCTCCAAGGGTGCTGCCATGGTCTATTACTGTGACAATGAGACGGTTGATGGCGTCGAGTTCCCCGGCTTTCCCAAGTCTCTCGAACCGGGGCTTGAAGGTGATGATGGTCCAATTGTCGTTGCTGACATGAGCTCCAACATTCTTTCACGGAAGATCCCCATAAAGAACTTCTCGGCTATTTTCTTTGGCGCCCAGAAGAATCTAGGAGTAACGGGTATCACTGTTGTGGTTATTAAGAAGAGCTTCCTACCACCTGCGACATCTCAACCTTCTGCGACTCTAATGAGACAACTGGGTCTACCTATTCCACCTCGTGTCTTCGAATATGAGACTGTTGCTAAGAATAATAGCCTCTATAACACGCTAAGCATTTTTGAGTAAGTACACTTTTCCTACCTAGCCAATCAAGTATTGAACTAATCAAGTTCTCAGTGTGTATGTCGCGGGTCGGGTTCTGAAAGGACTGCTGCTACAGCATCCTGATAAAGTTGAAGGACAGCAAGCCATATCCCAACAGAAAGCTCAACTTATCTACAAAGCTCTTGAAGCGCATCCCGATGTTTACAAGATTGTTCCTGATAAAACAGTGCGGTCACGTATGAATATCTGCTTCAGGATTGAGGGCGGCGATTCGGTTGAGAAAACCTTTGTGGAGGAGGGTGCTGCCCTGGGACTAACTGGGCTGAAAGGCCACCGAAGCGTGGGAGGAATCAGGGCAAGCAATTACAACGCAGTTCCTCTTGAGGGTGCAGAGAAGCTTGCCGAGTTCATCGGCGCTTTTGCGTCGCATCGGGAAACACCTAGAAAAGAATGAATATCTTCACTATGAATCCGATACGGCGTCTGCTCTGGCCAGTCGCACAGGTTTTCCGGCATGTGTAGAGCTGCCGCTTTTTTAGCTACTGATTGTTATTTTGAAAATATGTGCATAGTTGTACATTTTGATCAATGATGCAGATTACAGTCTTATTAATCAAGCATGAACTTCATGTCCCGAGAGTCGTAGCATGATGGCTATCCTTTAGTCCTGGGCTTTTTTGCTATATCTCTTTATAGATAGCCTCTCTCATGCAGCAATATTGATAGTCGGTACAACCTATTCATACATACCATCCTTGCAGTCTTAAAGTATATAATGTAGTCGAAAGTTGTAGTTTCCAGTCTAGTATCTCTGCCGAGCCATCTATATATATATATCACACGTTGAAATTAGTGCATCCACCTCAAAAGCAATAAGGTATAGACTATCATTGAGAACAACAGTGGAAGGCAGAGCGTAAGCTTATTTCTTTCTCACGTGCCGGCCCTCCTGCCCTCAAACTCTACTCCTACCTCACTTCTTCACTTCACTACACTTCGCTACACAGCCCCCAGCCAGAGTCATCACTGTCAGGGCAACCTCCAAGGTTGTACCGAGCCCAAGTCAAAGATCCCAAGACTATCGTATCACCCTGAAGCAAGGGCAAGTAAAAAAAAAAAAAAGCTTCATCTGAAACTCGGGCGCGGGCAGTCAATTCATACGCTCAAAACATCGACTTTGTTCGATCCCTTCTCTATACATAGGCAGCTGCCGGCAAGATCGAGCAAATCCATACTGGTGAACACTGATGGAAAGATATTGATGTCCCCATTCTACATATATTAACTTCCCTGGTGGTAGCTCTATCGTCTTGTAACGGTGTTGTCTACGCGGGTGGGACAACTAACCTGAGACGTTTCACGTTGTGCCTTTCTGCTTCACCTACCGTCAGCGGAGAACATATGTCGTGACAGACGACTTCAACTAATATTGAGCGAGTCTGTCCGAGATTGCGGATTTAATTCAAAGGATGCCATGATCCTCAAGCATTGGATTTAGAAAATATATTCTTTCACCCTCAACCTTTTCAACCCTCTCTGTTGCACACAATTGAGCGCTGCTGTTCTCCGATTAAATCTCTTCACTGACAGAACTAGTCTTCTGCTTTATATTCAGCATTTGCCCGATTATCAACCTCAGTGCGCCAGCATACAGGAAGATCTTCAGAAAACTATTACAACCCTTCGTTCGACATATATAAATATATCCACGCTTGCTCGCGACAGGTCAACGGACACTCTTGTTGCAATTGATTTATCATCCATTATCAAGCATGAAAGTGGACAAGGTATTTCTAACCTACATCGGTGCAAACTTCCTCTTTGCGGGCGGCGGTGTCCTGCTGTTGGTGGGATCCATACTATTCAGCCACATGGTGAATTCGACTCCGACGCTAGAAAGCGCACCAGAGATTCTTCTCCTTCAAATGGTACCCTTTAGGGGTGAGTCCAAAATGGCCTAAAGAAAGAAGGCGTGAGCAGAGGAAAAAGGTCATTCTGCTAACACTGTGTTTTGCTATACAGTCGGACTGGTTAATGCTATAATTGTCTTTGCTACTTTAGCTCTTGCTATTCCCAGTATGATCATGCGCGACAGTCGGTTGTGGCTAAAGCTGCAGGGGTGGATGGTTATTGTATGTGGTATATTCACCCTGGTTGTTGGGTTGATCATCTGGATTGAAACCCTACGAACTCGCTCCGAATTGAATACGGTCTGGGGCCAACAAGCAACAAAAGTGCAAAGTTTGTTACAACAAAGAGTACGATCCTCTGCCCTTTTGTAAATACCGCACTTCTTTTGTGCTTAGAGAAAACAATTTGACAATGACTAATCGACATGCATAGTTCGACTGCTGTGGTTATTACAACAGTTCTTCTCCAGCCTTCGTTACCGATGCGACTTGCAGCACGGCTTTAATCGCATCAGAAACGGAAGGGTGCGTCGGCCCATTCTCGAATTTTGTGAATATGACTTTAGATACGATTTTCACTGCTGTCTTTGGTATTGTTGGTATGTGGCCATTTTCCCTTCAGTACGTAGCAGGTCTACGAAACAACTAACTCTTCAAATCACTGAAATCACCAGCGATCGATATGATTCTTCTCATTTGTGTGGCTGTCGTGTTGAAGGATCGCAAGGAAAAAGAACGATATCATTTGATTGACGCCAAGATGGGGCTAAGAGCCTTCTAAACCGGGTTCTTGGTGTGTTGATGTTGTGGATATGACTAGTGACTACTCAAGGCTGGATACTTGAGTTTCAAAACATATCTTAACAGGCAAATTCTGTTGTAGTTCATTATTCATATTTCTCTGGAAGCATTGCAAACGGACAATACGAGTTGGTCATAGGACTGCCGGATATAATTTGGTTCCTTTCTACTTTAAACAAAATAAACCAGTGGATACAAGCAGGTATCTATATACCCAGCTATCCTATTCATCAAGCCGTTAAGCCATGAACCATTGAGCCAGTCATTTCTATATGAATTCGCGGGTATAAGAATAAACGAATTAAAAGGTCGAAGAAATAACACCAAAAGTCAAACAAGACAAGAAGAAATGGGAAGAAGAAGAATCATCATCGTGTAGACCCAAAACCCATTCCCACATCATTTCCACTCCAGCCATGAACCCCAGGTCCCAGCTGAGGGAAATAGGGATTATGGTTATGATTATTGTTATTGTTGTTGTTGCTGCTGCTGCTGTTATTAGCAGCAGAAAATGGGTTTCCGATACCATCAACATTCGGATCTATAGACATAAATGCCTCGAGATCCATAGTTGAAAAATCAAAATCCTTCCAGTTCGTAACATCCGCCTGTGTGAAGTCGACTATTTCGTTTTCGAGGTTGCTATTGCTATTGGGGTTGGTGGCGTCCGAGTTGCTCATAGGCGTTGCGTTGAGGTTTTGTCCGAGCGAGCTGAAGAAAGCTGATGGATTGCTGTTGAAATCGATTGGCGAACCGTACAATTGGTTAAATGACGGTTGCTGCTGTTGAGTGTCGTGAGAGGTATTCTTAATATTAGTGGCTGATGGCCTCGAAAGATTCGTCGGTTCGCCACTGATTTTGGTCTTTGATATCGAATTTTCGGCTCCCATCAAGCCATAACCGTACCCGCTCGAGCCGCCGATGCCATCGAAATCCTGTCGGTTATCACTATCCCTTGCTTCTTTGGTATAGAGGTTACTTTCAAGATGGCTATTGTCTCCAGAGAGCAGATCAGGACCCATAGCGACCGACAATTCTGGAAACACCGCTATGAGCATTTGCCGAATAGCACGCATTGTCATGGAAATTTGCCCCTGGTACTGGTCGTTCCGCAGCATACTGGCCAGACACCTTAAACCAGATCGTACCCACGGAAGATGATTTGCGGCGTCTTGCGGCGTCGCATTCATCATGTCGAAGGCAAGAGTGAAGCAGGCACTTTCAAGAAAGAAGCCATGGTAGTTTATTTCCTACATGCAGCCATGACCGGACGGATGCGTTAGAAGAAACAAGAAACGAAGAACAGAAAAGAAGACGAGCAGGTACTTACGCGGACTTGATTGTTGATTTCACAGGCTTCCGAGAGATTGCGAATTATGCATCGCGCAGCCTCTAAGCAGCATTCACACGCTTCGTCGAGCCACGAAGGCGTAGTGCTTTTTAGCCCGGTGCTAAGAGTGGCTTCATCTGATTTCATGATATTGTCTCGTCGCCATCTTGCTCTGAAGACGAGAAAAGGTCGAAACGTGAGAAGCATCAGATTGTGATATACTACTTCCGTAATCAGCTTATTGATCGTTTTTTTCAGAGCCAAACGAATAATTAAAAAGGGGAATAGGGATATTCCTACATAACAAAAGTATTATCTGGCAAACACCAACTTCTCCAGGCTTTGGAGAGGCGTCAAAACCAAAATTCAACACGCCACGCACGCGCCGTGCGAAGGACTGGAGATCTTTGCGGATTTCTCTTGCATTCTTCCACACAAGAAGCAGAGACTCGTGGTTTTTGCCGTACATACTCCGCGCTGATCGAGCCATGATGCGCGCCAATTCCACAATAGCAAGTAACATCGGCTGTTCTCGGGGGTCTGGGATGGTGATTTCGTGGGCCGGTATGGTAATTGGACGGCCAAGGCCGAAGCATAACCAGCTGAAACAGGCTATGAGAACATTTTTCACGCCACACAGAGAAGAGAGCGTAGATTTAACTCACGTTTCGTAGAAAAAGAGACTCCAGAAGGTGATTCTCTTCTCCTCAGCATCTTCTGTTGCCTGCTCCAGTTGAAACCGCGTATTTTTGTGCAGTCCAGCCGCTATAGCCTTTCGGACTGCGGTCCCAAGACATAGAAAAGCAGAGTTGGGCCTGGCTTTCTCGGATTGGTAATGGGCGTATATCTAACAAGTCAGTTTTGGGAATTAATCTCAAGAAAGAAAAAGAAAGAAAGAAAGAAGGCACTTATCATCAAAAGGGGAACTTGGATGGCTTGCAAATTCACGAGTTCATCAAACCCTACTGCATTTGCTTTGGCTTTCCTGAATAGGAATTCCCCTCGCTCGATATCCCCTACCATGGCAGCGCCGCAAGCTAGGATGAGAAGAATAATCGTCGCTTCTGGAGAGTTTAGATGCATATCATCTTGACCATTCTGATACAACGCGTTCACCTTTTGTCGGTAACGTTCCTTAGGCTGCCAAGGCATGAGGTAGTAGATGGTCGACAAGTACCGCTCTAGATACTTAGAAGCCGTAGACGGATGTAGGAAGAATAGGGAAGAGGATCCCGTCATCTCAGACAATGACATATCCTGATTCCCAGCCAGGTCACCGAAAAACAGACGACGATGACTGAATAAATCCAAGCCGGCTCCGACTTCTTCGACTTCATCTCTGCGGGACAAGGATGGATCGCTGTGTCCGTCACCAAGCCCTTCGACCAACTGTCGGTACATCAACTGCATAAGGGAGAAATTGGATGTCGGCCCATAGTACAGCTGAATGATACACGACGGCGAGGCGACATGTGTTGCAGCCACGCTGTAGTCCATGAGCCCATTTTTGCTGCTGCCGCTGCTCCTTTTATTGCCTGTGGCGGCGGTAGCTCCGTCACTGAGCCCTGAATTCAGGCCTGGATCCTTACGATGCACGGGGAGAGTTGTGCCATAGCGCGCAGAAGACGACTCAGCACCAGGGCCACCTCTCTCATCTTCGGTGTTAGCCGCTGCGTCTTCATGTTTGGATACCAATTCATGCTTCCGTTTGCGCTGTCGCACAAACCCACGATACTCGCATTCTGAGTTTCGCTGCTTGCAGTGCTGGCAGGGCTCGCCCCCATCGCAGCGAATTTTCCTGCGGCGACATTCCTGGCAAGCCTTGGATATTCTCCATTTGGGGGCTGCCTCGGCTGAAAGGTCGTCAGCCATATCTATGAGTCCTTTTTCTTTTTCTTTTGGCTTGCTTTGTTTCTTTTGATTCCTCTGTTCATTAGTTCAATAATGCTCTTCTGGAATGGCTGAATCAATTGAGCTCCAAGCGGCTGTTGGGATAATGACCGGGAAGCTCCCCTCAACGTCGGCAAGAAAAGAAGTCGTTGTTACTGAACTCCATGCTGGGTAGTTTCGAGTAGTAAATTCTATAATCCCTTCTTCTCCCTTTCTTTTGGTGGCAATCCTATACACCTCACGATTAGCACTTAGCAATTCCTCCTTTTCGGTCTCTTGACCAACTTCTTGATGACTAAATGCTGACTCAGAACGGAACGTAAAACTTGGCTAGTTCACGAAGTCACGTGAAAGAGATGTTCACTGTTGTATGCGCGTATCTATATCTATTGGGAATCAACATGGCATCTAAGTATAACAAGAAAGAGAGCAAACAAGTATGACAGCGAAGTAAGGGAAGGAGCGACAGCATATAGACAATCATTATCACTCAGTGATATAATGTGTCGCTGCACCAATACAAAAGGTGGCCATCCTTGTCTGCCTCAGGACAAGAAAGACTCCTCCAAAGTCCAAATAATCAGGTCCGAATCCTCCAGGCTTTCTTCATAACTGGTCTCAACAAAACTATTTATACATATGATCTCAATGCTTGGTCATCACAGGAGATAAAGAAAAAAAAATAAGAAGGAAAAACGAAATAGACCAAAAATAATACACCGCTTTATGGAGTATATAGCAAGACTCTCGCGACCCAAAATTACCAATTGTCCATAACAAACTTTGGAAGGGTTCGGAAGGGCTATAAAAATAAGACGAGAAAGATAAGAGAAAGAAGATGATGATGAAGAAGAAGAAGAAGAAGAAGAAGAAAAGCGTGCCCCTTCAGCATTTTTCCGACGAGGAAATTGAAATGGGAGAAAAGAGATAGAAAATATCATCACGATTGTCAGGTCTCAGTATCGCGCCGTTGATTCAAGAGTGCAAGCCGACAAGTTGTGTAACGCCATGAAAATGAGGACGACAATAAGTAATAGGACAATAAAGAAGAGGTAAGAGTAAGATCACACGTTGAGGAGGTCTATTCATACGCCGCCGAGGAGCCTGGTGGGTGGAGAATAGGTAGGTAGATAGACAGATAAATAGGTACCGAGTGGGCAGGCAAGTAGGCCAGCAAAAGGGCGGAGAAGCTTCACTCAACTAAATAATGTGCAAGAATAGTATATCCGGAAAAATGTTCAGTGTCGTATATTTAGTGATTGTTTCGTGAGTCCCCAGTACCAGCGCCGCCGTTGATCTCAGAACCGAGCCAGACCACTTCAATCATGCTGTGACTCGTCTCCTCTTCTCTCGTATAAATCTGGTGAACATTATTTCCAATGATGGTAGCATCTTTCAACAAATAACGTTCCTTGACCACACCTTCCTGGTCCCTTGACCGCATGGGACCAAAGCGCTGTGTGAACCCATTCATATCTTCTTCCCAAGTCTTCTCGGTATGATCAAAGTTGATAGCATCATTGTTGGTGCCCGGCAGGAGCGTGTACCTGACAATCGAGTAGCCGTTCGTAAGCACCCAAAAGGTCCGGTAGGATTCACCAGTAACCTCATCGATAAACTCCTGTTGGTCGAAAACCCAGCGGCGTAGAAGCGACCTTTTCCCGGCAGCAGCAGACACGGCGGCCATCTTGACGACATCCTTTGTATACCAGCTGCTCCAATGGTGAAGGGAGTCGATGGGTAGACCGGACTCGAAAATACCATCAGGTGCTCCAGTCAAGTCCATTTGATGTAGCGAGGGCCAAAGCGTGAGAGGAGTATTGCTGAAGCGTTCGACACACTGACCTAGCTTTTGGTCACCTGGTTGTTCGCCCCAAGACTGACATTCGTCGTAATTCTCCATGAGTATGTCCAACAGCGGCTTCGAAATGAATACACCGGCGCCACCAAAGGCCATATGGCCCCAAGTATCTACCTGCCAGCTAGCTTCAGACAGAGAGCCAATATAGTGTTTCTTCGACGGATCGGCTTGCTTCAGCTGAACTGCAACTGTGGGGAGCGAGGGGAAGAAGGTGTCATCGTCAATGAAGGCTACCCATTCGGTGTGAGGTCGCTTCGTTTTGATATGATAGGAAAATGCTTCGACCAGTCCGAAATAACGAGCGGTGAATTCCAGTGGGGAAGACTCGAGGGTGATGTCCAGTCCGCGGGAGCGGAAATATGCTTCTTGGGATGAGAGGTCGTCGTCCGATTCCGGCACCAGGACGAGAAGACTGGCCTTGGAGCCAGCGAAGGAGTACAGCAAAGACGGCAGCAGACGATCCAGGCGGTCGACAGTAGTGGCAAGGCCAAACAGCAGCTTCGAAGTTTCCTCGACATCATGATCGGCGGCGACTTTGACATTGGCAACGGTTGGGCAGGGGATAGTTTGGTCTTCGTTCTCTGGCGAGAGGACCAGGCCGCGCTCCAGCGCGCGGAAAGGAGGTAGGACGGGGGTGTCGATGTCCTCTAGGGAGCGGAATTGGGTTTGAGCGCCAACACGAGTCGGGCGGATGAAGGCGCGGGTGAAGTTCTTGCGGGTGAGCCATTCGCTGAACGGCAGGGGTGGCGCGGAGGCGGTATTGAACTCGCAGTTGCCGAAGGTGCCATGGCTTGGAGGCTGTGGAACTGAAGCCTGGGGGACTTTGTTTGTAATCGAGTTGGCAGTGTTCTGCAGATGTTCAATGGGGCGTTTGAGACCCGACAAGGCGGCGCGGTCGTATCTGTCGACGCACCAGAAGAAAAAGCCGATAGAGAGGATGGCGACGAGGGGAAAAAGCGTCTTCAGCCTGAAAAGAGGCATTTTGACCGGACCAGCAGTGTATGATGACTTCAGCGAAGTCATCAAGAGGCGCGGCGGGGGAGAATGGAAGGGAGAGGTTGTTGCGGGCAGAGGGCGAGGGAAGGAGGAGATGAGGTTCCCAGAGAAAAGCGTTGCTAAGAAAGGGCTGGCTGGTCTCTCTCCCGCTCAAGAAGAAAGTGGACCGACCCAATCACCCAACCCGGCGTTGCTCGAACAAAACACAGCGGAGTGAAGCCCGAATTTGCGTGCTGGACAGAGACGAGAGAAAGAGAGAGCGTGTAAGCGAGCGAAGGTTTTCTTTAGACTTTCGTTGGTTGCGCTTTTGCTAGTGCAACGTAAGCGGCAATGCCAGACGAGGAGGCCTCAGGCACTCGGCGGAGTCGTAGGTAGAACAGAACAAACAGAACAGCAGTCGCAGCACAAGGACGAGACAAGAAGACCACAGCGATTGAATGGCGTGCAGAAAAGGAGATATCGATTGAATAGGGGGGGGTGTGCGTAATCGACTTCTTAGCTTCTTAGCATGGACTGGTTGGAATTATTATTAAGGACGGCCCGTCGCCCAGATCGGCGGCCACCTCAGGCAGCGACTTGGTTACATACAGATCTGAGATTATTACTTCAAAGTTAATACGCTGGCGAGCTGCTCACAATACGCCATTGTCTGTCGCCATAATCCGAGTCATTATACTAATGCTAGCACGGGTTCCCCCATAATGTACATCGTCGACAAGTTGCACATGTCTGCCAGTGTATACTGTAGGGTCCACTGAGCGGCAGAGCGGTGGATAGATGATTGTCATTCGTACTAAAATGTATACTAAATTATTACTGTTGTAACTTGTAACTTGTTAGACACCGTAACGTCTGTACGGTAATTACCGCACGTGACACGCACTGAGACATGCGTTGCCTGAGGCTGCCATTGTCTTGTCCGCATGCAGCACGACTCTATGAAGATTCTACACACGCCACACGAGTGCATCCGGCGTTCTTATCAGAAACCTCGTGTCCAGATGCGTATCAAGTACATACATCCGCGAATCCTGTGCAATTTTACTTTGCCTCGAGTAAGACTTATTTATTCCTTTCCCCCTTCGCTGTAGATCAATCGACAAATGTATTTGCATCTCACGACTATCATTGTAGAAACAAGTAACTAACTACGTAGTACTCCATAGTAATCAAAGAAAAAAAAAATAAAAATAAACTCCCTGCTACCAAAGGGCCGAAGCTGGCAAAAATGTCTGTGCGAAGTCGGACGTCGTTCTAATTTCGGCCACATGCATGTAGTATATCAATAGGTACCGACAGATACATTGTACATCATGCACTGCCTATGGTCCCACGAATGTTGGATGAATTGATAGTAGATGTCAATGTCATCGGTTGAGAATTCTGCGGGTTGAGTAAGGAGAGCTGATACTGTTAATACTTACATCCTATAGATGTCATGGGTTATAGCTATCCCGGTCGTATTCAAAATTTATTTATTCCTGAAACCGATTATCATCTATAATTTAAACGAATACGTCTCAGATGCATGATTGGCCTTGTTGCCATATACCCCGGCTCAGAGGTATGTACAAAATGCTATCCATATCCTCGATCAGTCGTCATCGTATGCCTCTCTATCCTCAAAATTCATAAACATGTCATCGTGTGCTTCTTCACCCAGAATAGCTTTCCAGCCCTCCCTCACACCTTCTACAATACGATCGTCAAAGGCGAGGTCAAGACTAGACGGCGAGAAAAATAAAATATCGTCAGACTTCGTACTTTTACAGATACCAGTAGGGCTACCCGAGGTTTCTAGAACCCCGACTTGAGTAAAGCGCAAGGACCACAAAACAGTCGGCTTGTCGTTCGCATTCGTGAGCGATGCAAGCAGATACTCGATTGCTATTTCTAGAATATGCTGGCCTTCCTTACCAGGTATTGAGACGTTGCCATAGATGACGCCTAAGAAAAATCCCACCGTTGTTAGCAAGGTAAAACTTCAATTGCCAAAGCAAGATGAGAGCAAGAAGAGAGAATAGAGAAAAAAAAGCTCTTGATCAGGTTGTTGATAAAAGTTGCGTCAATGTCGTTCAGACAATGTAGATAAGTTTTAAAATATGATCATCATACAAGAGCTTGAATAGTATTTCTCAATTGGTGAAAGTAACATGAGACTGTTGTCAACTTACATTGTCCATCTGGGCATTCTCCCGTCTCACTAGAGTGAACTAGTAAGTATATTGGTGCAACATCTGCGGTAACACTAGAAAGAGTCTCGCTAGGAACGAGTACTACCGCTCCTGCAGGGACTGGTCCCCCTTCCGCAGTTACGGGGAAGAGGCTTTGTAGGGGCGAAGAGATGAGAGATATCGAGCGGGAGACCTTGTCCGTTGCTATTGGAGGATGGCCTGCTTCAGCTGGCAAATCCCAAAGAGACCCAACAACATATTTGCTGCGTATTCGTTCTCCGCTTGACAATGTCAAGAGATAGCAGCTCTCATCTTCGGCTTTAGACGTGTCGATAGACTGTACACCTTGCCCTAAAACGTAGACGCCGCCGCCTACAGCCAGGGCACGGCAGCCCACTTGGACGATTTCTGCACCACCACCCCACTTAGCGAGTAAGCTTGCAAAGCCAGGCCCAAACACGCCCAACGAGCCTAGATGTCGTCGAATACGAGGCAATGCAACATTTGCACGTGTTTGATGCGGAGCCTGTTGACACAAGGATAGCGAGTGTATAGCGTCGTGAAGTTCTGGCGGGGCATTAAATTTTGCATTCAAATACTCTGAAAGAGGCATGTCTGAATCATCTTCTTCCACGGTGTGCGGCTGCTCAAGGTCCTCACCGGTCTGCTGCGGCTGGTTGATGGTTCGGAGAAAACGGATCAACATCCTCTTTGCCTTCATACTGATCTTGTCATCGGCGAAAATATCTTCACGACTGCTCGGCACTCGTCGAAGTTGATCGTTCGCTGGACTGCCATCTTCAGCAGCAGCTGGCGAGTTTCCGTAGATCCACCAACTGCCGATGGCTTGAAACTCGAGCTGCCTGTAAACTTTGGAAGACACAAGTGTGGGTAGCAACTTGGAGCGAGTATAGACAAGTTGTGGTGACAGAGAAAGTGAGTAAGCTCTGGAAGAGGACAACTTCTTTCCTCCGTCTGCTGCATCTGCAGGAGAGTAGATGGAGACATCTTCAAATGGCTCTCGTCCAGGCTCTGTTACGAATCACTAGTTAGAACCAATCTCAACAGAATATCGGGAGAACCTCGGCGTACGGACCTTTCTGTAACGAGTCTACCCATTCCTGTGCTTCCTGGATGCTGAACGCAGCCGCAGGACCGCCATAGTATGAGTTCTTGTCCACGTGAAGAACTTTCTTACCTGACCGGGATAGAGCTCTAAGATCGACTTTAGTGAAAAAATCGAATTGAACTCAGAGGTCCAAGCTCACAATGCCAAAAGCGACTGCGCAAGCCCCGTCCCGGATATGGTCACGTCCCATTGGGTATCTGCTAAGGATTCCATGTCTCAGGATTGGCCCGACAGCAGATTATAAATTGGAATAGTATGTTGCATAGAGAACATCCCAGCTCCTTAGTAGTATTTCATTGCAGAATGTACGTCCGCCCGAGGAAAAGAGAATTCCACTTGCGGAGCGATAGCTTGAATGAATCAAGAAGGAAAAAAAAAGGAGCCCGCAACTTCCGTCATGTGCGAGGCTAACAGAGCACGTGATTTGGTCTGTCGGTAACACGCCGGTTATTTCATTACGTGTATAATCTACCAGATTGACTGGGCACATAGAACAAGGCGCTCATATTCAATTTACAGTGTATCGAAAATACAGCTAGTACAAGGAAAGTTAGCTTGCCAATTTGTGCACTTTTTTAAAGCTTTTCTTCCCGCGAGAAAAATGCGTCTTCTTCTAGCACACCACTCTTGCGCTCTGCGCAGACACACTGCAATTGATACTCTGTAGCAGCACGTCTATTCTCGGTATGCCTTCACTGGTGTATCTTAAGAGTGGCAGACATAATCTATCACCCTGTATCTGCTGCCCTGGATTTACAAAATGATAGGAACAGTTCGTTTGTGGTGATACATGACTGCACGATGTAGCTATACATTCTTTCGCCCTATACCTGCGTACATATATTCCTGCACATTATCTATCCCGAGCGATGCTCTCAGGATGACAACAAATCAAATGAAAGCGCGCGCTTGGTAGTCCACCTGGAGACGTTTCCAAGTCCCCCGTCGAAGCGGGTGGGCATCGTTCTCTGAGACGTGTTCAGTATGTGTATAATACTGGGAGATCTGGCCTTGCTCAGAATATCACTTGCCGCAACAAATGAATCTGTCAGAAACTTGTTCCCGCAGCCGTCTTCTTTCTGTCCTTCTGTCTCCTCGCCTGTGTGGCCGATTCAATCCTCGCCGCCTTCCTCGACTAAGTATGCCCTGATAATTTTGACTGTATCCTGAGGCCGGTCTTCGGCATCTGTTTTGACTAGTCCCATGCGCTGAATGACTCTCATTCCACTTCTGACCCGTCCGAATATTGTATGCTTTCCATCTAGCCAAGGCGTGGGAGCCAAAGTGATGAAAAATTGGCTTCCGTTTGTGTTCGGTCCGCTGTTGGCCATACTCAGGATTCCGGCTCCAGTGTGCTTCAACGAGGTGTTTATTTCGTCCTCAAACTTCTCGCCGTAGATTGAACTGCCCCCTCGTCCGGTACCCGTGGGATCGCCTCCTTGGATCATAAAATTCGGAATGATGCGGTGGAATATGACGCCATCATAGTACTTCCTCTGAGCCAGAGCCGCAAAGTTCTTGCAGGTCTGTGGAAGAAGCAAAATCTTTAGCATACGTTCGCGGGCAAGCAGTATTTTGTCAGGCAAACCTTGGGAGCATGATCATTGTAGAGTTCTACCACGAAAGAACCCTGCTATGCGTTAGTCACAGTTCCGAATCGAAATGAATCATACGAACCATGGTCGTGTCGATTGCAACTGCGGTAGCCATTGCTGCGTTTAGCTGGTGAGATATGATAGCGTGGTGTATAATGCGATGAATGAATGCGTGTATGGTTGGTTGTTGACCGCAGCGGAAGTTGGTGCTTTCCTTGCGGGCGGGACAATTTCTCAGAGCTCCGCAAACCGTAAACTTGGCACCAACTGCCATACTGCCAACGACATTTGACTTCAATAAAAGGACATTCTGGAATATCTTTCTCACCGCGCGTGTTATGCGCGACTGCTTATCAGCTGCCATGGCCGACACCAATTCCCTGCTTAGTCTGCTCGAGCCGATTCTGGAACAATTCCAGGCCATGCGGCCTCTTCTGCCTACCTATGCTCACCTCATAGTATCCGCAATCGTACCCATATACACTGGAGCCCACGCTTCGTTATCCCGTCCATCATCAGCAGCAAAGGCGAAAAAAAGATCTAAAGCTGAATCAGACGCAGAGGACGACGACGAAGAAGAAGAAGAATCAAAGGATAAAGGGCATAAGATGGAAGGATTGGAGCCCTCTGATGCGCTCATGTTCCCATTGATGGCAGGATTGACGTTAGGCGGCCTTTACATGATCATAAAATGGCTGAAGGATCCCCAAGTCCTTAACAAAATTCTGAGCTTTTACTTCTCTCAGATGGGCCTGTTCTTTGCCGCAGCTCTGTTCAGAGATGGGTTGAAAGTCATGCGTTCATTTTTCTTCCCATCAACATACAGTTCTGGCGGTTATCAGTGGAAAGTTGATCAGAAAAAACGAAACTGCACAGTTGTTCAGAAAAAACGCAATCCGCAGACTGAGGCTACGACTACAACCACTCTTGAACGAAAGTCCCCACTACCTGGCTTTCTTGGAACCGTCCCATTGCCCAATACGATCCTAGATCTGTTATGGGAAATCCGCGCACTGGTGTATCAGAGACTGCAACTGCGCGCCGATTTGCTCTCACTTGCGAAGGTCAAAACTCGCTTCGATATGCTAGATGTCTCTGGGGTCTTCGCTGCCTTGGTTGCCGTGGCATACTTCGCCTTTTTTGCCAAGCCATGGTGGTTGACAAACGTCTTAGGTTTTAGCTTCTGCTATGGCTCATTGCAAGTCATATCGCCTTCAACTTTTACAACTGGGTCTTTGATCCTGGCATCACTGTTTCTATATGACATTTACTTCGTGTTCTTCACCCCATTGATGGTGACGGTGGCAACTAAGCTCGATGTTCCCATAAAGATGGTATTCCCCCGTCCAGCCAGCCCGGGCGAAGACTCAAGTGAACTGTCTCTCGCTATGTTGGGATTGGGTGACATTGTGGTCCCCGGTATGATGATTGGCCTTGCCTTGAGATTTGATCTCTTTCTGTACTACAAGTACAAAAGCATTCAGAACTCGAAAAATAATTCTTCTGCAGAGGAAAACCAGAAGCCTGTTTACAAACGGGCTACAGGTAAATGGGGCGAGCGATTTTGGACGCGCTCGAAGTCTGTATCACCAGAGCCTTCATATCTAGATGCACAGGCATTTCCTAAACCATATTTCTTTGCTAGTGTTATTGGATATGTTGGCGGCATGGTCGCTACTTTGATTGCAATGCAATTTTCGAATCATGCTCAACCCGCACTACTCTATCTCGTCCCTGGCGTTCTCATATCGCTGTGGAGTACTGCTTATTTTAGAGGGGAACTTGATTCCATGTACTCATTCTCCGATATGATTGAGGACGAGGACTCTGGAGCGAAAAGTGGGAGCAATCAAGAGAAGGATAAAAACGAAGTAGCCAATAAACGCGGTTTATTCGCGCGTATCTGGGCGGGTGATGTGAATGCTCCGTTTGATACAACAGTCGAAATTAATAAAGACGATAATGAGATGAAGAAGGAGCCACCTACTGAAAGTTCATCCAAAGAGAAGAACGAGTCTGCTGGTGAGCTGGCTTCAACAAAGGCAACAAAAGAGGATGAAAAGTACATATTTTCGCTGTCCATCTCAGTGCCTCAGGCAAAGTCATGAGTATTGACATATCTTCTATCTCCAAAACGCAGAAAATATTCCATATGTTATTTGCGTTCTTCTATCTTCATCGGATGGCCAGGATCTTTAGAGATCAAAGATACGATCAAATAAAGTACTCAACGACTTGCTACTGGTCATGGTGTATTTAAAAGGCGTTTTATTGTTATCTGGGTGAAGGGTCGATACGGATTTGGCGTGTAAATGACCTAGGTAGGATATTCATATTTAATATTGCCATGTATAGAAAGGTCTTCATATTGTTGCTACAACATAATCAACCTATTGTAATTCCTCCAATATATCCTTTACTTGTTTCCACCTCTGCGTGGAAATCCCAACAAGCTTCCTGAGCTCCTCACGGCTCACAGACAAGCCTCCATTCTTTTCCATGCTCACAATCTTCGTCTTATCGCTGCTTTTTTTCCAATCAACCACTAGACATACTCGTTCCCGGCATAAACTCTCCTCAAATCCATCTGGGTCGGCTAGGATCCATCTCTCCTGCTTGCTAGACGCCTGTATGCTTCCATTTTCATCGGCTTCCGGAATTACGACAGCCCTCCAGTCGGCCGCAGCATCAGCCTCAAAGACAGAGTACGAACTTGCCACAGGCAAGCCTCGCAAATTAAGATTTCTTGACTCCGAAATCTTATCTGAACACAATACCATGTCGTTATCAATGTCCCACCAAGCCTTGGGCAGTTTTGTATCCCGTAGTGCGGCAAGAATGGAAGCCCAGGCGGCATCGAAAGGGTTCCCAGCAAGCGAAATCATCATCACATCAATGTAGAGAACCCAGAAGCCCTTTATTTCCGGCTCAGGGGATGACAAGCTTTCTGCACGTTCCGCCGTCTCTGTATCCATCGCATCATCATCTTGGCCAGATTGTGCGCGTGAAATGGCATCCAAGTCTGGAGGGTGATACCATATTTTTAGGTCCTCGGCCCGAATCAGACGTGATGTATGTAGCATGGCTAGGAGTTGATGCGAGAGCGACTGTGCTAGAGCGGAGGGGGGAGCACTAGGGATGAATCCAGGTGCGCATCCTGTGCTCAAAGAAATATTTGGAACAACCAAGTTTAGATCCCTAACATAATCTTCCTCCTCCTCCTCCTCTTCCTCTTCTAAACCGCGTCTCTTCTCTATATCGTCTCCATAATTTTCTGAGTGGATCTTCCTCCGTTTACGACTCCCAGAGGACGCAGAGACTCCCCATGACGCTATGTCTTCCGTATGCAATATTTCTGCCCGTATACCGCAGACAGCGGCTGTATCTCCAACTCTGACCACAGCGCTGCCATTTGTATGCGTTAAAGAGCCCAAATTGGCAGTTATAGGCCGAAATTCCAAGGGCGCCCGACCATTGGCTCTTATAGGGGACTGCTGGGTAGAAGGCGGCGGTGATAAATGAGCGAGAAGGTAGGCATGAGGCTGAAGGCGCGCGAATTGCGAGGGTGGGAGAGAGAGAGAAGCTGAAGAAGGACCTGGAATAGGTAGTGCAGAAGAGGTTGCGCTCGACGTCATAATTATGTCTGTGGTTCGCCTGTTTGCTTGACCGAACAAAAACTTGGATGATAATATGGCATCCGGCAGAATAAATTCAATCAAAAGGCGGTGAATCGTGGGACTACGTTTATGTGGGGATTCCCGTTGGCCCTAGTGCGACTGGTGATTGGCCAGTTTTAATAGTAGTCAATATTCATTTTCTAGTCACACTCTTTATTCCAATTTCAGAATTTCCATCGATTGAATCCTAGAAGTGCAATAGCAGACTGAATTGTAGAGAAGTGGAATCTTTCTCATGCAGCTGCTATTCCCTGATAGATTGTCTTTGAAAATACATGCCCATTGCAAGACAAAACACGACAAACCTCGAAACAAATGCATTTGCAACACAATGCACTCAAAACCTATCTCAAGAGATATAAAGGCTTTTTAGTTGAGCATTTCCAGCTATCTCATTGGGCCTGTCAGCTCCGTCGAGCCCAAATAATAATATTGACCACTTTCTCCGTAGCCACGGCGATGCACCCACGCAATAGTCCGGCTCTGTATCAATTGGCGTCAACCCAATCAGTTCAAGCTTCATATCAAGGTCAATCTTAGCTTCTATCAATCTCTCGTAAAGCAAGTAAGCAACATGGATGATCGAAATATCATCCATGGTCTCTAACTGTGTTCTGTGGCAAAAGCTCCGAAGCAAGCCCTAATCTCGATTGCATCCGCCGTGCAGACAGCATACTGCGACGCGATTGTCGATTTCTTACATGATTAAGACCTTACTTTGTGCCTAGAAATCTAAGCAGTCAACACTCGTTTTTAGTTCTTGTCGCGGCCCAGTCACGCCATCGAGCTAACACGAGAGACTATGCAGCAGTTTTCACCCCGCCATAACTTTCAGTGCAAGTGTCTTTGCCCACACAAGGGCAAAAGCCTTTATACTCTGTGCTTGTTAGGGATATTCTTCTATTAAACAGATTTACACTGATTCTGCTCTACAGAATGCATAAATACGAAAGACGCGATGCGACAGAAGATGAAATCAACAATCTACGGCATGTCGCTGACTCCTTGCCAGTCATTACTTGGGTTGCTCTTGTAGTCAGCGGAGCAGAAAGATTCACATTTTATGCTGTCACAACCCCATAGCGTAAGTCCTGATTTTCTCTGCTAATAATCAGAAACAGAAAAGACAACTAATTGGATACCCGACAGAAAACTACATGCAATATGGCCAAAACAGCGTCGCCATTCCAGGTGCTTTGGGTCTTGGTGAAAATACCGCTTCAAACTTGTCTAGCGCTTTCTACGCTTTTACTTTTCTGACCTCCGTGCCATTCGGTATCTTGGCAGATGCCTGGCTGGGACGGTATAAAACTTTATGCCTCAGTTTTGCGTAGGTCTCTCTCTTCGTTCCGCATGGTCTTGTTATGCTTTATACCAGTTTGAATCGATCATAGGCATTATTATAGCCTCAATTTTTGCGGGTGCTTATTACTTTTTATCACCTCACTTCCATTGGTAGCAGATCACTCTGCCAAACTCATTGGATTTGTCCTCGCAATGGTATTCTGGGACTTGGGACTGGTGGCGTCAAAACCACTATAACTCCCTTTATATGTGAGCTATCATCTAATGCTAACTATGAGATTGTCAGATCAATGGTTTATTTGAATAGGAGATCAATATACAACCGTGACACCACAGTTGATAGTCACGAAATCAGGCGATCAAGTCATCACAGACCGAATGTTGACCCTTCAGTATATATATAATGTCTTTTACTGGTAAGGAATTGGTCATTCTCGGAAACTTTCACCTTCCATCTAGACAATATATTAGACTTACCTTTCAAAGGTTTACCAGCATCGCAACGCTGTCTCTGATTGCGTCGACATACTTGGAGAAAGGGGTTGGCTTCTGGGCTGCTTACCTCCTGCCATTGTGTTCTTTCTGGATTATAGTATTTTTATTGCTCCTTTGGTACAGACAATTAGGTAAAGAAGGCTTCCAACCATCTAATTATTTCACTGGTGCCAAGTGCTAATCACCGAGATTAAAAGTGAAACTCTCCCCTCAGGGAAACATCCTGCCACAAGCAGCAAAAGTTATCATGTGCTCAGCTCGAGACCGGTTTCGGTTAGATGCAGCAAAACCGGAATACCAAAGAGAGAAGTACGGCAGGGACGTTGAATGGGACGACGTGTTTGTCTCGGAGATAAGAAGAGGTCTCAATGCGTGTAAAATCATGTGCGTGTATTCTCTACAAAATTGCCTATTATATATCCATATATGTTTCTCGTTACTAACATTCTGAGAAAAAGGGCATGCTTCGTACCATACCACTTATGCAATAACCAAAGCGTCAACAACCTCATCACTCAAGCCGGGCAGATGCGTCTCAGCGGAGTACCAAACGACGCAATCAAAGCACTCAACCCCATTGCATGTGTAATTCTCGGGCCCGTGATCCAAAAGTTCCTCTATCCTTCACTGCGCAAGCTCGGAATTCCCTTTGGTCCCATTGCACGCATGACATGGGCATTTATCACAATGAGTGCATCGATGGCCTTGGCCGCCGGCATACAAAAGCTAATATATACACGAGGACCCTGCTATGATCAACCGCTTGTTTGCCCGGATTCTGACCGCGGCAGTATACCCAATAACGTGAGTGTATGGGTGCAGTCACCTATTTTCTTCCCGTTGGGGTGTGCTGAGATTTTGGGGTTTACGACTCTGTCTGAATACGCCTATGCCGAAGCACCGGAGAACATGCGCACCTTGGTGCAGGCATTGGGACAGACAGCCGCTGGTGTCGGGTCTGCGTTGGGCATGGCTGTTTCTCCACTGTCAGATAATCCGCAGGTTTTGTATCTTTATTCCGGGCTGGCAGCGGTGATGATTCTGGTTGCCTCGACTTTCTGGTTGGTGTTCAGGAAACACGACAGGAACTATTATTGATATTCGAATCGGAAAGGAGCCAGTCTGCCGGGGATATGTATCGAGATAGTCGTCATTAATTGGACACCGCTCTGCACATGAACTTGTGCAAGACGGCCGAATTATTCCATAATCATGAAATAGAGTCGTCTGCATAGCATAACATTGACATAAGTACTTAGGGCACATGTGTATCATGTGACGGGCTGTGGATAAATAATCAACAGTGCTCTATTTTTATCACTTGACTTTATCCGGCCGAGCTAGTCTTTCCTCGTGCAGCCATCCGACTTCGACCTCGACTTGTTCTTCCGCGTCATCACCAACGAATAATCCTGCGTCAAAAGCCCTTCCAGAAACAGCCAATTTCACACACGACAAATGGCATTGCACTGATGAGTTCTTCGGCTTTGTTCTTAGTGCCCGCCGTCCGAGTAGTGCAGATTGCAGCGTCGTCCAATGGCGGCGATGGACAATGCTAGCGGCATTCTTAATACAACATGGAGTCTTTGACGGGCCAACCACGACCTGTCTCTGTACGCGAACTTATGCAAGGCCGCAGAACTGTTCCTCACGCTACTGCAAAGCTTGGGCCTATATCACTTCTTGGGACCTCGCTCGGTCATCTCATTCGGTCGCCGTGACTGCGTGACAGCGCGTGGAATCAACATCTTATTCGTCGCTCTGCTGACTGCTGTTCAGAAAGGGAAGAAGCTGGAGCTTGCACTGCGAAATCTCCGGCCATTGAGATTCAGAAATGGCGGTGGACAGACAGCCACCACTCTTGGGCTTGTCGCACTTTCGACAAGCCCTTGACCAATATGCGACGATTTCCTTCTTGTTTGCCCAGCTATCGTGACACTAATGTACATTGAGCTACTTTGCTATTTGTCCATGGCTCGATAGACCTTGTCTTATCAAATCAACCGATCCCATCGCTACCGCGCGGCGTGCATAACAACAGTTTATTTTAAGCAAAGGGTTGCATACACTCGCAACTTCAGTTGAATGTCCGACTAGCTTCTTTGTTTCTCCCAAGGACTCGCTCGTCTAGCCGACCCCGAAGTAAAAGAATAATTTATACCGCTTTTGCTCCAACTTCTTGTTCTTCCCCGTTCATACCGAATAAGACGCCTTCCCTGCACAATTTGACCGTCTTTCACACACACTTGTGCTTGTGAGAGAGCAATGTCTGACAACACAATCGTCGATATTTAGTGGAATCCTTCAACGTTGCGCATTAGTTGCTTGGCTCTGCACATGAAAGCTCTGCGAGTCGCTCAATCCCGCTTGTGTCTCTGTGTTTGAATATAGTTACCAAGGACTCAGATTCTGTCAGACACGGTCACAATTTCGTTCGGTTCTTCTCCGTATCGCACTCATCTTTACATAAGCAAGATCAAAACCTTACACACGGTAGCATCAATCTACGTCGTTACATTCGATTGTCTTCCCCTCTGCCTTGGGTATAAGGCAGTTGGTGACAGTCCAAAATGGTTGGCAATCTATTCAGACCACTGGTTTCGCTGGCGAAACGCATCAATGTGCCTATCATAGCCTCAATCACAGAGTCAGAACAGGCGGAGATGAACGAAGATCCGTGGAATAAATCCGGAAAGTACGCAGAAGCTTGGGTGTATTTTAGTATTGTTCTTCTGTTCTTGACGTTTGTGGTCCGGGTATATCACCTCCTGAGCGACCGAATACGAATAGCTGCATACAGAGAGTACAATGCCAAATCAACATCACCATATGGCAACACATTGGGAACATCAGACCTGGAACTCGCGAGTGCCGCCACTGACAGCTCAACCAGAAAGTTCTTCCCGGCAAAAGGGCCACTTCCTCCTTCATCCCGGGAGTACACACCTTCTTTGGTCGCACCGATGAGCTTTGTCATTGCAATTTTCCGCTGGGTCTTTTACAGGCCGATTCCAACCCTAACCATCGGCAAGATGCACTTCGTCTTTCCGTCACCCTCAGTTGTTGCTCTTGTCGTTGTGGCCTTCTTATTCACTGCGCTCTATTGTTTCATCCCGAAACCACTGTATTTTTCAAGCATCGATCTAGGTTCACCACCGTTGGCAATTCGCGCAGGTATGATAGCGCTTGCAATGGTACCTTGGATTATTGCCCTAGGTACCAAGCCCAATTTCATCTCAATAGTGTCTGGTATCAGCCACGAACGTCTCAATGTCATTCACCGGTGGCTCGCGTACATTTGTCTTTTCTTGGCTCTTGTCCACACGATTCCATTTTACATTACTCCGATTTGGGATGGTAACACTTATTATATTTACCAAAAACTATTCATCCCACAGGGCTACCACATATATATTTACGGCAATGGATTCGCTACGCTCGTTCCACTTATCGTTCTCTGCCTTCATTCTCTATCATTTTTACGTCAGAGGGCCTATGAGGTTTTCGCTTACTTGCATGGTCCAATCTCCGCTGTCTTCGTGGGAATGCTTATTTGGCATTGTAAAAATCTGCTCAAATCGTGGGACTACATGTGGGCCACGATTGCACTGTGGTTCTTCTCGTACTGCATCAGAAGTTTCTATCTCAATTGGTTCGTTCCCTTGCGACTCTCGTGGATGATTGGAGAAGAATCATCAGCCGTCATTCTTCCAGGAAACGCCTTGAAGGTGACTATACCAACACAAATGAGATGGAGACCGGGACAGTTTGTTTACTTACGAATGCCGGGTATTTCGCTATTGGAGAATCACCCCTTTACAATAGCTTCACTTTGTAGCGACGATTTCCCATCGAACTATGGACCGGAATTTCGTGACCTGGTCCTTATAATCAAGCCTTTTAACGGATTTACGAAGAAACTCCTAGAAAAGGCGAAAAGGAAAGGACCTTACAAGATTTACCGGTCACTTTTGGATGGTCCATATGGGGGAATGCAGCGTGAACTGGCTGCCTTTGACGATGTTGTCTTTTTCGCTGGCGGTAGTGGTATTACTGCAATCGCTAGTCAGTTGCTTAATTTAATAAAGAAAATGAGAGATGGGAATTCTGTCACAAAAACAGTTCGAGTTGTTTGGGCATTGAGGCGCCCAGAGATGATGGGATGGTTCAATGAAGAATTGAGAATTTGCAGGGAATATGCTCCAGCTGGCTCTGTTTTTTGCAGCTTCTACTTGACAGGCTCAGATAAGGACAAGGCTTACGGTACAGAGACGGTGAATGAAATTGTGCATGGTGTCCCTAACAAACGAAACTCAGCGTGGATTCGAGAGGCAGCTGGAGGGGATTTACAGCAAGAGAAAGAGCTTCGACGCGAAAATGAAGATGATATTACTCCTCTTCCGGGAGCATATCTGGCGGGCGGTGCTAGTTCCAGTTATTATCCTGTAATGGCTCCTGCTCGCTATGACCCGTACGCGCCATATGCATACGCGCATGCACAAGCAATCCCATACGGGACACCACAGAGCCAAAATCAAGGATTCAACTTTGGATTTGACCAAAATCAAGTACTGGAGCAGCAACAGCAATATAACCAGCTCCAATATCAGCAGTACATTCAGCAGCAACTTCAACAGCAGCAGCAGCAGCAGAATTTAACCTCATCTGTCCCAAATAACCGCAATACATTGTCACGGTTCGCTTTTCTACCACGACAGAAACAAGATAGCTGGCGCACGGAGTATGGACGGCCCAACGTCTCAGAGATGCTGAAACAGCAATCAAAGAACTGGGGCCGCCGTACCTGCGTTTTCGTCTGTGGACCGCCAACTATGCGAGTAGAAATAGCCAACACAGTGGCACGATTGCAGCATCTTGTCATAAGAGATCCGACAAAGGACGAAATATTCCTTCATGCAGAGAACTATGCTGTATGATATCTTCTCAGGAAAAATGGTATAAATTTACAGAAAAGAGGGGTTAGCCTTGCCTTCTTCTTAAGTATAGACTGTATTGTTTTGCCATTTCCCCGGCTTGTCATCCTTCGTGTCCTACTTTTTCTGTCGCTATATCTGCCAACGAGGTATATGCACGCACATTCAATGACGGCGCTTGCTTTCTGTATTTTGTTCTCTTTGTCTATATATCGCTTTGCAGACCTGCTTTGTATTTTATTGTATCTAGTTGTTGTCTTGGGATACCCATTGAACATATACACCACTTTATATTCTAACTCTATCATCTTTCCGAACCAGATATCCAGGCTTTTGTAAATATGGAATGCCAATCCGTTGTACTGATAAATATCGAGAATTGTTCTATATTGACTTTGCTGGGTATTTGGTGGATCTATCATATGGATGCATAACAACAGGAAGGCTGAAAAACAATCACAATGCAATGACGAAAAGTTTCAGCACACTGCATGAGGATTCAAAATAACGACGGGATTGGCGAAGCGTAATCGAATTATTTATCTTGCGAAATTTCTTCCATATCTCGTTTGCGTTTACCAGAACTAGCCGTCGTTGATGGGGAATCATCTCCGCTGTCAAGGATCCGACTATCTGTGAGATGCACAACGCCGTGATCGTCGTCTTCTTCTGCTTCTAGTTTCTCCCAATCGTCGTCCTCATCGTCGTCCTCGTCTTCATCCTCCTTATATTCTTCTCCGCCCGGTCTAGCTTCGACTTCGACTCCGTCTTCGTGATGACGGTGCGGCTCCGATTGCTTCTCTTCCTCCTCTTCCCAATGAAGATCTAGCCTCACAATCCTCGCTCCTCCGGGATTAAGACGTCTATAGTAACCATTGACAATACCATCCTCAACATGAAACCCTCGGGCGATATACCATTTCAACCCTTCTTCGTTCGTCTCATGAACATGGGCTGTGACGGTTCGAATATTGTAGTGCTTCACAAGCCTAGATACGCGATAGGACGAGTCAGATGGTTGCAAAGGCGGATTTGAGAATAACAAAGAATTGAGCAGTGAGGCCGCGACTCCGTTCCCACGATGCGGCGACAAGAGGTGGAGGGTTTGAATGTATAAATTTGTTGGTGGCTTGCTGCCATCTGCCTGAATAATTCCAGCGAAGTCTGGAAACAGCCTTTCCAACCGACATCTAATTCCTCCAATTACTTTGTCTGTGCCGCCTAATCCTCCCTTCGCCGTTGGCTGGTGTCCTCCAAATGTAGATTCCGCAGAGGGACCGCTAGCCACGGGATGGTCATGATACACCGCGACCCTTGATAACGAAGCAATAACCGGATCTGTAATGCATGCTGTATAAAATGAACTAGGATAGCGTATCGGAAGCAAGAGACCGGTGACGCGGCTTAAAGAAGGAATATGGGCAGTGCGGACTGGGTCGATGGTGATGTGTGGATGAGGGCTTCGGTATGAGCCCGAGGGCTCTGGAAATGGTACAGGCTCAAAGTTCGGATCGCCAATCGTGGGCGGCTTTCCCGGTGAAGAAGACACCGTTGACTGCGGGAGTACGAGTGGTGGAGGGTGAAGTGGTGGTTTAATCAGGGAACTCTGCAGGGATGGAGGGGAAAGGGGCGGAGAAGTGGCAGCGGCAGTTGTGGTTCGCTGTTGCGCCTGCGCTTTTGCGAACACCTGGTATGCCATTGGCTGCTAAACACAACAAGAAACAAATACGGAATGCGTGCGCAAGTGAAAAGCGTTGAGAAGCCTGAAGTGCTGGCGACAGGGAGGGGAGGTAGAGACGTTGCGTTGTCTGCCCGCGGCGCATGCGGAGAAACCGCGCCGATAAGGCCCTTATCGCCGCTAAGCCGTTTCAGGGCGCAGATGGCTCGGAACGTAACTAACCTTAACAGTCTGTCCGTCAGGAAGTCATAACTCCCCTTCACCACCACATTCCACCTTCGCAAGACGACGCCAGATTGTGCATCGACCCCGAGCGAGCCTTGCGGGCAGGTAAGTTGCTCCCTTGGTTTTGCCACAGCCCCCAATCAGACCGAGTGGCTGAAACAACGTCGGAATTCCTCCCAAGGCGTCAGCTCCATGCTTTTTCGGTACTACCTTGCTAACATCTTGTTGTGATATCTTAGACGGAGTCAACCGTTACGCTCCATCATAAGTCTTCTTCTTCCGTCATCACCTCTCATTTCATGGAAGATATCCCCTGGTCCAACGCATTGGCATGAGCCCGGCTTAAGGGAAGCGCATCGATTCGTACAAGATTGGCGACTTGAGTGTCGAATTCCTCCACGGCGAATCACTAGGGCAAATATAACCAGCCTGATTTGATGGAATATTAAGGGAACATTCATCGATGACTGGAAGAGGGGTGCGGCAACTTCCTTGCTGCTGAGCAATTGCGAGTGAGTGATTGACATATCGATACAACGTCAATGTAAGTTATTCGCTGCTGCATGAAAATATCGGTTCTGTCTTTCTGAGTGTAAACTCTCGTGCTGAGTTTCCGCGATGGAGCTGGTTTCATACAAACGTGGAGGATTTTCTTGTCAGGCAACAAAAGTGCAATAGAGTACAATAACTCTGCTTAAGAGTCCGCTGACTGTGTCTGTGAAAAGCCACGAAATATTTACGAATATGGCCGGCCCAGATTTAACCAAGGCCGCAGATGGTAGCGCTCCAGTCTGTACTTCGGCTTCATTTTCCGAGATGGTGAGATCATCCACTCTTTTGAAGATGCAATATGAGCAGAAACTAAATGGAATCACCAGTCCAAGGAAATTTTGAATGCCACATTCTACAACATCATACATGACATTGTAGCAAAAGTCCACCGAGATGAAAAACTTGCCAGAATGAAGTCTGCTGTGGTTTTAGCAAGACAGAAGGCCGAAGCTGAAGCGGAGGCCGGTGGGATCTCCGAGAAAAAGGTCCAGGTAGAAACAGAAGGTGCAATATGCGAAAATGGAAAGGTATACTTGAAGGGAAATCCCCTTGCCACGACTAAAGAGATCGTGTGCCCATTCTGCCGTCTGCCTCGTTTACTCTATCCAACTATGGGAGTTGGTGCGCGGCCTCCGCCAGATCCGTCAAAAGAGTATTGCACAAAGCATCCTCTAGTCAACAAACCTGGCTACGACGTGCATGGCAATCCGTTTGCTTCTGACAAGACGAAAAAGAAAAAGAAAGTTGCGAATACCAACACAAACACACCGATTTCCAGTCCACCATCTACACCCGATGCAAATGGCTCATCCAAACAGAATGCACCTGACTATCCGACAATTAAATGCCCAAATTGTCCGCGTTATTGCCAGACAAGCAGAGTGGCAGCTCATCTTGATCGTTGTATGGGCATCTCAGGCCGCAACGCTACTCGAAATCGAGATGCGGGTTCAGCTACACCTTCTACTGCAGGGCCGCCCAAACGGTCGCTTCCAGATGACGATGTCGCACCAGTGAATTTCAAAAAGAAGAAACCAAATACCCCCAAAAAGTTGGGGACCAATAAGCCAGTGCCTCCAAGCAAGTTGAAAAAGGCAGCCAGTCCGGATACGATGATCGCCGAGGAGGCTGCGGAGGCTGCAGAATCTGGCGAGTCACCCCACGATCCCTCGGTTGATGACGAGGATAAAATTGAAGTTTGAATGGATGTCGAGCACCCTCACCATCATTGTTTATAATACCTGTCTGTTGTCACTTACGACGTGGTCTACATAGCATTCTGGGCGTCAGGAGATTGCGGTAACATTCTGCAGGAAGTATTTTCATTTGATTCATTTCTATCCTCTTTGGTCTTGCAAACAATACCATTAGTTTTCATCTTGCGCCACGTCCGTCAGTGCATTATGCTATGAGAATGTACAACATGTATTCCATCAAAAATCTATTATCTGGAAAGAAAGGGGAGAAGGAAAGAAAGACGGCTTGTTAGGGCAAGTAAGCAGATGTAGCGCTAAACCGAAAGCGGTAACCGCTCTGGTATCGATAAGATCTCTTCCAGCCGGAGCTTCTTCCTACACCACAAACATCCCCCGCCATGTCCAACGTCTCACTTGTTGCTTGGGCTCTGCCCAAGCTGTCAAGCCTCCTGCCTTTAGACGAAGAATCGTTAAAACAGATAATAACTTATTCCGCCAGGCTGTCCAAGGAGGAAAGCGCAGAGCATTTGAAGAACCTCTTGGGCGATTCACCACCAGTCCTAGAATTCATCTCTACCTTCAATTCACGACGAGCCGATGCTGGGTCATCTGCCCCTCAGTCTGGTGCATCGACACCTCGGGCAACCCCAGAAGATGTTGCCCGCCCGGAAAGAAATCAGGCAAAGAAGAATAAACGAACCAAGGCGCCTCTGCACAATGCTGGGCCGGTGCGAAAGCCCGAGAATTACGGGAACGTATCAGGCGCATACAAAAAGGCCGATCAAGAAGAAGATTACATGGCCGCCTCATCGACAAAGCTCACTCGGCCGGGGGGTGCCCTTTCAGAAGCGCTGTCGTTATCAGCTAAACCGGCTGCTTCCTTGCAGCCCTCAACCACAGCCACAGACTCAGCATATGGTTCATCTTCGGCAAATTCGCGGAATCCGTCTCCAGTCCGAAAGTCTAATGTAAAGGCTCCTCCATCGGCAGCAGGTCCATTAATATCAGATTACTTGCCAAATGTGAGATCAAAGACAAGCAAATCCCAAAGGCCTGCTGGTTCGGGTTCTGGACAATCTACGCCTGCCAAGGGTTCTATGACAACAACGAATATTGCAGACCTGACTTCCGCAATCGCAGCACTCGAATTATCAACGAATCCTACACATATCAAAAATAGACAGAAATGCGACTGCAATGCATCGATACATCCGCTTTTCAGTCCGGCTCCGAATTGCCTCAACTGCGGGAAAATTATTTGCTCACTCGAGGGACTTCAGCCATGCTCTTTCTGTGGTGCGCAATTGCTGTCAGCCCAGGAGATTCAGAGCATGATCAAAGAGCTACGTGCGGAACGAGGGCAGGAAAAGATGAGGGCACATAATGAAGGTGTTCACCACGCCGGTATGTTTGACTTAGGAGGTGCTCCTAGTAAACTAGACGCAGCTGTTGCCCACCGGAATAAATTGCTTGCTTTCCAGGCACAAAATGCCCAGCGTACGCGTGTTGTGGATGAAGCAGCAGACTTTGAAACTCCTAATATTGGATCCACGCAATGGATGAGCCCGGCACAACGGGCACTGGCGCTCAAGAAGCAACAAAAGATTCTACGTGAAATGGAAGAAAAAGCGAAACCGGAGTGGGAGAAAAAGCAAACGGTTATCAGCTTAGATATCAAAGGCGGACGGGTCGTTCGCACCTATCAGGCTGCTCCATCGGCTTCTGTTTCTAGTACCGTCGAGGACGAGGAGCTTGACGAGACGGCGGGCGCCAGCACAATGGATACTGGTAACGGAGGCGTAGCATTTAGTAAAAATCCTCTACTTGCAAGCGGTGGTTTGCTACGTCCTATTTGGAAAGGTCCGGCCAATGGTGAAGCTGGGGCGAAAGAGTCCGGTAAAGAAAGCAGGCGCATGTGGCGCCGAGTACAAGATGACAATGATGATAATGAACAATGGATTCTCGATGGCGGTGCACACGGCTATAGCAATGATAGCGGAGCGTGAGTTGCTTTTTTTAAGAGAAAATAGATGGACCCTTCTTACTGCTTTAATGCAGAATAAGATATAAGTATAGTAATAAAAGAGAAAAAAGAACGAAAGTAAAAGAGAAGAGACGAGGCAACATGTCTAGATATCCGTGATAGTGTCACATTCACTTAATACCAGCTCTGACAAGAACAGCATGTATAGGTAGGATACCTAGAAAATTCTACTAGAGTGTCCAGGTGACTGCCAGATCCATCATTGCAATAGTATAATTGCAAACAGGGACTTCTAACAAACCAGGGATAGGTGCCTTTAGTGCCACTGGAAGAGTTATACCGTGGATTGCTTGTGGATGTTATATCCAACTGCATTCATCCATGTATGTGGAACATACCGAGGTTCTTCTCACCGACGTTAAGCGAGAGGAATGGAGTATATAAGCACTCATTCCTCGCAGTCGATAACTCTTAAATCAACCAAATACTCAATTCTTATTACCGCATTGACTGCTCTGCTCTGTTTGCGCGGGGAAATCTCTCTCAACGTCACTACGCGCTTAGCAGCGGATAGCTCCGGCCTCCTAGAATAATCGACACACCCATCACTAAACCTTGAAAAATGCTCGCCGAATACCTGGCTTCGGCACGGCTTGCAACGGGTGTTGTGCTAGCGGGTATTTTGATCTTTGTATGTTAAATCTGCTGTGGTTTTTATACCCCGGAACACAGCGGATCTGGGGTGTACATCATGGACATGCGGGGAAAGATAAGTGGCTAACCTTGCTTGATATTGATAATATAAGAGTTTTGGCTATGCTGCATATAACCGATTCTTGCATCCCCTCCGGCATATTCGGGGCCCATTCCTTGCATCCGTAACACCATGGATGCAGCTTTATCATGGGCTGAAGGGTGACCGGCACTTGTGGTTGCATCATCTGCACCAGCAGCACGGATCGCACGTCCGCGTAGCTCCCAACTTCGTCTCCGTAAATACTGCTCGAGGGCTTCGCGACATATACGCCCATGGAAAGCCCTTTCAGAAGGCCGACTTTTACAACGGCTTCACCGCCATCAAGGGCGTGTACAATACTCATAATGTGATTGACAAGACTGTGCACGGGAGGAAGCGTCGTGTCTTGAGCCATGCTTTCTCAGACCATGCTTTAAAGGATATGGAGGACGTCATGTTGCTTCATATTCGCCAACTTTGTGCTATTTTGGGAGAAGATTCCCGCGATGATGGACGCGATATTATCCTCGAAAATGAGTATAAGACTGACAAAGGCCTCGTAGTGCGCAACATGAGCAACTGGCTAAGCTTTATGACTTATGATGTCTTGGGGGAATTGTGTTTTGGCAAGAGCTTTGATCTGTTGATAGACGGTGCCAAGCGGAGAATGGTGCATTTGGTAGATCGGGCTGCTTACCGGCATTACGTTGTATGTGCTCCATTTCTGCTTCGATATCCTGCCTAAACAGCTAATGAGTATATAAGTGCGGGCTCTGGATGCCACTAGACAAATGGGGTCTCGACAAGATCTTCATTAGAAACCTCACCATGGACCGATGGAACTTCATTAAGAACTCGCGGGCTGAAGCCACGCAACGAGCTAAAGAAAGAGTTGAAGCCGGCCACGAAGCAAAGAAAGACTTCTTTTTCTACCTGTTAAATGCAAAGGACCCGGAGACTAGCGAGGGCCTTTCCATGCAGGAATTATGGGGCGAAGCAAATGTATTGATGGTTGCAGGCAGTGATACGACTTCGAGCAGTATAGTAGCAACACTGTTCTACCTGGTCCGCCACGCTGGAGCTATGGAAGCATTGAAAAAGGAAGTGCGCTCGAGCTTCACAGATGTCGAGCAAATAGTTAGCGGGCCACAGCTGAGCGACCTTGCTTATCTCAAAGCCTGTATTGATGAAGCTATGCGTCTTGCCCCTGCTGTCCCTGGCGCCATACCACGCGAGGCGATGAGAGGAGGAGCCGAAGTCGATGGTGTGTTTCTCCCAGCTGGCTCGGAGTGTGGCACGCCAGCATACTCAATCCACCGGCACCCAGACTATTTCCGCGAGCCTCTGGCATACCTCCCAGAACGGTGGATTGAAGGGGCAACGTGCCCATCTGCCTCGGGACTCTCGTGGACGCCCACCAAGAATGATGTCGAGGCGGCGCGGAACGCATTCTGTCCATTCAGCATCGGGCCACGGGGCTGTATTGGAAAGAGCATGGCGCTGATGGAGATGCGCATCACGTTGGCCAGGCTGATCTATTTGTTTGACATTGAGTTGGCGGACAGAACTGGCGAGGACGTCGACGGCCATCTAGCATTGACGGATCATTTTGTGGTGGCGAAGACCGGGCCCAATGTTGTTGTTCGGCGACGACAGGATTTGTAAATATTTAAGCTATGCATCCAGTCTGTATATCGAATGAAGACTTGTATGATCGATCGTACTCGTTGCGCACCAAACAAAGGCGCGAGTGAAGCGCAACAAAAAAAAAAGAATGTAAGCAAAGTAAGGAAGCCGGCGCGGCGGCAGCAACAACAACAACAACAACAAACATCCACCACCGCCAGCTTCGTTTAACTCTGACCGCAACTTGGGATAAATTGTTTCGCCGTTGAACAATATTCATTCAGTCAGTCAAGTGTTGTATTTGATTTCGACCAGCTTGCCTAAAGCTGCCATAGAACTCCCAGTCGCTAAACAACCAAGAAAACGGACAGCCAATCAGAGAATAATGCCACGTTGAAGATTGGCCCCAAGTTGAACGCACCAAAAGTCATCCAACAAGCTGATTAACTCGGGGCTGAGGTATTCGACGCTGCATTATTTTGTGCGCCAAAATTCCGACCTCCAACAACCACGTCGCGGCGGAGGATGTTGTCGCCCCTTTCTGTGACGCTCATCCAGTCGACCATCTTCAATGCCATCTCCAATATATTGGCGCAAATCATAGACCAGTGGTCCAATGATGTACGTCTAATCTTTTTTGTTTTGTTGGAAGACACGCTTTTCCACTGACAGAGACAACGCCAGGACCCGTTCGATTTCAATGTTCCAGCTTTTATTCAATTCATAGCCTACTGCATTATCATCGTGCCAATCAACTTCTACTGGCAGCGATGGATGGAAGCGCATTTCCCTGGCTTTCCTTCATCCTCTAGCTGGTTCTCGTCGTCGTCGTCTTCTTCTTCCTCCAGAGGCACCAAGAGAGCAGACGTTCCAAACGTCGTAATCCCAATCGAGGACCTAGCAGTCAAGGACAAGAAACCAGACGGCGTCCATCAGCAATCATCATCCTCATCTTCTTCATTATCACACTCTTACTGGTCTCCCAGAAAGTCCACTCGCCAGAGCAGCGGTATAGGGAACTTTCTGAAAAAGTTCTTCCTGGACCAAACCGTCGGGTCAGTGGTTAACGTCTGGCTCTTCATAGTCCTCATCAATCTACTCAAGGGAAAGTCGTGGACGTCCACATCTACGCGCGTGCGCGAGGATATGCCTGATATTATGGTTGCGAGACTCAAATATAGACCGATTGTTGCCGCGTTGATGTATACCGTCATACCGGTGGATAGACGAGTTGTGTTTGGGAGCTTTTGTGGAGTTATTTGGAGTGTGTATTTGAGTTTGCATTCGCTTTCAAGATAGATTTTCTTTTTCATTCGTCTTGTCATTTTCATTGCATTCATTTTGGCGTTGTTGGTTGCTTTGTTGATATTGCCATTCTCTTCTCTTTGATACCAATTAGTGTTATGTGAATAGCATTCATGCAGCTTATACTATTCTTCATCTCATTGCTTGGATACCTACCTATCTAGGCAGGCATAATGAATCGTGATCATGAATTTGCCAACGATTCAAAATCCTTTGGCCTAACCCACGCATATCGGGTTTCTAAAAGTGTACACAATAAATACAAGAAAGGAAGTACAAAACTAAATCGCATTCGCAGAACGAAAAAAAGAAAGTGCATTATCATGGCTATGGTCGAGGAAGGCTGCTTCTATGAGCAACCAATGCAATCAGAGCCGCGCCAACTCCGCTGCCATCTTTGGCAATGCCGATGCGAACCTTCCGTTCTTTCTCTCCAATGTCCTGAATTTCTCGCATGGCTTCTCGAATGTATTCGATAAACTTTGGATAAAACTCCACAAGACTGCCATCGACTCCGACATCGACGGTTTCGTCGGTGTCTAGCCGTTTCGTGTCCAATATAACTGCTGAAAGAGCCACCGCACTAAGGCGCGCAGCACGCTTGGCTATAGCATGGCCAATCGCTCGGACTGCTTGCGCGTCATCGGTACTGGCATTGCTTGCTTTGAGATGCTCCAGCAGAGCAGCTTTCGTTTCGGTGAGGTCAGGGGATGTGTCAGCTTCAATGGCACTCAGAAAGCTGGTGTCAATACCCCAAACTTGATAAAGGGGGGAGTCGGAAGCAATCTGTGGCAGCAGCTTGGCCTCGGGATCCTTAGTCAACGCTAAGACGGCGCGACGGAGGATTTCTCCGAGGAACATGCCGGACACCCGCTTTTCAAACATCTGGATACCAGGGTTATTTGACTCGGCGTCGAGCTGCTGATCGTATATGGTGTTAGGGAGGACACTGAGATGGTTGTCAAAGCTGCCCCATTCCGCATTGATGACCATTTTCTGAGTAGAATTGTCAAACCCCGTGCTTCCCATCGCCTTCAACTTCGTTACTTTTCCAAGATCCTCGACGTAGGCACCGTTGGTTCCTGTGCCGAAGATGGCTCCAATGAGGGTCTCCGTCTTACCGGGAGACGTGTAAGAACGAGCCATCAAGGTGCCAACGGTGTCATTGACCAGGGCTGCCACCCGGACCGGAAGATGCAATTCATTGATGGCATCCTGCAGCATTAAACAAACATCTTGCCCGATGGCATCCGGGATATCGAACCCCTTAGTCCACCTAATCAGGGTGCCCCTGTTAATCGAAGTCTGGTGGACAGGGAAACTAAAAGTAAACCCTAAGTCGAAAATCTCTTCCCGGCGGTACTGATCTGTGGTGCCAGTCAGACGACGTCTCCGGACAGTCGCTTCAAAGTGGTCGTTATGGTGAATCTCAAGGAAGGATTCGATCTGCTTTGCGAGGAACTTGAACAGTTCTTTGGAAGATTTGGCCACCATCAAATCACGAGGGATGGCGACTTTGGATTGGGTGAGATTAAAGGTGCTGTCGCCACGAAGCTCGATAGAACAGACCCGAAAGTTGGTGCCGCCGAGGTCTACGGCAAGGTAGAGTCCCTAGTGAATGAAGGGTGAGCATCCATTCGCTATTCGCATTGAGTACGGAGATAAAGATAGGAGACATGCAATATCAAATAAAATAGAAATTGGGAAAAAAAAATTCCAAGAAAAAGGCCCCTCATTGCGTCATAAGACACAGAGATGGAAAAGCGTCGCACGATTCAAGAACAGGACAGTACGGACCTTCTCAGTGCCATTGGGGACGCTTGTCACAAAAGTCGGGATTTGGCTGAGGGTTGCACCGGTCTTGGACAGGCCTTCAGACATCTCGCGCAGAAATTCATCCACCCCGCGTTGCAACTGTCCGGAGGAGACTTCGAAGTCGCGTGCGACCCGCAGAGCGGCCTCGACGGAGGGGCCGGGAGCAGCCATGATCATGCTGTCTGGGTCTGAGAGGACGAGCTGTGGATTGGCGCAAGAGCAGCAGGAGGAGTGCTGGTGGTGGTGGTGGTGGTGAGAAGCGTCGCAGGAGAGGGAGTGGGAGGATTCGCAGTGGAAGCTGGGGTTGGGGTTGGAGTTGGAGTTGGAGTTAGGCGGAGTGCGGATGATCTCAGCGGAGGGGCTGCCTAAGGCTTGCACGCTCTCCAAATCAGCTCACCGTGGCCTTCCGGGACGACGCGAATAGCAAAACAAGACAGGGAAACACGGTGGGCCGTTTACTCTACTTACCCACAGCCATACTCTCACGAACCACAACAACGTCGCCCTGCATTCCGCCGCCCAGCAGCAAACCGCACACTGCCACGGCAAGGCCGAGCGCTGCCAGCCACGCAGTCCCCAAGAGAGCGCCGAGGCCCGGAACCCTGCGCGTAATCAGACTCGCCCATGCTGCAGACGCAGACGCAGGTTCGGCTTCTTGTAGCTTGGCCGTCATGGGATGCCCATGCTGTAGACGCTCTTCTTGGGCAGTTCCGACTAGTCCGGAGTGCGCGACTTGTGGTGCCTACTGTCCGTATATCGCGACACAGCGAGTGACCACTGGAGTTGGTGTGCGACCCGCCAAGAGGCAACGGGCGAGAATGCGCGATGCTTCGTATGATAATAATAATGCAATAATATAAAGAAGATATAGTAGCAACGGAGGAGGTGGTTGGAGGGAGACAGTTTAGACCAACGCAGACTTGAGCGTTGGGGCTACACTTACAGTAGTTAGTGCATATACGCCCGGGCATTTGACGGCGAAATGCCACGCCCTCGGCCGCGGTGACTACTTCTTGACAGGCATTGGCATTGGGGAATAAAGTGTCTATATCGAATTGATCATTGATAGGTAGCTGAGAAACAAAGCTGCAGTCAACTCTATAGAATTACGGTGCTGGGAATCTAAGAGAGATTTAGGTATATTGCAAAACATAGGAAACAAAAAAACCATTTGAATGCGATATCTATTGCTACAATGCTGTAAACAAGTCTGATGGCAGGAACAAGAAGTACATAGGCGGGGAAAAAAAAAACCTCGTCCTAGCTATTCTTTCCCCGTCAAGTCTGATCTATATCAGGACACAAAACTCAGGCAACTCCTTTTATTCTCATCCTCATCCCACAACCTTATCGACGAAAGCCCGTTCCAGCTTAGCCACTTCCTGCTTGAACGAGTCGACCTCTTTCCAGCAGTCGAGAGGTCGTCGGTCGTTTATCCTCAGGCAGTTAACCACCTCGGTCTTGGCTCGCTCCACGTTCTCATCTAGTGCCGACAGCTTCTTCCTCGAGTCGAGCTTGCTTCGTAGGCGCTCGATCTCATTCAGCACGGATTCACGTGAAGGGTCGACAACGGCTGGGGCCTGCTGGGGGGTAGCTGGGCTTTTCGCTTGTAGAGTAGGGTCAACGGGGAATAACGGCGCATCGTGTTCTCGTCCAGCAAACGGAATTCGGGGGGCATCAAGGTTTAAGGATCCCGCTGGGGCAGCATACGAAGGCGACACAGAGGACGCTCCGGTAACCTTGCGCTCCGGTAACTCGGCAGCTACGCGCTTTTCAATCTCCTCAATGGTTTGCTTCTCTCTTTGTCGCAGGCGCTCTAATTCTTCTGCGACGCGCGCTTGGATGTGTAATTCAAGGGACTTGGCACGAGATGAGTCGGTCTATATATATATTTCTGATCAGAGACGTGGCCTTGCGATATGAAATATATTGGAGGGCGGGCAGCCATTACCTCTTTGCTCGATTGTAGAGCCTCGACTAAATTGGCAGAGAATTGGACTGGAGTGTCGCTGTAATTGTGTGTGTTAGCTTGACTCTCAGTTCCATGCCTTTTGACATATGCTTCCTCCTGTCATGGAAACAGACACAAAATCAATTCCTTGCAACCATTGAAGTTACAAGGCAATTGTCTCATATCATACATATGCAATATCGCGGTCGATCGTGCCCATCAATACCCGGTAACTCCATAACTCACCTTGCAAAAATATGTTTGGACCCAGCCGAAGCTTCGGGCTTCGAGCTTCCAGCGCCCATTATTATATCTCGCGCTCCCAGCCGTGCAATTGGAGGATTTGTATTGATTATATTTCGGGCAGCAAGTCAGCGTTCCCCAATGGACTCGTGTATCGGGGAGCTGGCGGGTTTAAGCAACTGCGTTCTGATGCTGTCGTCAGCGGATTTGCTCGGCGTGAATCGGGAAAAACATGGTCACGTGACGCGCTAGTTGCTGCCTTGGCTTTCAGGTGTCTATCACATATTCTACGGATTCCAAAATATTCAAAAACAACTTTCTAGCTAGAAAGGGGTATCGTTGTACTCTATGTATGAGAAAGCTAAATTCATAATGTAATTTAAATAAAATGCCACTGCCCAAGTCTGCCAACCCGTTCACCAGCAGAGCGAACAATGCAGATCCTCCTTTCGAAACAGGCTCTTTTCGCTGGCAATGGTTTGGTTTTGGAAACACCAGCTTGTTTCTGACTCTGCTCTGGCTTCTCCTCGCCAGTGGCATTAGTAATTCCATGGTTTGCCACTTTCGAAACGAGGATTGATCCAATACCGGTGCCTTTGCCTTCGGTGAGGTTGTAGTTACCAGATGACACGAAACCGATCAGGTCGTCTTCCAGAGGTAGAGGGAGGTAAAGTGGTTTGTCAGGTAGCGATGGGTCAAGCAGTGAAGCTGCGAGTCTCTGGAAATACTCTCTCTTTTCGATTACCGGGTCGGTTGGAGTAGATTGCTCCAGGTTTGAGACTGGCGGTGTCCCATTCTGGCTGCGAGAGGATGTTTTTGCGGGCAGTCCAGTAGATAACCACTTCTTGCACAGTTCTTCGTCCGTCGAGGGAAGGCGATAGAGACGTGCACACGGGGATGGAGTCCCACGCCCGAATAGTGTAATCTTCACTATAGCCAAGTACTGCTTATCATTGGGGAATTTCCACGCTCGAGGATTCGTATTGAGTTGTAATGCGGTCCTCTCGTCCAGCCTCAAGTTTTCAATCTCTAGAGGTGGTGTGCTAGCCTGCTTTTTATCTTCTGGAGAATTGTTTCCGTTAGTCCTGTTATCTTCTTGGCTTTGTGTTTCTTCCATCAGAGTGTCGTCCTGTCTCGCATTGCTCTGAACCAAATATTCCCAATCGCAGGACCAGCCTCGGCCTAGCTCCCCTTTCTGCCCATTACCTAAGTCAAGACTGTCGAATTCTAATCTTCTTCCCTTAGGTTTCCTCTCCCACTCTTTCTTGCGCCTCTCCTGTTCCTGAAGATGCCACTCCCATCCAGCGCGTGTTCCTGGGTAATCTGCTGGGAACCAGGGCTGGCCGTACTCAAAGGCTAATTGCTGTTGTTCCTTCAAGCCGCCAAATCTGGGGTTGCTTCCGCTAGAAAGTGGATAATACATGAGCACGTACCAAAGGGGCGCGACACATTTCCATGGCAACATAACCGTCCAAGAACCATGAGAGTTGGTGTCCTTGACACAACTTGCCAGCCGCGATGCGAAGACCATCACCGGAATATGAGGATCAGTAGACTGTGTTTCTAGCGGGACCCCCGGACCAGCCAAGGTCCGCCGTCGATTGATAGCTTTTTGGCTCGGCAAACGCCGGCTAGCAGTGAGTCGTGCAGAGCGGTCAAAAAGCGCGGGGGAGACTCGACAACGGTCAGGTGGCCATGAGGATAGTAAACCGGCCAAAGCGTTCATATCTGATTCGGACGTAGGAGGCTTTTGAGAGCTCACAGGATAGTGCAGCCGGGGATCGCTAATGGAGAATGACAAGAGTGCCCCGGCAGGCAAAGAGGAGGGGTTTGTGACTCCTAAAAGAGATGTCCACGTAGTGCTGGAAACGTCCTCTGTATTTCCCTGTTGTTTTGGGATGAAAGGGCGCATCGTCGCAATGAGTGCTTCCGTTGATCCTGGTCCCGTGATCTCGATACTTCCAATATCAAACCGCAAGTCCTGGAGAGTAACTGGCGGATTCTGCTTCTTGCAAACCGATAAAAGCACATGCCAGAGTTGTAAAAACGCTGAGGGATGGATGCGAATGAACACTTTGTCTCGTACTGGCTTCTTTTTCGGCCCAGACGTATCCCCGGCATTGGACATCTCATGGTCTTCACCTTGCAGCCTAGCACACCATATCAACGTCACCGGAGCTATTGGCTTCCCATCTTCTCCCACCTCGTATACCCATTTTTGAAGTACTCTTGTTCCTTGCCTCCACTTTTTCCCCTTGGCTCCCCAGCAATCATCACCTTCGACTCGAAGGCTCTTCAAGACACTTTGCAGAGCAATAATCGTACCTTCTAGTTGAATCGTAGAAACATAGCTCATATCCCACGCGACCGCTCCTCTGGATCCCGCAGCGCGGTGTGTAGGGCGATAACTCTTTTCAGTCGGCGTCAAGGGGAGAGCGAATCTCCAAAGGGGCTCTTGGGCTGGGGTCATATGTGCGCGCTTTGCATGAAACATGTGTGTGGGGAGCCATGTCTTCGACCGTTGACGCTTTTTGAATTTTGGCTCCGGGGGTGACGGCTTTGAGAGTATATTCTTCTTGATCTTGGGAACTCGAGGCGCGATGCTATGAGTATGACCTTCTTCTGCCGTTGATTGCGCATCCTGACCATCTTTATCCCGTTTCTTCTTTAGAGCAGCTCGTTTAACCCTTGCCTTTTTATTCAGTCCCTGTAGACGACGCGCTGACTCTAGGCGGAGACGTAAGATTCTTGTGGGTTTTCGCCGTCGAGCAGTCACTGTGGGTGTGTTATCTTCTATCATCTTATTCTATGTCAGTAGAGTTCCCAGTCCTTAGAAGCAAGAAAAACTGGGGGACAGGCCATACTTCTCTTTTAGCCCTTGCCCGCAGCCTCTGCGGAACTCTCTTGACATTGTGGCTTGCAGTTCGTCTCCGAAGGGACCTAGGGACTTTCTGGAAAGCGCGACTTGTCAGTGCACTTCTTGACTTCTCTATTCCGGCTTCCAGGGCTCGAATTTCAAATTCACGAGCTCCCACGTAAGCTGCGACGTCGAGCTCGCCAGTCGCAGAGAGAGCTGCATCGGCGGACTGCACCGCCAAAGCGCGTGCATCGTGGGTTCTAGCGCGTTTGCGAACTGCGCCGCTAGATTTCTGATCAAAGTTGAAGCCTGCTTGCGGATTCTTCCTTTTAAGGGGTAAATTTGAAGCCATTGCAGATTGGACCTTCCATCCGTAGAATCGAGTCCTTTTCCAATGATATATTTTTCCAAGCACGAGTCGCGTTTGATTGGATCCCCGGTTTAGCGGCCGCAGGCGATGGTGGCCTGAGTTTTCAGGCCGTAACTATTGCCCGCCGTCCGATTATTAGGGACATCACTACGTCAGATCACTTTGTCTGTTTGTCAAGGATGGGTATTTAAAAACTAGGTTCGGGTGACAACGTTGTGCAAACAGATTTTGCTCGTAGTCATCAATTGTCCTACCTGTACCTAGGTAGACAACCCACTTTATACACCCCTCCGAAGCGAGATATATAAAACAGCAGCGCTCCTACAGGCGGGCAGACTACAATCTAGTGCCTCCAAGATTGAAAGCACAACACATTCATCACAAGAAAGATATGCAAATTGAAATACTCCATGAAGCAAAAATGAATTCTATACTAATAGCGTTAGCTAGCCAGACCTAGTCTTTGTTCAATAATCGTCACTATTTCCGTCCATTCTAGCATGCCTCCAGCCCCGACATCTCCGCAAGCAAGGGACTTCTAAGCGACGAGTCAGTTAAGAAAGAAGAGAAGTTGGGCTCCACAATTGGTGCTTTGATAGACTATACATACTTCAATAGGGTTCAAAACTTCAAACCATCCTTGCTCGACGACATTTTTCTGGTCGCCAGTTACTTGGACACCCCATTCATCTTCTAGAACAAGGATTTGTTTCCTCGTAATCGGCTGTAACCACCTATTTGAACTAGTTTAGTAGGTGGACGTAAAGACAGTTAATATTCTCACTGACATAGCTGCGTTCATAGCAGGTGCTACGAGGATCCTCTTTTTGACCCCCCCGTCAACTAGTCCAGTGGTATCCCAAGCCCGTATTACATTTGTCAACAGAGAATCGCATATACCATTGACAATCTTGGCAAGTGTGTTTGCGCTAAGCGGTGCAACGACTAGAATATGAGCCCATTTACGCAAATTGATGTGTAGGATCCCGGCTCCTCGTGTCCAGGACTCTGTCATCTCGTCCTCATCTTGGTAAACGGCATCAACAGCTGGAAGTGAGGCTATATGTTCGATTGTGGGCTGTTCCGCGGACCGGCCATTAAGGAAAAGAGCGGCTGATTTTGTGAGAATGACGCGGATGGAGAGGTTGCTATGCTTCTGCTGCAATGCAGAAATGATAAGCGGTAATTTGATCGTAGCGACGGAACCACTCTGTCTACGTCAGTGAGAGAGGAGGAGGAGGAGAAGGAAAGAGAGATGTTGAGGTGAACAAAAGTGCAGGAAGATATACCGCGGCTAAGAGTAGGTGCGTCTTTCCATCATGGACTGCTGCTGCAACTGAGTCCGCCGGGTTTATGGAGCCAGAGCTATCTAGGGAGCCGAACTTCGACATGGTACATCGTCATTACTATTGCTTTCCCTGATGGCATAGGACATGATTGTAATGAGTGGCGGTTGATGTGGCTGATTATTAAGTGAAGTGAAGTTGAGCTATGAGCGTAGTGGCACTAATCCTAATACGGGAGGTTTCCCCGCTTGTGTTCGTTTTGCGAGAACTTCAGAAGTTGGCATACTTAAGAATTACACCATACTGTGAAGTAGAGAGTGAGATAACTGTATGGTGGTCATGATTCAACTCTAATATCTATCTTCTAATCTATGTGTCATTCGAGAAGAGTCATTAGTCCGCTTGTGAAAGCCGAGCGTTGAGCGTCCCCCGCCAAAGAAAACCATCAACACAGGGCATAAACATCGTTGAGACGTGAAGAGATGAAATTTAGACAACCTCAAGGATAGCCTCGGCACTGGAGATCTATATGGGACAGATGTCATCAGTAACTGATTGCTTAAAACTGACCAGGAACATGAGACTCACCTCGAGAATGTTCTTGCCGCGCTCACGCTTGGCATAGGTAACCTTTCCGTGGTCAATAACGATGGCGTAACGGCCAGTGCGGCCTTCCTCGTCGGCCCAGCCAATGCTCTTAGAGAACTTGGCATCGGGGTCAGACAGGAAAAGCTGGAAAGTACCAGTCAGTCATCGAACAACGCCCGATTCGTTTCATCAAGACAGGTGGAAAAAAAAAAAAAAAAAAACTCACAATGTCATCTCCCTTAACGTTGTTAGCCTTGCCCCAAGCGCTCATAACGTAGGCATCGTTGTAGGCAAGGACAGCGACGACATCAACACCCTTAGCCCTCAACTTAGGGAGGTTCTCAATGTAGCCGGGAACGTGGGCAGCGGAGCAAACAGGGGTGAAGGCACCTTTATATATGTATCAGGAGCGAGCCCAGTTGTAAAGCACTTTTGCGAGATAGGGACTTACCGGGCAGGGCGAAGAGGACGACCTTCTTATCAGCCCATTCCTTGGAGGCGTTGTAGTTAATGGGGATACCGCAAGCTTGGATCTTCTCGTTCTCCTCAGTCCATGGGATGTAGCTGGATATGCATGGTTAGTCCCGACATCACAGAAGCGCATCAGCGCGCTGGTGAGGGGCAGAGCAGAGCACTCACGAGAAGACAACGTCGCTGGGGAACTCGTCACCTGCGTTAAGGGCAGACATTTTGATATGGTGCGTGTGGTATGGGTTGTTGTTGTTGTTGTTGTTTGCGTTGTCGCGGGGTAGCAGGAAGCAAGTTATCAGATCAATCGAGATGGCACGGAGGAGGGATGCTTGAGGGTTAAGTAGCCAGGCACTTGGGGGGGTTCCGTGGTTAGTTTCCATCACGGCTGGGTCCCATTGTGGGTACGGCGTATGGCCTGATAAGGAGGCCGATAATCCGTAGTTACTCAGCCAACTAACTGGTAAATTTGTCACCACCGCGGCCATCCATGAAGCTAGCTAGCACAATGCAGAATGCGCATGTTCTTCTACTCTCTTGACTGCATCATGCAACTTGAGCGCGATCGAGAGCAGGCTGTCGTCCATGAAGCCTGAAGCGTTCGTGTCGGGAGAGGAACGTCGGTAGCTGGTCCCGAGCCGAGCCAGAACGTCGATGTGACTAATCCCAACCTATCTCAGTAATCTGGTTGCCCTAGACCGTGTCTCCCTGACAAATCCAGCGCTGGCCAAGGGTACCTCGGGAGCAGGCACCCAGCTGGGCGAATCCCGTCGAAATGGCGAGAAACGCGGTGGATCGGTTTTTTTTGCGTGCGATTTCGGGCGGGGCACCACGTTTGCCCCTCGCTGCCTGTGCCCGTGACGCGTAGGCACGTGACATCCCATCATGCATTATACCGGATGCGGCAGCCAATGGGAACGCGCCCGGGCGATTACGTGATCGGATCTTCTGTTTGTGGAATAAAACTCACTAACTCGTTGGTGACGCACGCTGCTGGGCGGTTATCTCATTTGATCAGCCATCCCGCTGATAAGTTCTTCTTCATCGAATCATGGCTGACATCAAACCGCCCTTCACAGAGGAATCGGCACGTAAGAAGGTCAAGGCCGCTCAAAACCTGTGGAATACCCAGTAAATGCCCTGATAACCACCCAGCCAGCATTTGCTTCACAAGCTAATGCGTGATTCAGGGATCCCGAACGAGTGTCGGTGGCATATACCCCGGACACAATCTGGCGTAACCGGGACAGCTTTCTCCAGGGCACAGATGCGGTCAAGGCCTTTCTAGCAAAGAAATGGGAGAAGGAGAAATCCTACCGCCTTCGCAAGGAGCTCTTTGCGTTCACTGACAACCGCATTGCAGTGCAGTTCTGGTATGAATACCAGGACTCTAGTGATGGAATGAAATGGAAGAGGTGCTATGGTTTGGAAGATTGGACGTTTGACTACGAAACGGGAAAGATGCGTAAGCGCCAGATGTCAGGGAATGATCTTGTCCTGGGGCCCAATGGAAACGGAGAGGGCAGATGGTTTGTGGACGGGGTGGATGTCGAGGACGCCGAGATTACTGAGAGCCATTGGTAATAGTTTAGCTAACGACGAGGTTGTGCAGCATATCTGGGTGGTGTACATATCCATATTCATATCCGAACTAAATGAATGCCAATTGCTCCTGGACAAGCTACTAAGTTACAGTAAAAACAAACCTCCAAGTCACATGCACCCACGTGCAAGAGCACTGTCTATACCGCATTAGGCAATTCCAATACAACACGACGACACAACTCGACAACCAGCCTCGTCATGTCTACCAGCCCCTATAACTTCCCAATGGCCGAGAATAATACCGCCAGCTTTTGTCAGCACTCGTGTTGAGCTGGGAAACCTGGGATTACCTCGTGACTTTATCCCAAATTGCGTGCCGCCAGGAAGGGATAGGAATGCATCGTGGAACGCACACCAGTCTACCACCAGGCAGTGACGATAGCCGGCCTTCCGACTGCGGCGTGAAATAACAAATAACAAATAGCAAATAGCTACAGTCTCGCAGAAAGCTCTGTCCTCGTCGGCAACCTTTCTTGCTTTGTGGAAGCATCTATGTACTCTTCGGCCTCGGGAAGGATCATGGCTCAGCCGGAATGTTCTCACGGATCTCGACCAATGGGCCAATCCAACTACGCTAGCACAATTGAGAAGATCGACACTTTGTGATTTGATGACATCGACTTGGAATGAGGGCGACTGTGCTGGTATACTCCACCGCCCCCTGGGACCATTATCGTCTAGTATCCTGGGACGCAATACTAGATAACCTGCCATACGTTAAACTCATGATTAAAGATGATCCAGCCTAGAAGACAATAATCATAATAATAACATTAACAATAACACAGGGAGAGCAAAGGCGGCAATTTAGAAGAAAGAAACATTTGCTTGTCTGTTGCTGGCGGTTAGTGTGGTGCGCCTGCCTGGGCACGCACATTCCTTCCAGGCCTCTGGAATGGCCGTGGCGTAAACAAACCACACCACAGACTTCATTCATGGCCCAGGAGCATCTCTGAAGTCTGTTCTTTCTTTCTCACTAGACCACCTAGAGCAGCACACTGTGAGACTGTCTACTGCCATTCATTCCTTTCTTTTCTCAACACTCGTTTCATGCCATGCACACTCATTGACTTTTTGATGTTACCACACACTTCTTTTTTCCCTTCTTCTGATTTCTTGTACGTACAGAGTTTGAATCTACCACAGCTTTTTATACTCCCCGTCTTGATCCTTGTCCTGGACAGCAGTGATTCTACGACATCGAGAAAACATTCATCGGTCTAGACGAGCGAGGCCCTGTGCCTTATTCTCTGAGGGTCCCTCGACGTCAGCGCGCACTCGGCCGTTGGAACAACAATTTGACAGCCCGGGACGAGGGGAAGAAAACTAATGCGCTTTCTTTTTGCAAGTGAGGAGAGCGCAACTGGGAGGATAGAAACACCATGGAAATCGCGGGAAATTCGCGTTCAGCACAGAGTCGACAGCCTCTGACTGACGCTGCAGCTAGAGTGAATCATGGCCCTACGGTTATGACATCGCGCATCGAAGGCGCCGTCCCAGAGCATGAGCAGCTAAAGTCAATTGAATCTGCACAACCGCAGATAACGCAAAGCTCGCCGCTCGCCATCAGTGATATCGCGCGGCTGTCCGTGGCTACTGACTCACCAGCGACTTCCAATAGAAACTCGGCGATATCTACCACATCTACAGCTTCAGGAAAAGGGAAACGCAAGACGCATGTAGGCCCATGGCAGCTAGGAAGAACTTTGGGAAAAGGCGCTACTGGTCGAGTGCGATTGGCAAAACATGCGGTAACTGGTCAGGCTGCTGCGATTAAAATTGTGTCGAAGAAGTCGGCAGCCATGGTTCAAAGTGAAAGTATAGCGGCAATGGACAGGAATGCCTGTCTTTCAGGGGAAAGCCAGGCTACTAGGCCTATGCCATTTGGGATTGAGCGAGAAGTGGTGATCATGAAACTCATTGAACATCCCAATGTCATCAATCTATACGACATCTGGGAAAATCGTGGTGAACTGTAAGTGGCAAGCGCTGAACAACTGAGCTACATTCTGGATGCTGATAGCGTTAGTTATCTTGTACTTGAATACGTTGAGGGAGGAGAGCTGTTCGATTACGTATCGACGCATGGCCCTCTTCCTGAAGAAGAAGCCGTTCGACTTTTTCGGCAAATCATCTCGGGACTTTCGTACTGCCATAGATTCAACATATGCCATCGAGATCTGAAGCCAGAGAATATACTTTTGGATCCGAACCATAATGTCAAATTGGCGGATTTTGGTATGGCTGCCCTACAACCGGCCGGGCATTGGCTGAATACATCATGTGGAAGCCCTCACTACGCTGCACCGGAAATAATTTACGGCCGTAGGTATCGTGGAGATAAAGCAGATATTTGGAGCTGCGGTATAATTTTATTTGCCTTACTGACCGGCTCTCTGCCATTTGACGGGGGTGATTTGACAAATACCCTGCTCTTGGTGAAGAAAGGAAACTACCATATACCAAACTGGCTGTCAGCAGAAGCAGCTGACCTGATCCAGAGAATCCTGCAAAAAAGACCAGAAGATCGCATCAGCATACAAAGCATGTTTAACCATCCACTTCTTAAGAAGTACGAGATACTCCACCAGGCAATGTCTCAACATCCACTTGGACCCCCACCGGCCCTATCCGCCAAAGATTGCGGTCCATCAGTGACTTCTCGTGCGGATATCGATATGGAGTTGCTTCGGAGTCTCCAGACCCTCTGGCATAGTGCCAACACAGAGAGTCTCATAGAGCGGCTTCTTTCTCAAGAGTCAGTGTGATTTTGGCCCCGAAAGTGTGTAAAGTGTGTAACTAACATGGCCAAATGCAACAGACCAAATCACGAGAAGATGTTCTACAATGCCCTGATTAGATTTCGTGATGAACAATTAGAGAACTATCATGGGCAGCCTCTGGAATATTCAGCTAGCGATTATCATCACATATCTCGACCCGCCGCTGCGGCAAGAGCAATGGCAAAACACTCAAAGAATGGACGAGTGCAGGGTCATGTCCGTCGTCGGTCTCAATTCTCTATACTTAATGAGGTCACCCGGCGTAGCAGTGCCGGAAAAGAACCCAAATCCTCTGGCAGCTATGATCCTTTCAGGGCTTCGAGAACCCCAGTAGCGAATTCTACTGTTCATTATGCAAGTGTTACTATTCATCGAGACGATAATCTTCACAACACTCAGGAGGATGCAATTATTGAAGATGTACCGCTGGATGCTGCTGCTCCGCCCTCGTCGCCTCCCAAGGCAGATATCATGCCCAGTTCTTCTGTTGAGATCATCCAGTGGAACAAGAAGAGGAAAGCGCAACGGTCATTTCACTCAAAGAGCTCATTGGCTACCTCTCGTCATGGTTATAGTCCTGCTCCTCAACATCGTGCAACGGCTGGTTATAAGAGGAATGTATCTTTTCGTCATGTAAGGAACAAGTCGGGAGGTGGTTCTTCAGCGAAATCCGCAGGAGATCGTTCGAAATCTCAAAATTCGATAGCGCGCATGCTAGTACACGATCAAAGCTCCAATTTTTATCCCGCAGACCAGCCTGCCGCTCGAATGAGCAGCCCCAGCCTTCCAGCCCTTCCAGCTGTTGTTCGAACTTCGGATGTGGTTGCAAGTATAGAACATGATCTGTTTGTCAGAAAGATCCGAGATAACTTCTGGGGGGAAGAAGCAAGAAAAGTTTCTCATGAACTCAGTCAAATTTGCGAGGAAGCCTTCAACAGGTCTTCAGTATCTACAGGGAACACCACTGTTAGCACAGATACAACAGCTACATCCATGTCCATTCACGAAGAGGCAGCGGAAAAGTTCCAAGCGTTGAAAAGCAGTGATATACCGAAGAAGGTTGCTGACTTACCTGCATCGTGCACCGTTAATGAGGTCGCCGAGACTCGCCGCAGACTGATAGAGCACTGTATAAAGGCAGAAGCGGCTGGGCTTTCTGACTATTTGGGTGAAGTCATAGCACATCTTGATCGGCTAATTGAACAAGACATTGCGCGCAACCAAGTCAAACCTGATTTCACGGTTGACAGCTCGAGCAGGCGTACGCTCTCTGAACCACTTGTGAAACCTGGTATGGAAACGGGTTATCTGCCTTCCATCTCTGAGGAAATATTTACTCCGCTGGACACCTGTAGTGATTATGACTTGCAACGGGTTGATCATAAGCCCACACCTGAGCCGTCTCTACGCGAATCTCTGCATACGGAAGCCAAATCTACTATCCGTGTGGTCCCAAAAGATTCATCGTTGCCTTCAATCCAAGACATTAAGCCTTTGACAATCAGGAAACGAAATGGCATTTCAAATTCCCCTGAATCCACAGCCAACTCGCGCCATAGCTCAGCCGACTCTGTTATCCATATTCGCAAGCAAGGAAAACCAGTCGAACAGCGAACAAGCAGCGACTCCGTAGCGACCAGCTTGCGATATAACTTACGATCTCCGATGGTGTTAGAGACGATTTCAGAAAGCACTGACACGTCTCTCCAGAATAATGCAAAACCATCAAGCGGAGAGAAGAAGTGGTCGTGGTTTGGTAAACAAAAGTCACATACGCAGGAGGGAAATCAACAGGAAGTGAATTTTCCAACTGCTAAGTCACAGTCTGATCCTGCAGTGAGTACCACGGAAAGACCAGCTGTAGAGACAGAAGAAAGAAAATCTTCGAGAAGGGCGTCTGGAGAAAAACCCCGTACAAGCTTCCTAAAAATATTCAGCAAGAAAAAGGTGGAAAAAGTGGACAGTGACAGTCTCAAAGGTAATGCCATCCCATGCATACGTAAAGGAAGGGGAAAAAATGTCCAAATACTAATGGAGAACAGCTGATCTGAGCCATAATCAAGATAACTTGCTGAGACAAGTTGATTCAAATGATTCTGGCCTTTCCCATGTTCCGATTCCGTACACGAATCGCCGGAGTCGTCGACCGTCAGGAGCCAACCAGAATTGGTTCGCCCGATTTTTCCATGTGAAGCCTGCATTACGAGTCATAGCATTTCATATACCTAAAGCTAGAATTCGAAAGGAGATTTACAAGACCCTTCGTGAATGGAAGGAATATGGAATGCAGGATGTACACCTCGACAGGGCACAAAATGTCATTCGTGGTCGTGTTTCTGAGATGAATTGTAAGTCTTCTTTCCTGTACACTTTCATGGCAAAAGCTTATCATTACTTGCAGTCCTTGATCTACGACCTGTAGAGTTTTCTGCAGAGTTCTTTACTGTCCTTGAACATGAACGCCATGCTAATCTAAGTCTTGTTCGATTCCGTCAAGAGCGAGGCGCAGCATCGTCTTTCCACAAAGTAGTTGAGACACTGGAGCTATTCTTGAAACGGCGCGGGTTTGTCGTGGAGGATCCCGTGCGCTCGAAGAAGATGACCAAAATTCTGGAAAACGTACCTTGAGGCACGTTATACTTTTTTACGTCTCCTTTGATTTTCATATTTGATATAAAGGTACGCTTATATTCTTGTCACTCCTTTTGTTTTATATTCTTTTTCGTCCAAAATATCCTTACTGTATCTTGCTTCGTGTCATTCCTTTCATTGCTGTTGCATTGCGTCGTTTAGCTGTGCATTTATAATTATCAGTTTGCAACACTATCTAGTCGTTCGTCACCTGATTTTTATTCTCTCTTTTACTACGAAACCTACCACCTTCAAAGTGACTACTTTCTCTCGTTTTATGCAAACAAATCTTTGATTTAGTCTGATCTGGCAATTCAGTCTTTCTTACATACGATTGTTTTGTGTATGATTCTACTCTCTTTTCTCTGAAATTTAGCTTATTTCTCACTTCCTTCCAAATTACATATGTCATTCTTTACTGCGATCCATGTAATTAGTATTAGTTACATGTAGTGACAAAAAGTGACGGACAGACTAGGTAGTTAATGTAACAACGCGTGCGGCCCGAGCCCTAATTTAGTTATCGATACCACCGCATGGCCAAGGCATTAGTAAGAAGCAAAATTATACCCTCCTTGCTTTAGTCTTCAAAAGAGAGAGAGAGAGAGAGAAAAAGTCGAAAACTAAGCCTAGAATGCTTTCTGTTTACTATTATGTGTCTTTCTCAACCAGTGCTGAGTCGGATGTATACAAATATGAGAGCACAATAAAAGGCCGGCGAGCACTCCATAATCACAAAACAAAGTTCTACCTACATTAGCCCTTCTGCGTCAGGCTTGCATTAGCCTGCACTAGTCCAGTGTCGTACGTACTCTGTACGGCGACAGATTAATCATTACAAACTCACAGCGTAACCTGAACTGACCTGACCTGGACAAGTCCAACGAAGTACCTAAGCATGTTAGGAGATCGACAAAAGTAGACTGCATGCACGATTCATTCCTAGGTAGGTCATTACTAACTTACATTGCAGAAAAGAGGGTAAAAAAAATATTAAAAAAGGAAATGGAACGGAAAGGTGACCGGCCGCAGTATAACTGCAGGATTGTATGTATGTACGTGCTATGTATGCAAGTACCGAACGAATAACCTGCCTGGTTCATGTAACTAAACTTTCAGGAAGGTAACTAGTTACATGAACTACGTACCTAGCAAGATCGGGAAAAAGTGTTGGTTACATATAAATAAGTCGAGCAAGCAACTGAATCGAAAAAAAAAACAGTTCGCGGAAACCGAATACATCCAAGGTAACTATGAAAGAGGTAAAAAGTGATTCCGTCTCTATCCGCGGAGAAGGGAGACTGGAGGGGGTACTAAAATAGTAACTATCTAATCAAGTGCGGATCGGCCCGCTTTCTGGGAACACTAAAAAAATATGTACTCTAACCTACATACATAGGACGTGTACTTGACTCGCTGGCGGTTGTACAAACTTCACTGTACGTCCGCCTGTCCTACATTGCTCGGATCTGTTTTTGATTTCAATGGCAATTAGTCGCGGGGGAATACTTATTTCCTTCTTTTTGACTTTGCTCTTTTTTCTTTCCCCCATGTCGTATGCATACTGCATGCACGCATGCAAGTTAGTCTGGCGGAGTACATGGGAGTCACTTGACTTGTCCTGTCGACACTATATCTAAAAGTGAAGATAAGTATTAAGTTGTAAGTAACAAGTGAAACTTGGTGAAACGATAATTTATTGATCAGACAGCCGCCCATTGCATACAGAAAAAGTGCTCAGTTATCCACTCAAACAAGGGGTAAAAAATCTCTAAAACGATTTTGAGGAACAAATATCAAAACACAAGCAGATGTTCAGGTTTAGACGCGCGAAAACAGCAGATCGAGTAAAAGTCAGATAGCCACCCAGAATAATGAACAGAGAGAACAAACACATGGATTACATCGAGATACGACAGAAATAGAAACCAACAGCAACAAAACAAACACAGACAAAACGCAACACGACAGAGAGGACGGTCCCATGATTCGACTTGCAAACCCATCATCGTAGACCGCCAGAAAGTCGGCCACGAAATATCCGAGTCCAAGCCGAAATGGGAAAAGCCTAAAGTAACTGTAAATCAGCAAAATGCCGCTAATTCCGCAACTTTTGATCCACCCATGCCATAACTAGTACCCGTGCATAAAGGTCCTTAAAGCACCAAACGACCAGTAAACCGAGGCTGAAGTCACAAGAACCGCCCGAGCGCTCAAAGAACCACGAAAAGAGCCACCGTACGACAGATGCATTATCTTCGAAACAAACTGCCACCCGAAATTTTTTTGAAAAAGAGACGTAAGGTGCCGCCCCGTTCCGATGATCTCCCCACACAGTGCAAAAAGGACACGTATCACCAGTCTAGTAGTTCTACTAGAAAGATTGACCGAAACAAAACAATAGCGCCACCTCCCGTATGGAAGAACACCAATCGCAAAACACGGGAAAGTCATCGAAGACTTAATAATGGGTCGCCCCAGGTAGTTTATCAGAAATGAATCTTCGGTCTTGCGATGGTCGGTAAAAAAAAGAAGTCAAACGACAAGCAATGTAAAAGAGAGACTGAAAGAAAAGTAATTCGAAGTCGGATACGACGTTAGGCCTGCTTCATCGAGAAATAGGAACGCCTAGCACTGGACATATACGTCCCAATTTCTGTATTGTCGCTAATCAATAAACATTCGAGGTCATGTAGTTCCCAACGGCTTTGCGTATCGTCTTCGTGGATTCATATCAAATGTGCGAACGAGCTGCTGTGCCTGCGCCTGGCAGGAACGAAAACAAGTGCTGAATGGAAGCTTCTTGGAGAGCTTTTGAATGATCCAGTCATCCACTGCCCAGCCATTTCACCAGAGCAAGTCCTCATATCAAAGTAGAGCAAGTGTCTTTTGTCACATGCAGCTGACTCCTCATTAATTGTATAACTGGCGCAATGCAGTGCAAGTTTGGAGCACAAGAATGATAATGATGAAAATGATAATACAGCTCCTATTCCTTGTTCGAAAAGAAAGGGCAATGCTATGCGGCCTGCACAAAGGTGTAGCCCATAGAATTAATTCGAAAGATCGCATGAAACTCTCAAGCCACCCATTGTCCTACATGGGGTTTTGTGTTCGTATCTCCTTTGTTGTAATTTTTTATTTTTATTTTGCTTTTTCCCTTTGAATTCACGGCCTTCCCCTTCTCACCATGTCGAAGACTGGAATTTAGACTTTTCGGTTCAGTTGATTGAGCATATCGCTATCTGTGCTAGATCGACCGCCATTCTGAGATTCACCGGGTGGATTGTTTAGAATATCCCGAACATTCAACGGTCCACGCGGAGGCACTGACGAAGCTACCGGAGGTGGAGTCGCATGAGCTGGCATCGGTGGGTAGCCCGGACCATGAGAGCCTCGTTCATAAGGATATGACTGAGGAGAGGGACGTCTATCGTGACCGGGTGCGTGATAGTATGGAGCTGCTGGATATGCAGCTGCTGAAGCACCGGTAGAAACCGGTGCTAGATTGATGGGTTCGGGATACTCGAAGCCCGCACCTGAACCGCGTCGGCCGCTCTGTTGACGCTGATAAGTGTATGTTAGTATTTAAGACGCGGTTAATGCTCAAAGAGGAAACTTGGATGAAGGGCGAAAGTGATATTCCAAGAACCTACCTGATCGTGGGACATATGATGCGGCATTGGAGGAGGCGCAATTCGATCATCCATGTGAGGAGGACGGCCGTAACCAGGCGCATAGTAGGCACCCTGTGGAGGAGGCAGAGTTGATTCAGGGACTGCTTGTTGCTGTGGCGGTAGGGGTTGACCATGGGCTCCATACAAGACCACTCCGTCGCCAGGATAACCACGACCTCGCCCTTGGCCCTGATTACGCAAATGGGGATAGGCTGCATGAGCGGGGACGAATGCTTGTGCTTGAGACGAAACGGGCGTAAACATGCATTCTTGGTTGAACCGAACACAGTTAGTGCAGCGTCCATCGGGAGAACTTTCAAAGCCAGAGCAACGAATCTGTACGCATCAAACCCGACAAGTTAATAAACATAGAAAAAACATTTTGATAATCATAATTGTAGACCATCGTAGGAGGATGAGGAATCTGACCTTGCGACGACGACAATAGCGGCAAGCTATCGCTGTGCGCTGCCTGGGAGCGGCAGCTTGGTAGACTACTTGAGGCGGAGGCCCCGGTTGAGCATACATATCTGGTCGCTGGTACGGGGCAGGAGCGGGCGGAGGAGGCAAACGGTGGTAGGGATCTTGAGAGCCCTGGACTTGGGAGTGAACTGCAGCCATGCCAGATGGTGGTTGAGGTTGTGGAGGTGCCTGAGGATACGGTGGTTGTTGGTTATATGAAGCCGGAGGATGCGACTGAGTAAAAGGGGCAGGAGGATAACTCGACGGTGGTGGTGGCGGCGGAGGGTAGTTTGACGAAGGACGTGACGACGAAGGACGCTATGAGATTGATGGGTGCTGCAGTTAGTGACGCGTTGTAAATCGGTTGCCTTGTGGTGGTAGATCTTCTTCGGAACATAAGAATGTGCGGAGGCTAGAGTGGGTAAGGCAGGTACAGGTATGGGTAGTGGACGAAAGAAGGGGTCCCAGCCAGAGAGGAAGAAAAGATAGTGAGAGAAACGGAAAAGAAAAACGTAGGGATGGAGAGAAGAAAGGTAGAAGAGAAAGTCTAAATGACGAATGAGGGGGGTCCCACCACTGGGGAGGACTGAAGAGTATATAAAGAGCAAATGACTAAGAGGTTCAAAAAAAAGTAATTCAGATGGACTTACGTGACTGTCTTCTGGCTGCTGTTGGGGCGGATGAGGAGCGGGTTTCTCGCTGTTCCACGACTGTTGTGGATGAATGCCCTGTCCGCCAGGATTTGACATTGAGTCCAGGGTGCTGACGTGCGAAGGTGCAGTCACAACGAGTGGAGAGGCAAAAGCGAAAGAGGAGGAGCAGGGGAGGAGGAACGAAGGATTTAGAGGGAAAAAGTGTGATATCAGGTTGCAGGCCAGTCAGCTTGGATTTGTCGTACCGGGGCGTGTTGGGCTTTGGGCTGGCAGCTGCACACACTAGTGGGCACAATCCGACAGGGCCGGCGCAGCGCACTTGAATGGGGCCCAATCCGTACCAGGGCACAGCGAATCAGGGCGATTACCAGCGCGCTCGGCTGATGCACAAGACTAGCATTCGCGTGGTCGACGGGAACGGCTGGAGACGTAATTCGTACGCCGCAGGCCGTCGCCAGGTTTCGTTGGTTGGCGGGCCAGATGGGTACGCCTTTTTGGTAGGGAGAGGGGGCGTTGTGGGCGCGGACCACTTGAAGACGAGATTCCACCCGACAGAGAAGAAGAGAGGAAGCGAGAGAGTTGTGGAGAGGAAACGGTACAGGAGGCAAACAAAGACGGGCGAAGGGAGGCAAGGGCTTGCAGAACGGTGATTAATTGCAGTAGGGTCGACCGTGGATCGCAAGGGACGGGATTCCTCGGCCGAGTTGAAGTGACGTTTGATTAAAACGATTGCATACGTAGGGATTAGCCTTCAAATGCCGGCTTGTTGTCGCGCGCAGAAAGGCGTTTCAAGCAAAAAGAAGGACAACGAAGAGACGGAGAAAGAAGAGGAGGAGAAGGAGACGAGCACTGCTGAAGCCGTCGCAAGAAAGGAACTTGGCAGACAGGCAGGAAGGAGGTCAGGTCTTCGTCGGCCTGCATTCAGGCAGGTACGCACCTTACGCTTCGCTCCTTCCGTATACAGTATTACAATTTACAACGTACAGGTGTGTCAAGCAGGCAGGTGCGAACCTGCCAGAGTTGCAGCTTTGCACGTCGGTCCCGATGCGGCCTAGCGCTGCAGCAGCCGGGTGGCACCAAAAGCGGTGTAGTTGTACTAGTGCTGCTCCATCACCATGCAGGTGCGGAATGGCAATACAGCGAGCGTCATATACATACGAGACGGTGTAATTTATGTATATAAATTCACGTCGAATCACTCTAGCTATACGCAGCGATGCTCCGTATCCTGGTGGGTAACGATCGGAAGACGGCAAGGGCGCGGACGGCACGGGAAGAAGATGGCTCAGAAAGCATGGATCGTGGATCTCAAGTCATCGAATAAGTGTTTCCCTTCTTTCTTCGTCTTCTTCTTCTTCCACGTCATTCGCGGATTGAATAAGGCCGTCGTCATGCATCCTCGACCATGAGCGAGCCCAAATTTAAAACCACTGTTTCATCTCATCTCTCCTTCCTATTGAGGCCTTTTTTTTTGCCTTTGGCCTTGCTTTATTAGACTTTGAAAGTTTCGCAGCAAAGGGAGGAGCCGGCTCTGAGGACCCAGTGCCATATCCATGGATCAGCTTAAAGAAAATAGCGCTAAAAAAAACCGCCGTCACTTGCCGTGTGTTTCGCACAGGTACCGGGGGCTAACGTATTGTAAGTTTGGTACGAAACTAACGGCAATTACACACTAGCATAACTGGCGGTCAAGCAGTGAACGTTGATGCAAGGAAGCGGTGAGGATCCATGGCGGTGCAAGGGACCGATAATGCAAACTCATATGAATATCAATAGGACTCCGTAATACATAGCAATTTACCTTCAAAAATTCTTCGTTGCCACCACGTATATGTTTTACCAGCGGTTGAAGACATCCGTCTTCATCCAAAGTTGCTTAACTGCCTGGAATGTGGATCCTGTTAGAAAACCCCGAACAAGTCCCGAGAACCTGGGTTGCTTTTCCAAAACGGATTAATCCGTCGACCCAAGAGAGGTAAACTTCTGGCACGGATTGTGGCCAACCCATGGATTGGCGAGTCCGTGAGGATCCGCATTACGGGGACAAATAGAATGAGAACAATTTTCTTATATCTAGAAGAGAAAGCCACTGAATAGGCATACAATGATTCACATATGTAAAGAACAAGTATAATATCATGCAGGTAGTAAATATATGTATACGTAAATGTATATGTATCTGTCTATGTGTGTGTGTGAGGATGATCGACCGTCTAAACCGATTAGATAGAGATACACTGCGTGCAGCGGCTGCGGCCCGTTCTTGCATAATGCCTTAAACAGGCTCGGGTCCAGTAAGAAAGCAGCAACAGCCAGGCGAGCAATGGAAATACGCCAAACAAAGAGAAGGTGGATCGCTTGTGTGCTCCACCCCGATGATAATGACGCGCAGCAGGTGAGAAACAGGAAATTGCCTGTGGCTGAGGGTGGATTAATTGGAGGAGGGTTTGTTTTGCACAAATTAAAAAGAACTTCCGGGTGGCAAAAATAAAAATAATTTTATTTAGTGGTGGTTCTTTTCAGCTGAGAGAGAGTCAAAGGGAGGGACGGCTCGAGAGACCCTCCGGGCGCCCCTCCAATCGCTCCTTAGCCAAATCACTGAACCATGGATACACAAGATGTGATGGCGACTTTCAAAAAATGCATCTTTGGATGCTTTCGGGGAGTCCGTCGCGGCGCTTTGGGGCGGAGTGTGTCGGAAGGCCAAAATTAGAGCATGATGATTCACAACATGTCTTCAGCAAAGACATGTATGTCTAAGTGTCATCATTTTCATTGGCGATAAATCAGGTGGACGTCAGCATTGGGCGCACCCCTGTCGTTTCTTTCCTTCATTAAAGCGCCGAAACACACGACACTCGGAATTATCCATGACAACTGAGGTATATAATTGTAACTCTGTAACCTTGCCTCGGTAAAAAAAATAATAAATAAAAGAGATCGAACATGGACGGTGGGTAACCCGATAACGGCCTGACCCCAGCAGCAGCCAAAGTTAAAACTAAATATCGAATATTAGTATTATTTAATATTAAACGTTAAATAGTAATACATACTACATCAAACTAGATCGTACTAGACTTAATCGCCTCGTTATTGTATAGAGAATATATGATGACACCGTATCATATCCACCAGCCCGAAGTAAAATTCAGAATTCTTCGTTGGGCGATATACTCCGTACGCCGTACATCACGCCGGCGCGGCCCGCTGAACCCTCCCCCCCGGCTATGCATATGCACCCGCCCCCGTCCGTCTTGTCTGCCGCACGTACATGAAGCGCAAATCATGTGCCGTCTTTCAAGGCTCCCGCCAAGGATCAAGGCCGACAGCTGTGAGGATGTGGTAGCTGGTTAGTTACTACAGAGAATACTTGAGTTAGATGCACTGCCACAGTTACATGTCGCCGCGCGCGGCGATGTCAGTGGCAGTGGTGACAACCAATGACGATGACTGTACGGGGTATTACGCTGTAAAGTCCCCGGTCCCAGATGCGTAATACCAATACTGCGGTTACATAATACATAGACACTAGATAGTATGCCTATCCAAGCTAGAGGATGGGCGGACCGAAGCCACGCTGATTGCTGGGACTCCAATCACGCCCGCCCTGTGCGCCCCACCCCGGAAACCCGCAGACGGGTTTGGTCACATGCTCTGGCCGCGGCCAATCGACGGCGATTATTCTTTCTTTTCAGCCATCCAGTGCCCCGCCTCGCTCCGATTAGGCATTCATGCTTTGGTCTTCTCAGTGCTCCGTATTTGTGAATATACAAAGACGTCCTTAGCGTACGCTATGGTGGCGACTAGTATCTGTAGCCTTGCTTCCATTCGAGTCTGCTGCTGTGATTGCGCTGCATATGCAGACGAACGTGTAAGTATCGGTGTGCCAGATACTAATTATATTATTCAATTGCTCCAAGGTCAGCTGTTATATCTAGGTACTGTAGTGAGGGTTGCACATGACATGAGTCGCTCCTTCCCAACACGGCCTCCAGCCCGCGCCTTCCTCGATAGCCCATGCCATACCTAGGTAAGCGCTAGCCAGCGAGTTGACTTCTCCAGGCTGCTCCATGTTCATGCTTCACGACCTTCATGCGTCGCTCTGAGTCTGCTGCATATGCCACATTGTGACCGAACTGCATTAACTTCATCCTTCGCCTTCTCGCTCTAACTGCGGCAGGATGTCGTGGCTCGCTTCGTTTTCCCCAACTGCAGCCTTCTCCTTCCGAATCGACGTGGATTCCCACGTCTAGTTCATTCATCTGCATGCCAGCTACACTGGATCTCTCATCACTTTTTCCTTTTGTCTTTGCCTTTTTCTCTTCGATTCCAATTGGCGACTACCGGCACGAACAATACAATAGACGGCATTGGCCAATGGGCCCCTGCCTAATTGAATTGACGTGGCTAGTATTGCGACCATAACGAAAACAAGACAGTCAATTCAGATCAAATGTGACTTGTCACAATTCAATGCGGCAACATTGCTAACAAGTGACTGTCTAACTACCACGAGCCACACAGTCATTCACTTCACTCATGCTCGGCCTGACCTGACTCAAGGCAATAACAGCAACGTCACCCAAAACAAAACATTCCTCGAGTTTTAAATACACTGCTCACAACAAATATACAATGGATGATCATGGTACGGCCGCGACAACTCACTCACTAGTGGATGACGCCCGATCCTGACCAAGAAGCGTGCAGATATGGAAACGAGCATCTATATATGGTATTTACCGGGTATAATAGCCTGGACACTCTCATATAATCATTACACTGTACGCGCAACGATACAAGCCATGGCCGCTCCGATTTTGCCTTGCTAGTGCAATGTTGCATGCCACTTGTTCAGACCATAGTCGCCTGCGTTTTCACTTTTTCTCCCCTCACTTCCAGTGTCATCCGGCGGGCCATCAGGCATTACCACACTGTTCAAAATCAGATACGTGACCTGACCTGCAAATCACCGTTAATGCCGAGTTCTGATTTGCCTCGTAAAGGAAAACCGCTGCGGGTATGCCCGAAGCAGAGGAGGAGAATATTAGGTTTCAACCTTGTTTGTCTCTTCAAAGTTCAGACTAGTAGGC